TCACTAACAACTCTTTTATTGCTTATACGTCTAATTGGATAAGGGTACTCTGAAAAGATTTCATAGTCATTGTCATGTTCGAGTGTTTGCCAATGTCCTTCACCTTCCATGCCTTTCACTCAAATAAAATTTTCAGAAAAAATAAAACTAGCGTAGATTTTACAATACTGCGATGGTAGAGTTTAAGAGTTGTGCTTCAATGTAGAGACAGTCCTTATGGTCTGGAGGTAAGAACACTGGGCAGTTATGGTCATGAGTGGAGAACATGTCTATCCAAAACTCACGATTGAAGCCAGTTAATTTATAGTATTTAGGGTTAGGAAGTGGTGAAGTTCTTGTATGACCAATGAACTCATTTTCAACTCCTTACTTAAGTTTGAATATAATATAGCTTGCTTTCTATCCCAAATGCCAGGTGTTACAATCTTTGAAAATTCATTTTTCCTCGGAAGCATTGCATCATAATTGAAAACATTCTTGAAATCATCACTTGGTTCAGAGATTTGAAATCTTATACGTAATGGATTTTCTTTCTCTTTAGCGACTTCATTGAATGGTGAGAATACAACAAACTGACAGTCATGTGTTCCATCTTCATTTTCATTAAATTCATAATGAAAGTCTATAAGTTGTGGCTGACTACCTTCTTCTTTCAGTTGTGCAAGAAACTCACGTAAAGGCTGTAAAGTTTGTACTTCAATGTTAAACTTTTTCTCGAACATTTCATTAAATGAAATCATACATTGCAACAATGTTGTATCGTCTTTAAAGTATTTGTATATGTGAATGTTTTGGGCGCTTAAAGACTGTTCGTCATTTTCTATCTCGACTTGAAGTATAAAGTCAACCTTTCTGAAAGCACGTGTTATATACATAGATGTTATGCCAATGTACTTCTCTTCATTTATGTTCACAATCCAGTCTGTTGGAAACTTAAACGTTACTCTGTTCCCCTTTATTTTGACGTCAGGGTTTTCACTACTGAACGCAACAGATAAAGGTATTTGTCTATACATTTAGTTCCGATAAAAATAACCCATTTACTCTTTCTTTGCTTCAGCTTCTTTAGCTTTTGCTTCAGCTTCTTCTCTAGCTTTTTTCGCCAGTAGTCTTGGGTTCTTTTGTCTTCCAGCAGCTAATGCAGCAAGTTGTTTTTCACTAAGTTTTCTCTTTGGTCTCTCTGGCTTTTGTTCTTGTTTTTGTTCCTTCAGTTCGGATAAAATTTGCTCACGAATTTCTTTCTTCAATGCTTCAACATCTATTGTCTGCGTCATTTGGCTGCAGATAAAAAACAAAATTAAAACTTTAACCGATGTAAAATGAGCTTGTCAAAATCAGAGCGAGAGTCTATTATATTAAATGACGCAAGAGGAATACAACATCCTTTCTATTACGTAAGTCAGAGTAAAGATGGTAAAATATACGTAAGAAAAAGAAAGGTTCCATTAGCGAATGCAGAAAGCGACAACATTAAGGTGCATGGCACCGAGGGCGAAGCCCATGTTAAGCCTTCTATTCAAACTGAAAAGTCAATAGAACCAGAAGAAAAGAAGCCAGATGTACTTTCAATAATGAACCAAGAGCTTATTGCAAAGTTCGTGAATTTCATTGAAAAACAAACCGAGTCAAAGAATCCTGACCCGCCAGTGAAAGAAGTTGAGACAAAAGAGAATGTACAGTTCATTGAAAATGTCAAGAAACAACTTCCACCACGAATGCCAAGAAGAAGAGTGAGAATAATGAAGTAAATAGATATTTTTATCCGAAGGAAAGACATGCAGAACGAACAGCTAAACGAATTTACTCCAGCAGAGCATATTCATCAGATTCGCTCATATTTCGATATCATAGACAATGCAGTTCAAATTGGTGACACTAATAGAAAATATTCTGACCAAAGATTCCATCACAACCTGGAACTGCTAAAGATAACACATGGGTAACATTCAATCTCTCACCTCCTGGTGAAAATATGTTGGACCTTTACAATACATTCATTACGTATAAAATGGAAGGTCAATTTATTGTAGATAAAGAAATTGGTTCAGGTTCCAATAAAACAAACCCACCATGATTTTGGATTGGTTTCGATGACGCTTTCTATGCAGTTGCTGGATATCAAATCCTTGCAAATGGTCGTATCGTATATTCTCAAGACAACGCAAGAGAAGAAGCATATATAACTTCAAACTCACAAACTACCGAACAAATAAAGAAAGTAGATGTTTTCTCAAAGACTCGACATGAAGATGTATGGAGTCATTCGGAACATGCAGAACAGGACAAATTGTTAGTGGTCCAATTACAGCAGGAAAATCATTTGATTTTAAGCTTCGTTTAAGAATTCCTGTTAGAAGATTCCTTCCATTAGAAGCTATTCGATTTATTCCAGCTTTTGCAGGAAACATTCAGCTTAAAGTAAAGTTCAGTATCGACGCCTTACAATGCACATCTATATCTGTAAATGATATCATTGCTTTCAATCCAACTCTTAAAGTTGCATTTGCTTCAGATTCAAATCCACCGACAAATAAATTTGTTCCATGGAATGAACCATTCACTATGATAACGAAGGCAGTAGAAGCTAGTGGAACAGTTACTATTACAACTGTAACCCAGCAACTATTTCGAACAAAGATGGATTTAATGAATGTTTCATTCATCCAAAGTCATTCTCTTTAGACCCTAACATTTATACAGAACTTGTAGAACATTATACAAACGAGGCTTTATGTTTTCCTGTTAAAGTTATGGATTGGATTCCTATGGACGGTTCATTCTCAAAGAATACAGATAGTTCAAGTGCAACATTTACAGCAGCTTATACGCCTATAATGTTAAAAGTATTTGGGCACTATTTAGAAAGAAAGACAACTATTATGTTAATTTTGAGAACCCTAAGTTTAAATATCTTCAGCTTTCCATGGGAGCTTATGGAAATATGCCTGCAGAACCTGAAAAATCATATGGACCTGTATTTTATGAAATGGTTGCGAACGCTTGCAATACAAACAATGATATGATAGGATTTAATGAAGATGTTATGAGGTCATTGGTGGATGATGGTAGTGTGGAACATAAATGGGATAGCTATGACAACACACATTTCTTATGTGGTTTTCCAACAGAAGTGGACTTTTGCTTCCAGCAAGGTCAAATCTACTGCTCCAATAACATACAAATTGTCTGTTAAAGGACCTATTGAACTAGCAACTGAAAATGTACCAAAGCCACTTATTGGATTTATGAGGGATTGTTGCTTTGCTATTCAGGTAAGACAGTCAGTCATCCCCATAATAAGATTAGATGACTATAACTTAGCCGCGGACGACAGTGAGGAATAAAGGATGAACGTTTATTTTTAAAGCTTATAAATGAGTTCTTCATCAAGCTCTCGCGAACCTTCACCATCTATGAAACAAACTTTACCAAACGATTATGGAGCACCTATTGAATATTTCTTACGAGCTGCACAATGGCAAAGAGCAGTCTCACCAAGGTTAGGTGTTCCACCAGCTCCTGTCAAAAATAGCATTTGGTCAAGTCCTTATATAAGATATGGTCTCCCACTAGGTTTGCTAGCTACAGCAGGAGCAGTTATGATGTTGAAAAGAAATAAAGCAAATGTTGTAAATAATACTGAAGTAGCTGAAGTTAAACAAACTCCGACACCTTCGCCAAAACCAACGTCAAAACCAACACCTTCACAAACAACACCTTCAATGACTCCTGAACCTATGAAAGTACAAACTCCTGTTCAAAAGTCAACTCCAAAACCGACTCCAACATTTAAACCAGAACCTACTCCTCAAATAAATCGTAAAACTCCTGCGTTTCCTTACTGAAAAATAACGTTATTTTTATTTAATATTAAAATTTTTATTTGATTGAAATGACGACTAAAGTCACTGAAGCAATGAAACAAAAGTTCTTGGTAGAATACATTAAATCAGGAGCGGTTCCAGAAGGTTTTTACGTTCATACTATGAAGGATGGTAGAGTTCAGTTTAGAAAGATAAAGCAACCATTAGATAAAGAAGGAATTTTGAGAAAGATTAAACTTCATGAGGACAACATTGCTGAACTTAAGAAGAAGTTAGAAGAGTTGGATAAAGGAAGAGAGTTATAAAGCAATGAATTCAACAGGATAGAAATGAGGTTAGAAATCGGGTTAGATATACCCATCTACCCTAAATTTATTTTTGCGCTATGTTTTCATACGTGTGAGGGTGGTGATATCATTTATTTTTAAGTTTATTTTTATATAAATGACAGAACAAAAATATAACATTTCTACTCAGCAGGAATGAGACCCTTACTGACTATGTATTCGTTTAATGCTTGATGAAAACAATGGTACATATTATCGTATGGGTATACACAGCGTCTGTTTCCATCGTCGTCGTATATGTAGAGCTCAAATCCAGTCCAACCTTCTTTTGTACAATATGTAGCTTTATTTAAGTATGCATTTATGTAGATAAGGCAATTTTCTTCATCGCTCCAGAAATAATTTTTGTTCTTTGTTGAAATAGTTTTCGTTCCTCTGCGACCATAAGGAATGTATGCAATGAACTTTGCGTCATATGGGATTGTAATATATTCAGGGTTTCTTTCATCGTCAATGGGTCTGTCTTTGTTAAAATGCATGTTTCTCAGTTTTACTTGGGTTTTAAACAGCTCATGGAAACGTTCTGGGAAAGAGTCATAGTAAATGTAGTCAGACATGTCTTTACAATGAAATAAAAAAGTTGGAAAATAAATAAAATAAGGTTATTTTTTATTTAGTGAGGACGGTAGTGAATTCGTTTATGTGTCAGACGGTTTTGCAAATATTTAAGGTTAAGTTGGTGTTATGGTTGTGTTGTAAAATATACATTGCCGGTTTCGTAAAGTGTCAAATTCACATATCATGGGTAAGGAGGCGCGCAGTGCCGCCGTACCCAAGATAGTCATACTAACTTCCTCTCTTGATCAAGGTGCTTCCTCTCTTCATCAAGATGCTTCCTCTCTTCTTCAAAGTACTTCCTCTCTTGATCAAGATGCTTCCTCTCTTGATCAAGGTGCTTCCTCTCTTCATCAAGATGCTTCCTCTCTTCTTAAAAGTACTTCCTCTCTTCAACAAAGTGCTTCCTCTCTTCAACAAAGTGCTTCCTCTCTTGATCAAGATGCTTCCTCTCTTCATCAAAGTACTTCCTCTCTTCTTCAAAGTACTTCCTCTCTTGATCAAGGTGCTTCCTCTCTTCAACAAAGTACTTCCTCTCTTGATCAAGATGCTTCCTCTCTTGATCAAGGTGCTTCCTCTCTTCAACAAGATGCTTCCTCTCTTCTTCAAAGTACTTCCTCTCTTGATCAAGATGCAGCTTCCTCTCTTCAACAAAGTGCTTCCTCTCTTGATCAAGGTGCTTCCTCTCTTCATCAAGATGCTTCCTCTCTTCTTCAAAGTACTTCCTCTCTTGATCAAGGTGCTTCCTCTCTTCATCAAGATGCTTCCTCTCTTCAACAAAGTGCTTCCTCTATTCTTCAAAGTACTTCCTCTCTTGATCAAGATGCTTCCTCTCTTCTTCAAAGTACTTCCTCTCTTGATCAAGGTGCTTCCTCTCTTCATCAAAGTACTTCCTCTCTTGATCAAGGTGCTTCCTCTCTTCAACAAAGTGCTTCCTCTCTTCATCAAGATGCTTCCTCTCTTCTTAAAAGTACTTCCTCTCTTCAACAAAGTGCTTCCTCTCTTCAACAAAGTGCTTCCTCTCTTGATCAAGATGCTTCCTCTCTTCATCAAAGTACTTCCTCTCTTCTTCAAAGTACTTCCTCTCTTGATCAAGGTGCTTCCTCTCTTCAACAAAGTACTTCCTCTCTTGATCAAGATGCTTCCTCTCTTGATCAAGGTGCTTCCTCTCTTCAACAAGATGCTTCCTCTCTTCTTCAAAGTACTTCCTCTCTTGATCAAGATGCAGCTTCCTCTCTTCAACAAAGTGCTTCCTCTCTTCTTCAAAGTACTTCCTCTCTTGATCAAGATGCTTCCTCTCTTGATCAAGGTGCTTCCTCTCTTCAACAAAGTGCTTCCTCTATTCTTCAAAGTACTTCCTCTCTTCATCAAGATGCTTCCTCTCTTCTTCAAAGTACTTCCTCTCTTCTTCAAAGTACTTCCTCTCTTGATCAAGGTGCTTCCTCTCTTCAACAAAGTACTTCCTCTCTTGATCAAGATGCTTCCTCTCTTGATCAAGGTGCTTCCTCTCTTCAACAAGATGCTTCCTCTCTTCTTCAAAGTACTTCCTCTCTTGATCAAGATGCAGCTTCCTCTCTTCAACAAAGTGCTTCCTCTCTTGATCAAGGTGCTTCCTCTCTTCATCAAGATGCTTCCTCTCTTCTTCAAAGTACTTCCTCTCTTGATCAAGGTGCTTCCTCTCTTCATCAAGATGCTTCCTCTCTTCAACAAAGTGCTTCCTCTATTCTTCAAAGTACTTCCTCTCTTGATCAAGATGCTTCCTCTCTTCTTCAAAGTACTTCCTCTCTTGATCAAGGTGCTTCCTCTCTTCATCAAAGTACTTCCTCTCTTGATCAAGGTGCTTCCTCTCTTCAACAAAGTGCTTCCTCTCTTCATCAAGATGCTTCCTCTCTTCTTAAAAGTACTTCCTCTCTTCAACAAAGTGCTTCCTCTCTTCAACAAAGTGCTTCCTCTCTTGATCAAGATGCTTCCTCTCTTCATCAAAGTACTTCCTCTCTTCTTCAAAGTACTTCCTCTCTTGATCAAGGTGCTTCCTCTCTTCAACAAAGTACTTCCTCTCTTGATCAAGATGCTTCCTCTCTTGATCAAGGTGCTTCCTCTCTTCAACAAGATGCTTCCTCTCTTCTTCAAAGTACTTCCTCTCTTGATCAAGATGCAGCTTCCTCTCTTCAACAAAGTGCTTCCTCTCTTGATCAAGGTGCTTCCTCTCTTCATCAAGATGCTTCCTCTCTTCTTCAAAGTACTTCCTCTCTTGATCAAGGTGCTTCCTCTCTTCATCAAGATGCTTCCTCTCTTCTTCAAAGTACTTCCTCTCTTGATCAAGATGCTTCCTCTCTTGATCAAGGTGCTTCCTCTCTTCAACAAAGTGCTTCCTCTATTCTTCAAAGTACTTCCTCTCTTCATCAAGATGCTTCCTCTCTTCTTCAAAGTACTTCCTCTCTTGATCAAGGTGCTTCCTCTCTTCATCAAAGTACTTCCTCTCTTGATCAAGGTGCTTCCTCTCTTCAACAAAGTGCTTCCTCTCTTGCTCAAGATGCTTCCTCTCTTCATCAAAGTGCTTCCTCTCTTCATCATGCAGCTTCCTCACTACATCATGCAGCTTCCTCTCTTGATCAAGGTGCTTCCACTCTTCAACAAAGTACTTCCTCTCTTGATCAAGATGCTTCCTCTCTAAATCAAAGTACTTCCTCTCTTGATCAAGGTGCTTCCACTCTTCAACAAAGTACTTCCTCTCTTGATCAAGATGCTTCCTCTCTTGATCAAGGTGCTTCCTCTCTTCATCAAGATGCTTCCTCTCTTCAACAAAGTGCTTCCTCTCTTGATCAAGATGCTTCCTCTCTTGATCAAGGTGCTTCCTCTCTTCATCAAGATGCTTCCTCTCTTCTTCAAAGTACTTCCTCTCTTGATCAAGGTGCTTCCTCTCTTCAACAAAGTACTTCCTCTCTTGATCAAGATGCTTCCTCTCTTCATCAAAGTACTTCCTCTCTTCTTCAAAGTACTTCCTCTCTTGATCAAGGTGCTTCCTCTCTTCAACAAAGTACTTCCTCTCTTGATCAAGGTGCTTCCTCTCTTCAACAAAGTGCTTCCTCTCTTCATCAAGATGCTTCCTCTCTTCTTCAAAGTACTTCCTCTCTTCATCATGCAGCTTCCTCACTCCATCATGCAGCTTCCTCTCTTCAACAAAGTGCTTCCTCTCTTGATCAAGATGCTTCCTCTCTTCATCAAAGTGCTTCCTCTCTTCATCATGCAGCTTCCTCACTACATCATGCAGCTTCCTCTCTTCAACAAAGTGCTTCCTCTCTTGATCAAGATGCTTCCTCTCTTCATCAAAGTGCTTCCTCTCTTGCTCAAGATGCTTCCTCTCTTCAACAAAGTGCTTCCTCTCTTCATCAAAGTGCTTCCTCTCTTGCTCAAGATGCTTCCTCTCTTCAACAAAGTGCTTCCTCTCTTCAACAAAGTGCTTCCTCTCTTCATCATGCAGCTTCCTGACTACATCATGCAGCTTCCTCTCTTCAACAAAGTGCTTCCTCTCTTCAACAAAGTGCTTCCTCTCTTGATCAAGATGCTTCCTCTCTTCATCAAAGTGCTTCCTCTCTTCTTCAAAGTACTTCCTCTCTTGATCAAGGTGCTTCCACTCTTCAACAAAGTACTTCCTCTCTTGATCAAGATGCTTCCTCTCTTGATCAAGGTGCTTCCTCTCTTCATCAAGATGCTTCCTCTCTTCTTCAAAGTACTTCCTCTCTTGATCAAGGTGCTTCCTCTCTTCATCAAAGTACTTCCTCTCTTGATCAAGGTGCTTCCTCTCTTCAACAAAGTGCTTCCTCTCTTGCTCAAGATGCTTCCTCTCTTCATCAAAGTGCTTCCTCTCTTCATCATGCAGCTTCCTCACTACATCATGCAGCTTCCTCTCTTCAACAAAGTGCTTCCTCTCTTGATCAAGATGCTTCCTCTCTTCATCAAAGTGCTTCCTCTCTTGCTCAAGATGCTTCCTCTCTTCAACAAAGTGCTTCCTCTCTTCAACAAAGTGCTTCCTCTCTTCATCATGCAGCTTCCTCACTACATCATGCAGCTTCCTCTCTTCAACAAAGTGCTTCCTCTCTTGATCAAGATGCTTCCTCTCTTGATCAAGATGCTTCCTCTCTTCATCAAAGTGCTTCCTCTCTTCTTCAAAGTACTTCCTCTCTTGATCAAGGTGCTTCCACTCTTCAACAAAGTACTTCCTCTCTTGATCAAGGTGCTTCCTCTCTTCATCAAGATGCTTCCTCTCTTCTTCAAAGTACTTCCTCTCTTGATCAAGGTGCTTCCTCTCTTCATCAAAGTACTTCCTCTCTTGATCAAGGTGCTTCCTCTCTTCAACAAAGTGCTTCCTCTCTTGCTCAAGATGCTTCCTCTCTTCATCAAAGTGCTTCCTCTCTTCATCATGCAGCTTCCTCACTACATCATGCAGCTTCCTCTCTTGATCAAGGTGCTTCCACTCTTCAACAAAGTACTTCCTCTCTTGATCAAGATGCTTCCTCTCTAAATCAAAGTACTTCCTCTCTTGATCAAGGTGCTTCCACTCTTCAACAAAGTACTTCCTCTCTTGATCAAGATGCTTCCTCTCTTGATCAAGGTGCTTCCTCTCTTCATCAAGATGCTTCCTCTCTTCTTCAAAGTACTTCCTCTCTTGATCAAGGTGCTTCCTCTCTTCAACAAAGTGCTTCCTCTCTTCTTCAAAGTACTTCCTCTCTTGATCAAGGTGCTTCCTCTCTTCAACAAAGTGCTTCCTCTCTTGATCAAATGCTTCCTCTCTTGATCAAGGTGCTTCCTCTCTTCAACAAAGTGCTTCCTCTCTTGATCAAGATGCTTCCTCTCTTGATCAAGATGCTTCCTCTCTTGATCAAGGTGCTTCCTCTCTTGATCAAGATGCTTCCTCTCTTCATCAAAGTACTTCCTCTCTTCTTCAAAGTACTTCCTCTCTTGATCAAGGTGCTTCCTCTCTTCAACAAAGTGCTTCCTCTCTTCATCAAGATGCTTCCTCTCTTCATCAAAGTGCTTCCTCTCTTGCTCAAGATGCAGCTTCCTCTCTTCAACAAAGTGCTTCCTCTCTTCATCATGCAGCTTCCTCACTACATCATGCAGCTTCCTCTCTTAACAAAGTGCTTCCTCTCTTCATCAAGATGCTTCCTCTCTTCATCAAAGTGCTTTCTCTCTTGCTCAAGATGCTTCCTCTCTTCATCAAAGTGCTTCCTCTCTTCATCATGCAGCTTCCTCACTACATCATGCAGCTTCCTCTCTTCAACAAAGTGCTTCCTCTCTTCAACAAAGTGCTTCCTCTCTTCATCATGCAGCTTCCTCTCTAAATCAAAGTGCTTCCTCTCTAAATCAAAGTGCTTCCTCTCTTCTTCAAAGTACTTCCTCTCTTGATCAAGGTGCTTCCTCTCTTCATCAAGATGCTTCCTCACTCCATTATGCAGCTGCTTCTTTTCTTCATCAATTCCTCTTCACCCTGGAGCTCCTCAGCTTTATATCATTTTAATTGGATTTTTTGAAATCCACCTGCAGTAGGATAAAGGAGATGTAACTCACGACTAAGAACCTGGCCATATGCTCCATTCCAGGCCAAAACAGATTGCATAGCCACAAACAGATTGAAATACCAATCCTGTTGCTGCATGGGGCGTCCATATTCCATTTGGAAGACTTGCATCATCACATTTGGATCTGTAAGGACTTTGTCGTTGACAAAATTGGGCCTTGCAGGAGGAACTCCATTTTCTACAATGTATCTGGAAGCAAGAGGTTTGTTCATATCCAATGGATAGATTCCTGTTGCTTTAAAAGCATTTTCGATGTTTGTAGCTGTGCAAGACACACTACATGCATCAAGGAAGCTGCGAACCATGATATAGCGCAGTTCTCTGGCGTTCCATACATAATTGATCACCATATGCCCTTGCTGATCGTACCGGATAGTCGCCATATCAAACAACTTCTTGAATTGGGCCTTCAAGGGAGAAAAAATCCCAACATCAAGAGGTTGTAAGATATGAGATGTATGGCCTGGGAGAACAAGAAGCTCGATATTGAAGGCGCTCAAGAGGCGAACGGCCAAGAAAGAGAGCCTGGATGGATGACCATCTACAATTAGGAGAAAAGGTACCTGGGCATCAAACACATTCATTTGAGACCTTTTCTCCTGTACTTTGCAGATGAACATGATACAGTATACCATAAAAAGGTATTTGTTCATCCATCCACTCTCGGAGCGAACAAAAAAGGCGTCCAGATCTTCCAATTCCGCATCAAGGGTCTTCTTTTGTGGAAGTATCACCATTGGCTTCATAGTTGTACCATCTGCAAAGATGGTACAGACCCCTGTAAGATGTGGAAGCTGAGACTTTTCAGCGCGAACTGGGCGATTCCGGCCAGCAGTAAGAACTTTATAGCGACGTTTGGAATAGAGCATTGTCTCGTCCATATTCGCAATAAACTTCTTCCTGCGGGCAAAGTATCTATGCTTGGAGAGGAAAAATTGGCGAATATGGTTTGCGTCACAGGTAGAGCGTCGGAGCATATCAATAGTTTGGGAGCTCACAATCCGAATTGACAATCTTGTGGCGATATGATTAAGCCAGCCACGGGATGGCGATGGGCAGTAATCATTGAGCTTCGCTAGAAGATGCGGGCACCTTGCAGCGATTAGTACCCGCGCCGCAAATTTTAATCTCCTATTTTGTAATTCCGTACAGACAGCAATGGCCATTGATGTTGTAATACAGTTCAAGTCGTCTGCCATCTCTTGAACAAGTTTTTTGAACTGCATTTCATCTGGTAGTGACAAAAGGGTCATACCACCCCCTGACTGACCTTTTGTCCATGAACGACAAGTAGCAGTGCGCATGATTGCGCGTGCTACTGTCGTCTTTGAAATTGAGTAAACATTCCGTATTTGTTGATAAGACTCGCCATTTACTCTTCGATAGAGTAAATCGAGTTGCATCTGGGTCAATAGCCCAAGATTTTTATAGTTTTCTAATTCTGCAAACTCGGGAATTCGTGTTCTTGGTTGCTTTTTTTTTAAACGGGAACTTCACAAATTTGGTTCATGGCCATAAAAACTCATTCAATTTTTCTGAGATTTTTTTTCGTCACTCACTCAAAACGCAGAGGACCATTCTTCTCAAAATTGAATTATTTTCTCAAATATTGAGTGAGTAAAATGGGCACGTTGTGTAAATTGATTCAAAATTTTTTATTGGTACACGACCTTTGAAATTGGTCTCGGGCTATTCAACCTACGGTAAAAATGGAGCTTATATTGAAATAATCTGTGGTAATTCGAAAAATCCTCTCAAAAATTCTATGAGGTCTTTCAAAAAAATGAAATTAGATGGTTGTATAACTTAGCAATTGGTTTTCCTAGAGACCTAAAAGTTTGAAAAAAATAGATGCTACATAGGCATGCCTAAATCGTAACAGAGAGAATTAATAATTTAAAAAAAAAATGGTCGATAATACTCGTTATCGAGTTGAAGTTAAGTTTTGCATCTAATGTACCATATCGCTGTTTTTACTCTGACTATTGGATCTGAAAAATGGAATTTTGAATGCTTCGTGCTTCATGTCTCTATTAAACCTGATAAACAGATGTATTTTTATATTATAGTATATGTTATTAGATATAAATGATAAAATTGGTAAAACAATTTCATTTTTCGCCACATTGTTTTCTTTTGAAATTTTCTATGCTTTCAAACTGTCATCTTAAAAAATGTTATCAAGTATTTCTCGCCTTGGTCATGTGATGCGACGAGGTGATAGAGAAATTAAGGATCTTATTCAGATCAAGAAGTTCTTAAAAGAGCAGCCATATGGTGTTTTATGTCTAAATGATCATGATAAACCATATGGTATCCCATTATGCTATGGATTCACATGGGATAAAGATGAAAAGTTTCCTACATTCTATTTCCATGGTGCTCAGAGTGGTCGCAAAATTGGAGCGATTAAAAATAATTCTGATGCATGCTTAACCATCTCCAAACCACTCAAACTTGTATATTTTCCAGGCCGTCCACCATGCACTGCAACAATGAATTATGAATCAGTCATCGCTGAAGGAAAAGTCGAACTTTTGACACATAAAGACGAAATTAAAACAGCCTTGGACTCAATAATCACACAGTTTGATATTCCATTAGGAAAGTATAAGGAAGCTTCATTGAAAAGAACTGCAGTTATTAAATTTATCACAAACTCTCTCTCAATGAAAAGAAATACTGCATTAGAGTAAAAATTATTTTTAGTAACCATTTTAATCTTGTTTAAACATTCAAAATGAAATATTAAATATTTGCTAAATGAATGTTGCATTAATTCCAGTATACTCCTAAATATATCAAAAAAAAGCAAATTTCATAGTCACTTGTCTATTTCAATACTAATCCATTTGAAGATGAGATTAAACTCTTAATGCCTAATAACATGAATGAAAGCACGAAACAGATAGCATATGAGTTTGAATTATGATATCGAAACTATATAATTGTTTTTAATATATTATTTTGAGAAATTTCTTTTTTTAGCCCTTAAACTGATGTTTAAACACATGAAAGAAATTATGTAATTACACGGCTACATAATTAAGTATAATTTGGAGGATGAGAAATTATCAACGAACAATACAGGTAAAAAAAGTATCTTTACATGCATAAAATATCGTGTAAAATTTTTCAAATCTGATTTGAAACGAAATTATGCTTTTTATTTTTCCAATTCACACCCTGAATTCGAATTGTTATTACTTCGTAGATTATTTTTCAATCTCATCGTAATCTGAATTTCGGAATAAGATTATGAGCGCAATTGGCTCAGCCGCTAGTTCATTTTAATTTTATGCATCATTAAGTCACATGATACGAACATAATGAATAAATGGTTGATTAATTGAAGTAATTTGATGTAATTTCTTAATTTTTTTAATAAGAATTGGTAACAATAGGTGTGCATATCTTTCTATCAGCTCTAAAGCTAATGTATGGTAAGTATGTTAATGATTTAAATGGTAATGCGCAAATAAAATTTATTTAATATTTAATATGATAATGTTTAGAAAAGTAGATACATTTTAAAAAATAATCGTATTCAAATAAATATAGACATTAACGCAAATTGATTAACTTGACACAGAAGAGGTAGAAGAAGTAGAAAACGTTGTAGTTAAGGTTGAAGAGGTAGTTGAAGAACTATTCTTAGAACTACCACTATCACTGCTAGAGTTTGTATAATAATATTCTGTAACATAAGTATCAGAATAATATTCTTCCCATAATGCCGGATCAAAATCCGGAGGCTTTATACGTGTGCCTTTTGGCTTCTGTGGAGGATTATTATTTGTTGGAGTTGGCTTAGCAGGAGCTGAATATGCTGTTGGTTTTGGTTCCTCTTGTTTTGGAGGAGGTGGATTTGTTTTCTTCTCTACTGGAGGCGGAGCATTACGTTTCGTTGTATCTTTATTTTGTTTATTTTGTGGTGATTCTGTATCAGGTTCATCTATTTCTTTGCACATTCTGTTTTTCTGATCTGAGGGTGTATCTAAATTTCACTTTTTGAGAGAACTTTTAAATTTATTTTGGATTTTTCTTGCATCAAAATATTGCTTAATATATAAAGAATTTCAAAATCAAATTATATTGATCAAAACTTGTTTCACTAAAATTTTGAAGAAAACCTTTGAACTCGCTTCAAGAATGGTTTTACATGCTTTTATTTATTTTTAACGCTAAATGACTCAATTTAAACAAAAAACGTAAATCAAAAAACATTTGTTTACCTCCAATGCACAACTGAATACAGCCTATCTCATTAAAACATATGCTCAACAGTTATTTGTAGTAGAATATGCTTGATGCACTGCAACGTACAATGGCCGATGAGGAGTCAAACACAAGAAAAAATGGTCGAATAAAAAGAATATCAAAATATGTTGTTTGTGATGTTCTTAATAAACTTAAAAGGTTTGGTTGCGTAAAAGTAAAATGAAATTAATTGATATATGAATACTTTATCGAGATCAATGATTTTAAAGATTAAAAAAAGCAAGTTAATGAATTCTAAGCAGTTCATATAGAACCAAAGCTTTATGCAAGGTTGACTGTACCACGGCGACGACCTGTACGGCGGGAAGCGATAAGACCAAGCTTCTGACCTGGGCGGGCAGAGCGGGCGACTGTGCCTGGAGCACCCATGTGCTGGTGGGAACCACCACCGTGTCTGTGGTCGACTGGGTTCATCTTGATACCGCAAACGACTGGCCATGTGTGGCGTTTAGCTTTATACTTGTAGTGGACGTTACCGGCCTTAAGGAGTGGCTTTTCTGGACGGCCACCACCAGCGACGATACCTAATGTAGCACGGCAGATGTTGGAAACAAGAGCCTTGCGACCAGATGGGAGCTGGATACGTGTGTAGTTTTCTGTGTGGCCAATAACACGGCAGGAATCGCCGGAGCAGCGGCCATAGCGGCCACCATCACCTGGACGGTGCTCGACGTTGCAGATTTCTGTACCTTCTGGGATCTGAGCAAGTGGAAGGATGTTGCCGATGTGAAGGTCAGCCTGAGCGCCGCACTTGATGAATTGGCCTGTATGGATGCCTTCTGGGGCAATAACAAGGGCAGAATCGAAGCCCTGGCCTTCAGCCTTCTTGTAGATAAGCTTGGCAAGTGGAGCACCACGGCCTGGGTCGTGGATGATCTCCTTGACCATGCCGGAGATGACGGATGTGCGCTCGGCAGCATCAAGAGCACGGAATTTAGCTGGACCAACGCGGTGGTGGGTGTGGGCCTGGAAGACAGAGCCGTTACCTCTACGCTGAGCACGAACGATGTGTCCCATGTGTAAAAGGAAGAACCAAACCGTTTTCTTGTCAAAAATTTCACAAGGCTAATTTGAAAAATTGTCATGTAAAGTTATCAAATATGAGAAATTATGACAAAATATGACTAAATTTTGTCGAACATTTGAAAATTATGATTCGGGAATTCTTGAAAATTAGGCGAGGTTGTAACAATTAAGAATGGCATGAATTGAACTTGTATAATTTCGCGAATTCATAAATGTGTTTGATAAAATACGATATTTATTTAAGTAAAATTCTAAGAAAAAAAGCAATTTACTCATCCTTCTGCTTGATCATCTTAAGGATTTCGGACTCACCAGCATCAATGATGGAAATGACGGAAGAACGGAAGTACTTACCGCATGCTGTACCAAGATCGACATTGTCACCATCGAATGGGAGGATATCGCAACCAGAGAGCATAGCATAGTACTCAATAAGGGAACGATGAGCTGGGGCAACGTTGGATGCGAAGATAACAAGCTTAGCCTCACCATTGCGGAGGGACTGAAGTGTCTTGTCGATACCGAGCTGGTATTTGCCGGACTTTGTGACAAGAGAAAGGGAGTTGATGATTGATTCGCGTGCGCGGCTTAATTTCTTGCGGCCCATGTTCAAAAGGACGGCCAAATCCTCTATCGTCTCGCTCCTTCACTTTTTTGATTGTCATTGGATTGTTTTTTGCTCATCTATGAGAGATTTTGATGAATAATACGTATTTTCTGTTTTTAGAGTAATCCGCAGTATGTAAGATAATTTTGGATTTTGAAACTTATTATTTTCTAAGTTAACTCACTAAAAACTTTTATCTTCAGTGTACTGATTTTGTTATAGTTAAAACAAAGAATAGATAGATTGCAAGATATTTCATCAATTCTCAAAATGTCTTTTTTTATTGTAAAGCAAATACAAATTCCTAATCTGGCACAAATTGATTAGGAAACCACTATCATCTTGTCTGAATTACTATCTGATGATCTCATTTAAGTTAATTTTTTTTCAAAATCGCCAAAATCAATGTCTGTCAACGAAAAGTTGATGAAAGAATATAAAGATATTGATAAATATCTGGAATTTGTCACTGATATCCATCACTCTCTACAAGAAAGACAGAAAAAAGTTCAAATTTGCATTGATAATTATAACGACAATCGTGAACAAATCTCTAAATACAGTGAAATTGATAATAAACTCAAGAAAATTGTAAGTAATCTCGAAGATGCAGACTATGATCCTTATACAACTGCTTTAGTAAAAATTCTCGATAATTCACTCAAAAGAAAAGAAGAAATTACTACAAAATTATATAGTTCACTAATAGAACTCGAAGGATTTCAAGATTATCAAGATAAATCGGACGCAGATATCTTTCCTTATGCATATTTAAATCCAAATCTCACTACTGATGAATACAAAGCGATCAAAGATGAATTAAATGAGATAAATTTGATGGCTACTTCTAAAGCTTCTGAAATTGATGAAATTCTCAAAACAAATCTTCGAGATATTACAAATAACAGGTTTTCTTCTCAAATTGATACTGTAACAAGAAAAATAGATGATTTAGAAATTGATATCAACAATCGTAAATTTTTGCTTAATTCAACAAAGAAATCATATCAATATCAAGTTGAATCACCAAAAGTTTCAACTATAAAGCACGTTATTGATAGACTTACTACTATTAAATCCAAACCAAATATATCTATTTCAGATACATCTAGAATTGATGCTTTAATTTCAATGTTTGAAGCAATGATACATGAAGACATCGATGAAAGCAAATTCTTACTGCATATTAATGCTATGAAGTCATTATTAAATTCCCCATCGAAATCAAGCACTTCTCCACTTCATGAATCAAAAGAATTTAAATTTGAATCAGAAGAAAAGAATAAGGCACATAAGAAACTTTCCTCTTTCCAGTTTTTGCAAAAGATACAGAAAGTTCGCGAAATTGCTTCCAATCTTTAAAAAAAAATTATATATTTTGTTGTTTTGTAAATATGTAACTATTCAGATATGCAGCTTCAATATTTTATTTGATATACGTTTTCATACAACCATGTTTGAGTCAAGAACTAAAATTTGAATGATATTTATATTAAAATGAGGGTAAAGCCGATGAAGCAGGGCGGAATTGACGTCTGCATGCATATTTTAGGATCAACTGATCTCACAGCATGTTGAGACGGCAAACAAATTGAAAAATAAATTGTTTGGAGAGAGAAACCCATGGCAAAATAAAATTGATAAAGAAATGTGTGTTTCGGTTGATGGAATTTATCAAAATTTTTATCTATCGATTTGATTTTTTAGTTGATCAATTTTTTTGAAGTCGAAAAAAAAATCGCAAAAATGAATTATCAAGCTTTTAATGCCGAAACTTATAAAAAGATGGAGAAGGAAGCCATCGAAAACCCAACAAAGTTCTGGTCTGAAACAGCAAAGGATATTTTAAAGTGGGAAAGTACAGATTTCAAGAACATTATCGGAAAAATTGGTGATGAAAAGTCTTGTTGGTTTGAAGGAGGTAAGATTAATACATGTTACAATGCCGTCGATCGTCATGCAATGGCTCATCCAGATAAGGTCGCTTTATTATACGAAGGAAATGATATCGATGATTCAAGACAGATGACTTATGGCGAACTCTTACAGAATGTTTGCAAGATGGCAAATGTTCTCAAATCAAAGGGAGTTACGAAAGGATCGCATGTAGCTATCTATTTCCCTGTCTCAATCGAAGGAATTGTATCAATGTTAGCTTGCGCTAGAATTGGTGCAATCCATACAGTCATTTTCGGAGCCTTTTCTGGTGATGCTCTCTCTTACAGAATTCATAATTCTGATGCTACAGTTGTTATTAGCCAAGAGTCATACAAGCGTGCTGCAAAGGCTATCCCAATGAAAACAACGCTATTAAATGCTCTCAAATCCTGCCCTAACATCAAAAACGTAATCATCAGTGGTTTGACAGAAAAGCCTACAGAAAAACTTCCATACGAAGTAGAATCATACCAAGAACTTATGGCTGCTGCCAGCGATAAGTGCGATTGCGAAATTATGGATGGTTCTGACCCATTATTCATTTTATACACATCTGGCTCAACAGGTGAGCCAAAAGGTATTATCCACAGAGTTGGTGGTTATACAGTCGCTACAACACTTACATTCAAATACGTATTTGATACAAATGAAAAATCAATTTTCGGCTGTACCTCAGATATCGGCTGGATTACAGGCCATTCATACGTCTGTTACGGACCTCTCCTCAATGGTTCCACAACTCTTATCTTTGGAGGACTTCCTCTTTGGCCAGATGCGACAAGATCATGGCAGCTTATCCAGAAGCTCAAATTGACACACTTCTACACATCCCCATCAGCCGCACGTGCCATTGCTGCTAAAATCAAGTCCGTTGACCAAGTTTCACAGTTCGATATTTCTTCATTACGCGTTATCGGATCAGTTGGTGAGACTCTCGATGAAGATACCTGCATCTACATGCGCACTGTCCTCGGAAGAGACAAATGCTGGCTCGTAGATACATATTGGCAGACAGAATTAGGTTCTATCATTGCTACATCAGTTCCAGGCATCGAGAATCTTCCTCCTGGTATCGTTGGCCGACCACTTTTCGGTACAGAAATTGTTCTTGCCGAGCCAAACGGTCAAATTATCTCAACAACAAGGAATCCACACCCAGAGATAGTCCACAACGGCATACTTTGCATTGCCACACCATGGCCAGGTCTTGCAAATGCTGCCTTCAAGAGTACTCGCTCTTTCAAGGACAGATATATTATGCAAGGCACAGAATTCTTCTTAGCAGGCGATACAGCGCAGATTGACACAAAGGGCAACATCAGGATCACTGGTAGAATCGATGACCAGCTTTGCGTCAATGGCCACAGAGTTGGTCCAGCAGAAGTTGAAGAAGCAATCTTGAAAGTCGATGGAGTTGAAGATGTCGCTGTCATCGGTGTACCATCAAAGAAGACAACACAGGCAATCATTGCTTTCGTTGTATCTGCTGACAATTCACAGGAAATGGTCACAAAGGTCGCTGTCAAAGTCACACAGAACTTTGGAGCAATTGGTAGACCACAAAAAGTCATTTTCGTGAAGATGCTTCCGAAGACAAACAGTGCAAAGATTATCAGATCGTACTTAAGAGAACTCTTCTTGAATGTCGACAACAATAAGAGCGTTCCAAAGCCAACTGCTTGCACAATGACACAAGAAGAAATCGGAGAGCTCATTGATATTATCAAGGAAACACAAACAGATCTTGCATCTCTTTAAAAAAAATAAACTTTTTCTTTTTCCCTCTATTGAAATATAGTTTGATTATCTTTCTTTACAACATATTATTCTCACTTTACATCTTTTTCCCTCTATTGAAATATAGTTTGATTATCTTTCTTTACAACATATTATTCTCACTTTACATATCAATATAATTTTATTATTTTTCGTCTTTTCGTTGAGTGAACAAGAAAATCTAGTGCGAACCTAATATATGAAGATAGTGCCTTCATTATTTGGCTGCTGGTTAAAGTATTTTAACATAAAATATTAACATAATTATTTCAATTCAGCATATGAGGATTTTATGCTGTAAATTAAAATTCCCTAGTGTTTTTATTAAGAATTATCTATTTCATGTTCAATGGTTTTATTATTTTATATTCAAAAAATGTCTACCAACCTCGATCTTTTCGAGCTTGGTACAAAATTAGAGCAGGTGATAAATGATGATATAGCTGGTATATCGATTTTTAACAACTACCTTCAGAAACGTGTTGATCTCGAAGAAATGTTCACGCAAGAAATATCTAATTTTCTAAATTCGGATATGAAAACAAATTCTCTCTCGATGACACTTATTTTAGATGAAATGAATGCATTACTTAAACATCACAAAGAAATTGCAGAAAATTTAAGACAGCAATTTATGCCGCCAATTAGAAGTTTCCTTCAATACATAGTTCGCGAACAAAACGCTTTCAGAAACAGTTTACTAGCTATAAATGATTCAGTTAAATCAGTTAATAAAAAATTAAACATTGCAAAAAGTCAATTAGACAAAGCAAACCTAGATGTACTTCATTACTCAGCAGCACGAGGTGATAAATCTCGTAGAACAGTCAAAGAACTTGAAAATGATCTCGAAAAAATCAAAAAAGAACAAGAAGATACAATTAAAAACATCCAAGAAGTACAATATCCAAGACTCATGGATAACATAAGCGAATTAGATTTCTCAGTACGTACTACAATCAAAAATTCTATAATAAACTTTGTACATAATGAAATATCAGTTTCAGAAAAGTCTCTTGATGCTTTAAAGACAGTTGCAATATCAGCAGAGAGATACGAACCAGCGGCAGAAACTCAGAAGATTGCTAAAGCCCTTGGATTTGGCTCAAAACAGAAAAGTATCTTTGCAATTGCTCTTTGTAACTTTGATGGAGCTGATGACACAGATCTGCCTTTGTACAGAGGCCAACTAGTTGAAATTATTAGGCAGCATCCAAGTGGTTGGTGGGAAGGCGAAGCTGGAGGAAGAAAAGGATTATTCCCAATGACATTTGTTGAACCATTGGTTGATATTTCCAACGGTGCTTTGATAGTAGAAGAGAACTTTGAGGTTGACAAGAAGTGGGATGCCCAGAATCCTGGCCAGATATCATTAGATTTCGGAGATATTGTTCATGTTTATTCGATTTTTAATGATATGTGTAATGGATACAACATAGCGAATGGACAACATGGGTTATTCCCTACTAAGGTAATTAAATTTGTTAAGAACTTTAGATTGTAAATATTATTGTTTATTTATTCCTTAAAATGAAATATATTTTTTTTGGAAATCATATTAATTCATAGATAAATATAGTACATACTTTTTGTTATGAAGTTTACAATAATGAGCACACTAAGAATAAAGCAAAAATTAAAGAAACAAGCCTAATTTGTTTTCAATCTGGGTTTCCAAATAGAGATATCAAAATAAAATTTCTTTAAACATTGTTTTTAAATATGATCATTTAATGCCATTATCTAGAATCTATATGGTCTTATCACTTGAAACAATTTAATTGTGAATTAAAGGTTAAATGACAAATCTTGATGTTAATGCAAAGATAAATGAAAAACTATGTTATTCCCCGCATTTAATTTTTCCAAAATTCTCCAAATTTTTCTCAAAAATAGAAAAATGAAAGTATTTTTAACATTTTTATTATTCAAAAAACTAAAAATGAAATATTTTTGGAATTTTTACTAAATGCATTTTGATTATCCTTATGATGGATTAACAAATTCTTATCTCAAAGATCAGAAACTTATCAATTTTGAAATTTTGATTGTTAATTTCAAGATATTATCTCACAATCTCATCGACAATTTATAAAATTTCAACTAGTTATGATAATATTAACTAATAGTAATGTGTTGAGGGGAATTATTCAACAATTTGAGAATCCAAAGATAGAAAAGCAAGGATAAACTTCAGTTAATTTATGAATGTTCTATGTCCCAAAGATTCAATGGGAATTTAATTGAATATCAGTAAAAATAATAGAAAAATCAGAAAATTTATTAAGTAGAATTCTTTATAAATCAAACATTGCAATCTCGCCAGTAGCTCCAGATGTGAAAACTTTGGAATCACTGAAAGCGATTGCCTTAACAGCCTCGAATGATGGAGTTCCAAGTACAATTGACGATGTTTTTGTTTCTGGATCAATTGCTGCAGCTGTTCCATCGTTTGTGGCCACCCACAATCTGTTATTATGATATCTGAGTTTATTAATCATTGAATCGTACCAATTCCACTCAGAAATAGGAGCACCAAGATTTCTGGAATCCCAAAGGCAAATTGTGCCAGAATCTGTGCCTGCAACAATTTTATCGTTGTAAAAAGCAACAGATGAGAATTCTGAAGCACTGCCGTTATCCGGTGAAACAATGCCAGCTGATGTACGTAAATCGAGAGCTCTTATTGAAGTAGAAGTCGATACATAAATTGCATTTGTTCCAAAACAAAAATCTGTTACTGGATCTGCTACATCTGCAGTCGAAAGTGTGTTGTAGTGCTTAATATCCCATTTTTTAATGGTGCAATCGTCTGATCCTGAGTAAAGGAATTCTCCGTCGATTAAGATTCTTTTGACTGAAGCTTTGTGGCCTTTATACTTTCCAACGTTGAAATATTCATTGGAAAATGCATAAATTGAGAAATCTCCGCCACAGCTAAAGTATTGACCTAATTTTTTATCAATTATGCAATCTTCGACGTCAAAACCTGATGTTGGACCTTCCATTGGAACAGGTTCTGTATCCCTATACTTTAAGTATAGTTTACCGAAGCAATCACCAGACAAAACTTCGTCGCCATCTGCAGTAACAGAAAGGCAATTTACAGACGAGTCCTTATGAGTCTGGAACTTTTTTGATGGAGCTATGAATGTGCATCTGCCTTGAGGCGTTGATATTGTAAATTGGTTTCTAATTGTTGAATCGACTGATATTGTTTTATCAGGAGAGTTAAACATTTGGTCATTTTTGCTAATTTGGTACTTTGTTTCACCGATTTTAACCCAAAATGACTTAAGTTCGTTCCAATCACTTTGTATCTCCCACATCTTTGTCACTTTTTATCCCGACCGATTTTTCCAGGTTTATCCCCGAGAGCTTCATAAATTTTGGAAAATTGAATTGAATACCAAAATTTTAACAAAGAAAGATAGGATCGAAATAGAATATATCATAAATGCACCGATCATTGTCAAATATTGACGAATTCAGAATTTGATTACGTCAATGTTGATAAACTTGACTACATATTGCGCTCAGGTGAGTCACATGTTGACACATATGATACATACATTTGATATGTACCATATGTGTCAAGCTGTATATATATATGGCCTCGATCAGCTCGTACGCAAAAGTGACATCGAGATTTATATAATGGATAATCGCATATTCATCAACGTAAACTTCACAAAATTGAGAGAAGAGATATGAAAAATATGATATTCTATTACCAAGCGTAGATATAAGACAACTTATCGAGAAATCAAAATAAACTCACAGAAAATCTAAAATTTTCACTCAATTTATTGGCCTGATCACTTCTCAATTTTCCTCGACGATAGATATTTTTAAATTTTTTGTGTAGCTCGAAGAAAAAAGAAAAATAAAATGCAGCCTAAAGTGCAGGAAATAGGAGATTACATAGTTCTCCAAACTATAGGAGTTGGAGCTACAGGTAAAGTGAAATTAGGTGAGCATAAAACGAAACATACTCTTGCAGCGATTAAAATATTTAAAAAATCAAGTTTCGAAGCTCGGCCAGATTTACAGCAAAAAATCCAAAGGGAGACTGCATTGATGCGGTTGCTTGACCACCCTCATTTATTGAAGCTGAAAGAGATCTGTGAGTCTCCAAGGCATATCTATGTTATTTTAGAGTACGCTGCGCATGGTGAATTATTCGATTATCTCATGTCGCGACGAGCTCTTACCGTAGAGACAGCAATGAAGTTTTTCAGGCAAATTATTTACGGTCTTGACTATCTTCATTCAAATAACATTTGCCACAGAGACTTGAAACCCGAAAATATCCTCCTAGATGACAATGATAACATTAAAATTGCAGATTTTGGCTTCGCGCGCTGGATGACTGCGAATATTGCAGAAACATCTTGCGGATCTCCGCATTATGCGTCCCCCGAAATCGTTAAAGGCATTCCGTACGATGGAAGGCTAGCAGATATTTGGTCATGCGGCGTTGTTTTGTATGCTTTGCTTTCTGGCCGCCTTCCATTCGACGATCCGTCCTTCAGAAACCTTGTAGCCAAGGTCAAAGCAGGACAATACAGGATGCCAGACTTCCCACCTGACATCAAAGACCTCATTTCGAGGATGTTACAAGTTGATCCCGCAAAAAGGATCACAATCGAACAGATTAAGCATAACAGAGCATTTAGAATAGACTTACCCAGACGTTATACGATTCCTAGCCCTCTACCGAAAATTACAAAGATTGACCCAATCGATATCAACCAAGTTGACGAAGCCGTCATTGGCGCGCTCATTGATATCGGTATTCCTGAAGATCAGTTACCAGATCTTCTCAAAAGCGAAGAATTCAACCAGGCAAAGTATTTTTGCCACATTTTAACACAAAAAATCGCTCTCGATAAACTTCCGTGGTCTGTCATTAAAGAAGAGAAACCAGCTGACCAAGACGATGGAGCTTTCTTTATACAAGCGCCTGGACCAATGTCAGGAAACTTCCAAGCTCGAGATCCTTATCAAAGGAACAAAAGCTACGGAGAATCCAACAGTATGGTCACATACTCAATGGTTGATAAGACAGACTATGTTGAAACGGATTTCGTAATGCCAGAAGGCTCTTCAAGACAAATTACAGATATCTCAATTCAACTCGAAAATGTTTTCGGTCTTATTCAAGGCAAATTACTGGAAAAGGGATTCGATTGGTTCCATCCCAATGACCACATAATTTACGCTCATCGCAAGAATATCGAACCAAACTCTTACTACGTTATTCAAGCGAGCTTTCAGAATGACGAACTATTTACCCTTACGGTGAAAGTTCAAGGAGATTCCTCGAGATTCTTGGAATTCTTCACTGATATAGAGAATATTGTTAAAATGAATCATAATTAATTGAATATATAAACTTTCTGTTATACGTTGATATATAGAAGCTAATTAATGATCTTTTTCCCTTCAATTTTTTTTATCTCTTTATTTTTTTTTTGAATTATTAGCCTTTGGAAGTTACGATAAGTCAAACATCTTAAGTTGAACTTTCATATTAATATTAGAGTTTTATCAAAAGAAAATTTTTAAAATTTTATGGAATTACTGACCATTTTTACAGTAATTAATGAAAACTCTCATTCAACTTTACTATGCTCAAGTCATAAATGAAAATTACCCATGATAATGTGGATTGAATTTCATTCGTTAGTATTCTTACAAATACAACAACATTCGTCATAGGCATAACCAGCATTATTAGAAAATACTATTAAAAATTAATATAAAAAAACTTTATGCAATTGAATATGTATCTTCATCAGCTTGGTATATAAGACCATCTTCATTGAGCTTGGAAATGCGTCCTTCGATCTGAACAACCGAGAACTTATCCTTAAGTGCACTGATGATTTCTGATTTCGTAACTTGAGCACCTTCACCATGGGATTTCATGCATGAAAGGATTCCTTGATCTATATCACCTTCAGATGCTGCCTTTGTGTCAGCATGAGCAGTATTTGGCTGGTATGGTTCTCTATTTTGAGCTGTATATATAGTATTCTGTGGGAATCCACCTTTTGTAAAGTATAAATGAGCATGAATTGTATCAAGTGCATGATATGTTATCCTATTGTAATCATCAGCGTATTCGATTGATTCAATTGATAAGGATTTGGAATCATTTTCAAATTTTAACATACCAGTAATGGCTACATATCTGTTATCTTCAAATGGTTCTCTAACATTTGATGGATCAACACTTTCGAATGCTTCAATTGTACCTGAGCAATCGTTTAATACGTATTTATCTGTTGTAGCGTCTTGTTCTTCATGAGAAAGGATCTTACCAATGATTCTGATAACTTTGGCTTGAACTCCATTGATCATAAAAGCGTTATCCTTGACTTCAGCATTGAGAATTTGCTTGATTGTCACAGGAATGATGTTAACATTGGTCCTTACTATTTCATATGTTCTCTCTGAAGAGACATGATCATTTTCTGGCTGTGAAGTTATACTCATATTATTTTTTTTGGTTCCATACGTTAAGCTTTGTAAAGTGTCAAAATTTTTGGTATTTTTTCCAAACAATTAATAATCTTTTACTTTTATCGAAACTAAATCCAAATACTTTTTTAACTTTTTGGTGATACCCCCAGCATTTTTCTTTGTTGGTGTAATCCCCTGAATTTTTTAAACTCCTTACTTGATGAGCGAAGAAAAGCCTGAACTCACCAAAGTAATGTATGAAGTGGTTTCAAAAGCAGCGGAAATCAAAGAAAATGAGCATATTCTCGATGAAAAGGCAAAAGAATTGCTTGAAAATTACACTCCAGAAGGTTTTTCACAATTTTCAAATTTATATGACGAATCGCAGAAAATAATCCAAACTGAATCAAAGAGAATCACAGATATGTTCCTTGCAGTTGAAAAAATGATTGCACAATCCGAAAAAGGAATTAATAAAATCGAAATTCCATCTGCCAAGAAATTACAAGAGAATTTTTCCAAATATTCAAAAAATCCAAGCCTTCCTACACAAGCCGCTCCATATGTTCCTTTAACAGGATCTTCTCCGTGGCCTCAAAATCGCATTTTACCAAACAATTCATACGTTGTTGTTGTTGGAAATAAAGATGAAAACGGCGAAAACATTTACTGCGTAGCTGTTGTACTTGGCTTTGATCCATACACTCTTTCATATTATTGTTGTGATGCCGATCCAACTGGAGATGTTCCTCAAGAATTCATTGTTCCTTACAAAGAAATCATGCCTCTACCACAGTTCCAGCCTGCTCGACGCACAAAAGCAACAACTTACAAAATTAAAACTGATGTTCTTGCCGCCTGGCCAGAATTCGGCAGTTTTACATCTGTATTTTATCCTGCAGTTGTTGTGGCAGCTCCTACTACCATTCCTGGCAAATATAGACTTAGATTTGAAGGATCTCCCCCTTTGGTTGAAGATGTTCCTGAAAAACTTATTGTAGAGTTCCCCAAGAACAAGAAGAAATAATAAGTATCATAATGCACTTTGTTGCATTTCATGAAATTTATAGATTTTTTTGTATTTAATAAATTATCATTGATATATACTTGAAACTATTTATTTTTGGGATTCTTAGAATCCATGTTGTTGTTTAATATAATCAAATGAGTTTTGGAGATATTTTTTTTTCTATTTTACAAATTTTAGAGTCATCGCACAATTTTTTTATTAATGGATTGTTTTTTCTGATCTTTACTACACAAAATAGGTGGATTGAGATTTTGTAAAATGAATTTCTTTTTTCATTTCTCTCAATTGAAGCGATATATGATATTACATTGAATTAGATCAATCAAGACAAAACAATACATAATAAGATATGTAATAAAATTAATTCCGATTTCAATAATCTAAATCTAATATTTACAATAACATAAATAAGAGTATTATATTAAAGATTAACCAGTAATTCATTACAATTTCTGGAATTTTTGTCGTTCGTATTCGAAGTTAACCCAAAACGGCGCTTCAAATGAAGAATGAAGGACACGAGAAGCAATTTCAGCCTGAGCACTAATTGATTCATTAGAAATTGTACAGCAAGAGCTGATTGATGATTCGTAGGATTGAATGGCCGCTGCTTGAGAAGCCTGAGTACTTTCAACAATAATATGATGTCTTGACTGATATTTGCTATTTGTAGGTGTTTGTTTAGGAGCCTTCCAGAGATAAGAAGCTGCACGTTGAAGATCACTTGTAGGAGTGATTCTTGTGATTTTAGAGCGTATTTCGCGGTTGTTTAAATATCTGTTCACTTTTGACAAATTATTCATTGTATCAACTCTCGCTTCTTTATAGATTTTGCGAAATACAGAGTGTGCAGGTATTGTAGATTCATTTCTCGTTATCGGAAGCAGCTTAAACGCGAAAATGTTTTTATCTCGCAATTTAATTTTTTCTTTGTTTTCCAGCATTTGCTTTTCAACAAGGTTCATCGGATACTGCGGACCAAGAGCAAGAACAGCGGCAGGATCTTTCGCAATAGCTTTCAAAGCTTTATTTGGTTTTTTATCACTTTTTGTATTTCTTATAACTTCAAAAGTTTTTGTGACAATGTCAGGAACTTCCTCTTTATAGATTCCTGTATTCGCTCTCTGATGGAATGGTCTTCTTGGTATTCTGCTTACAATCTCTATCCATGGCGCGTATCTTCGATTTGTAACATCAAAAATTGTCATTCGTTTTACAGGGACCATTTTAACAGCTGTTCTATATTTAGATTGCTTTGGTGGTCGACCAACTTGTGGTGTCTCTGATGATGGCCGGTAATTTATAGAAAAAGTTGAATCATTTTCTGCTGATTCGTCATTTTCATCGGAACTTGTGGATTCAAAGACAACATAACGATCATTATTCTTATGTGATCTCCGTCCTGGCTTTTTTGGCCTTTCAATTGGAAGAAAATTCGGTTTTTCAATTGAATTAAATATTCTTAATAATTCGCTGTTAAATGGTTTTTTATGATTAATTACAGCCGATACCCTTGTTAGTTTAATTATTTCTTGTGGTATGACCATGTTTTGTTTCATTTCAGTTGTTGAATAAATTTTCATTAAATTGTCAAGAGAAATTAAAGGAACAACGTTTCCCTTTATGCCTGGAGTTTTAGAAACACTTGCAGAATTTGGAATTGATGCTACATCAGTTATCTTTAAAATTGGATTTTGACCAACTTCATTAATTGGTGGTCTAGGTGCATGAATTTCAACAACTTGCATTTCTAAATCTGTTGATGCGTCTTCTGACTCATTTTTCTTCGGATTCGTAGAAACATCAATTACTTTTGCTGTTTCTTTGCCGTTTTTATTATCATTTCCAGTTTCATTTTTAATATTTGTTTCGGATTCACCATTGTTTTTCTCTGAAGCTTGAATCAAATTATCTTCTATATCTGACTTGTCAGTATTATGATTGGTAGGATGATCACTCTCTTTAATGTGATCATCTACTGCATTTCCAACTAAATTATGTAAAGAATCATCCATTTAGACCAAGTTATAAAAGAGTTAGAATTTTGTTAAAAAAAGTGAAAACGTGACAGTTGGAGGACGATATAATTTCTTTTTGAAAAATTCTCTTTAGAGCTCATAAAATACACTGATGGCGATGGTGTAGATATTTATTCTAAATAAAAGGATTTTTGTGATCAAATTTATTTAATTATTTGAAGTGAGACCTCCTTTTCATCTATAAGTACCATATTTCAAATATAGTATATCTTAGAACTTATTTTCTCCCTGCACAAGCTTCAAGAATTTGCAATTTATTACACATTACGCAATGATTGATTCAATATTACTGGATGCATTAAAATTATTCACATGAGCCCAATATATTATTTCTAAATAAGGATGAAATGCTTTGGTGACGTTTGTAGAAGTCAAAATGCGAATCAAAAATCCAAAAAAATAATTTAAATATATGAAGTGTTATTTTATGTCGTTGAGTTTATATTCGTGTATATATATGAGGACAATATGTTGTAGTTGAATTGATGCAATAATCGCGTAAATGATTTGTGAATCTCAAATTGAGTGGTATAATTCTGCTCTATATTTTGAATTCAAAAGGTGTATAATGAAAATAAATATATTTTAAGATAATATACTAACATAAGCATGAAAAAAGATATTGATGTGTAATTTTCAACAGATTTAAAGATTGGTATATATTTTGATTTTTACTATTGATGTATTTATCGATCCTATATGGTAATAATATGTAATAATAAGTAAATATAATGAAGGTAATTGAATATAATGCCTCAGTATTGTAATACTTTAGAGAATGATAAATATATAAGATGTTCACCACAACATTAACTCATAAATTTCGAAACTATACGATAATTACGATGATTTTGGGTACATCTAAGTAAAATCTTGACCAGACAATTTTTATCACATATTAAAATCTCAAATCAAAATATTCCAATGAAAATATTAGTGTCTCATAGAATAATTTGAGATTCATCTTTTGGCAGCAGGAAAAATCGCAAAAATACTGTCAAATTATTCATTAGAAGTAAGTGGGAATGTTAAAATTGATTTATCCCAAGTTTCTTTTGAAATTTTTGGCTTTCCATCCGAAAAAAAGGCAGTTCAAACATTTGATATCATCACATCGATACAAATAATTTCATAATGGAAAGGACCACAGAGAACCACGACGATTAAGAATTTACAATGACGATCAGTAATCAAAATTTTTTTTTTATCAACCAGAAAAAAATAAATGGACAACCTACACTACAACATTAGATATGGCTTCCTTGATGGCTACGTCCGTGCTTGCTTCACAGAGTTCCTCACAGAAGCCGATTATATGCAGCTTAAGCAATGCGAAACCCTTGAAGATTTCCGTCTTCATCTTTCCAATGCTGGTTTCCAATCATATCTTCAAAATGATGCCGGCACAGCTTCACCAACAGTTATCTACGAGCGCTGCCTTGAGAGATTAGTCGATAAGTTTAATTATGTTGAGTCCCAAGCTTCCGATGAACTCAAGACATTCTTCCAGTGGCTCAGAATTCCATTCATGATTGACAATGTCATCATTATTATTTCTGGTGTTGTCCACGACCACGATGTCACAGAACTTATCGAGCGTTGCCATCCACTTGGTATGTTTGATGGTATCAAGGCTTTAGCTGTTGCATCAACAGTCCAAGATCTTTATCAGATGGTTCTCGTTGATACTCCACTTGGCCCATTATTCTCCAAGTGCCTCAACACAAACTCACTTAGCGAACAGAATGTCGAATCAATCCGTCTGAAACTCTACCGTGAATACTATGATCAGTTTTATGAATTCTGCAAGAATCTCGGTAGTGAAACTGCTTTAGTTATGTGCGATCTCCTCGAATTCGAAGCCGACAGACGTGCTATCATCATCACATTGAACTCTATCCGCACATCAATGATCGCTGATGACCGCGAGGCCCTTTACCCACGTATTGGCCAGCTCGCTACAATCACATCTAAACTCGCTGCCAAGGGCGCTGGCGAAACAACACTCGCTGATGCCCTTCAGCCATTCGAGACATACAAGAAGCTCTTCGATTTGTCTCGTACTTCATCTAAGACAATCGAAGAGGTCTTCCTCGAGAGGGCTGCTCTGATGCACGTTGAAAGCTTCAGCGTATTCTTCTCATTCGCTGTCTTCTACTCTTGGGTTCAGCTTATGGACCAGGAAGTCCGCAATATCCAGTGGATCGCAGAATGTATCCACCAGGGCAAGCGTGACCGCGCTGACAGCTATGTCCGTATTGCTCCATAATTCTCTTTTTTTTTCGAATAAATTACATTTTTTCTTTTCTCTTAAAATTAAACATTTTTTAGACTTTAATTACACATATGTTATATTTTTTAAACATGTCTATCATCAGATCAATTGATTCTAATGATCAATATACACTATCTCTGTGATTTCAATCATCATTTTGACATAGATATTGATCATCTCTAATGATTTCATAGGCGACTTTGCTATTTTTGTTAGAGAGAAATATCTCTTCCCATTCAACTCAGAGTTATATCATAATTTTTTGGAGAAGGAACGCTGCTTCGCGCCGATATAAGCTGAAAAGTGTAAACGGTCATTACATTTTGCAAATGTCAAACGAAAAAATTGCTGATCTTCAGAATCTTAGAGCCGAAGTCGAGAAAGTAATGCAATCTGTCCACGAATTCGACGAAAAGATTGAAAAAAGAAATGAAAATAGACTCCAACTCATTCAAAAACTCTCTGATCTTCTTCCAAAAGAACAATTCGAACGTTTTGAAGCTATTCTCAACAAGACAGTTGATGCAGTTCGTCCTGCTCCAGATCCAGCTACAATTCCACCACTTCAGATTGATGAAGAAAATCCACTCGAAAGTTTAAGAAAGATCCGTCTTCAAATAGCTCAGGAAATTTGCGCTGTCATGGGTGTTGAGGCTCCAACACTCTAAATTCTTTTTTTTAATTAACGATTTAAATAAATATGTACATATTATGCCAGTTATTCTAAAACATTTACTATATCCTTTTTACATGATTTTCTAATGCCTTTTTTTAGCTACTGAACCTAGAGAAAAATAATTTTTTTTTATCTTAGAAATAAGGCACGTCACAACCATAAATTCTGCATATTATGGATACATGGACTCCAAGACTTTGATCAATTGCCTTCTTAAAAACTTCATTATCTAATTCATTCATAAGATGGCCTTTCAACAACATAATATATCGGCAAGAGTAACTGTTAATGTACGTATATTCTAATATTTTGAACTTCGGATATAATGAATTATGGTGAAAATGCATTTCAATTGCACTCAAGCTTTCATTCATTTATAGAGAATCTTTTACAAGATTTGGATATAGAAGATCTCATCGATGAGATTTTTGATGGAAATGAAATAGACTTGACGAAAGTTAATGAATACTTCAAAAATTCTTTTGATTTTCAACTAAGTACAGATATAATTCATGCATTATTCAACAATTCTATTCAAAATATTAACAATTCATCAATAGAAATCCAACTAAAATCTTTAGATTTCATATATGTCATATTATCTAAAAAAGAACACGACTTTTCAGAATTCTCTTCATTAGATTATGCAAATCAACTTCTGTCTATTACAAGCTTTGAAGATATACGAGTTTATTTATATGTAATTGGCATTTTATATAATATTTTTAATATTAATAGAGATTGTCTTCATAACATAGATCAAAATCTGTTTTTCTCAATCATTCATAACTTAATTTCATCATTAGATCCACAGATTCCAATAATATCTGCTGATAAAAGTTATTTTTATACAATATTCACAAATTTCATGAAAATTTTGTTCAAACTTCTTATATGCGAGATTCATGATGAAGAATATTACAATAAAATTTGGATTTTATCATTTGAATTGATCAATCACAAATCAGGCGAATCAATACTTACATCATGCGGATTTTCAGTTCTATGCCTACTACTTGACAATAATTTTAAACAAAATCTTTCAGAAGAAGATTTAAATTCAATTTTAATTTTTTCCAACGAAAATGCAAAAATCATTGAACCAATTTACAGATTTATTGCAAACTTCAATGATACAACCATTATTAATGCTCTATTCGAAAAAGGTTTGATGTCAAATATTATTTCGATTTTACAACAAAAGAAAATCGAATCATCAATTGTTTTACGTTTTCTTAAGACCATAGATTACATTCCAGCACCAAATGATATCATTTTCTCAGTTTCAATTGAATTATTTAATTCTCAGTTGAATCCTGTTAAAATTTCAGCTGTTAATTATGCATCATTCTTCCTACAGCATACTCCTTCATCAGAAATCATGTCTGCTATTCCGAAACCACCTTTTCTCCTCTTAAGTTCATTAATTGACGAAAGTGACCTCGAAGTTTCGTTTTCTTCCATAAAAATCATAGAAAGGATACTTAATATTATGATAAATGAAGGTATTAAAGTACCTTCTAACATAGTAGCAAACAAAATTGTTTCTGCTCTCGATGAAATTTATGGATTGAATCAGGAAATTGACGAAAAAGCAGATTTGATAATTCAAATATTACACCCAGAAAATTAAACATTATATTAATATTAATTCTTGTTAGAATAAAAAATACATTTGAAATTTTCATATTTTATTTACTTGGGAACATATTTCATGGATATTTTAAGCTCATTTGGAGATACAATTAATTTCACACACCAATTTGTTTAATTTCTGTCTAGACTTCAAGAAAGCAAATTATCACATATTTCTTACCAATAATTTATAACTATTATTGGAATAATATTTGAAAATATCATGTAACGTGGGTGAGTTTTCATTCAGCATGATATTTTCCAGGGATTATGGGTGTATTTACCCTAAAATATTTGAAATAACTCTGCATGGCATTTGCCGGCATGAAAACTCACCCTACGTTACTAGAGAATTACAAAACGTCGGAAAAGTGTTAATTTTCGAAAATCGAAATTGAAATAAAAAGTACGACATTTAAAATTTTTGGTTGATGTCCAAGGGAGAAATTAACCAAACTCATTATGACAAATTGATGGAGATTTTTATAGGATATAATGATGTCTACAATGCTTTGTACAAGCTGAAAACAAATGACGAAGAAAAATTAAACGCAATTTACAAAAAAATCAAACAAAACCTGATTGACTCTTATCAAATTTCTCCTGGTGAAATTATCAATGATATATCCGAACTTTCAATTTATAACAACCGCTACATGAAGTCATATTTAGCGATTGCCAAACAAATTGTTGACAAATACCATCTAAATCAGGTCAACGAAATCAACAAAGTTTTTAATTACCTTTTCTACAAAGAATACAGTATTGTTTTAGATGAAAACTTGAAATTTTTTAACGAATTTGAAAATTCTCATTATTCATCTGATATTCACGAACAAAAGACACTTCACAGATCTATTATGGATGATGACAAAATATCATTGATAATTTTTACAGAAGGAGAAGAATTTGATAAAAGACAAAAATTAGATAGTGATTTATATCCAATTCCAGTAATTAATACGTTACTTGAATTATGTTGTTATCATGGATCTGTTGATTGTTTTAAAATATTAAGAACGAAATTTCAATCAGAAATAACTTCAGATTGTCTTAGATATTCATTTTTGGGTGGAAATCCAGACATTATGAATGAATGCTTGAAAGTACAAATACCAGATAATCTATGCATGAAATATGCAATTATATCACACAACATTGATTTTGTCACGTTTTTGATGAATGAACACAACATAAAAATTGATTTAGAATTGTGCTCTCAATACAATAATCTCCAATCATTTTTAGTTTATTTGGACCAAACAAATGATATCAACACATGTTTTGTTTATTCTCCGAATTTCCATCTTTCATCACTTTTAGAATATCTTATTTCTAAAGGCGCAGATATCAATGCTAAATCAAAAAATGGATGTACCCCTCTTCATTATGCAGCCAAGAATAATAACAAAGAAATGGTAGAAATCCTTATTTCAAATGGCGCAGATATCAATACTAAAACTAAAGATGGATTTACCCCTCTTCATTGGGCAGCCATGAATAATAACAAAGAAATGGTAGAAATCCTTATTTCTAATGGAGCAGATATCAATGCTAAAATTGAAGATAGATCTACCCCTCTTCATTATGCAGCCATGTATAATTGTAAAGAAATTGCAGAAATCCTTATTTCAAATGGCGCAGATATCAATGCTAAAACTAAAGAAGGATTTACCCCTGTTCATTATGCAGTCAGGAATAATAGCAAAGAAACGGCAGAATTTCTTATTTCAAATGGGGTCATATAGAGTTTCCTGATACAAATTATTGTGCACGGAAAAAGTGACAGGAAATGACAATAAGAAAAGACGATTAAAATTAACTCAATTATCCACTTTTTTTTAAATTGAAAAATAAATAAGAAACTCAATGTCCATTTTGAGATTATATTAGAAGAATGTTTCCAAGAAGAGATTTTCTCAACTTCTTTTTTCCGTGAATGATCTTACCTGATAGTTGCATTTTGACAATCCATCTGACTTTAATTCAAATTTCTGATAACTGGCGTGAAGCGCCATTGAAAATCAACCTTAATCATATGAATTGAGGGCAGTGTCAAAGGGGCGTAAGTGCACCCTTAAGAAACTTAGTTAATATTCACTACCAAAATTTATCAATATTCCTGTGAAATTAAATATTAATTTTATATTTTAATAATAATAAAATAAACAAATCATTCACGATTAATATCTTGAGAATTTCTCTTGAATTCGTTGCCATCAACATCAGCATCCGCTTTTTCTTCTATCTTAATGCCATACAGTTCATGCCCTTCGATAATATTCTTAGTAATTTTCACCTTTCCCTGTTGCAAATAAACAGCGCATTTTTTGTTGTTTGCGAACTTTGTTTGAGTGATTGAACCAGAACTTTTACCATACAAGAAAGCTCCAAGTCCATTATCATTCACTCTGCACATGGTCATCTGTATTTCACCTTCGCAAGCAATTCCAACGTTTTTATTCTTCGAAACGGTGCAATCATCGAAAGTTGCGACACAATTACTGCATATGTTAATTCCAGCTTTTTCAGCAGCCGAAATGAACTCAGATCCAGAAGCCTTCATCTTTGCTTTATCTCTAAGTTCTATGTGCATATTATTACTATCAAATGTTGCACCTTTGGCAGCAACTCTTCCATTCATTACAGCGAGAACAGCGACATCATTTGAAACAAATTTTGTTCTGTCAACAAATGCTCTGCTGTCTTTTCCTTCAACTTGCATGGCTACACAACTATGTTTAGTGACAAGGCAGCTCTTCAATGTAACAAACGACTCAAGTTCAACTGCTATTCCCAAATGTTTGTTGTTTTCTATTGTTGTTGACTTGAAAGTGATATTTGACTTGTTTTCAAGTGATGCACCAACTTGCCCGTTCTCCATAACAGAGCATGTATCAACAGTCATAGCAGAACCACCTCTTGCACATATTCCGCCACTCGCGTTCTTGTCTGCTCTGCATCTTTTGAGAGAAACCTTTGATGACCTGACTTCGAAACCGGAATATCTGTTTGACATCGCATTGCATAAACTCAGTTCAACAGACGAGTCAATGATAACAATACCGCATTGTCTGCATCTCGTGAAGTTGCACTGATCAATGGAGAAACCAGTTTGAACACCATTGATTTCCAAACCTGAAAGCGCTGATCCGTCAACATGTGTATTCACTAATTGCGCAGAATGACAATCATTAACTAATATTCCAAGCTCGCAGGAGTTCAATACGTAACTATCTGCTAGAACTAAGCTTCCACCATGGCAAACAGTTACTCCTGTTTTGTCTGTTCTTTCAATCCTTGTATCATTGAGTGTCAATGTCGCATTGTCGCTGACTAAAACACCACGGCCATGGATATCTTGTAAAACAGCAGATCTCATCATTACGCTCGAATTGTCTGCACAACAGATACCTAAGATGTCTGTACTAACAATCTTGTCGGCGTGGGAATCGATTGTGGCTTGTTCGAATGCAAACAATGTGGAAGGATTTCCACAATGTGAAAAAACGTTTTCGGATAATCTTGCAGCACTTCCTTCGCGTGCTTCGAGGCCTGCTAATGTGCAACCTTCTATTGTGCAACCAGTTATGCGGAGTGAAGCTAATCCGTATAAAGAAATGCCATTCATTCCACAACCTTCGATGCTGGAGTCGATTAAAGTGATTGTTTTGTCTGAACAACTTTCAACACCGTTTTGGGAACAGGCTGTGATACGGCATTTCTCGGATATGAATGAAGAATGGCCGCATGAGAGTATACCACTCTTTGTGAAGCCTTGTATCGTGCAACGAGTGAGTTTTGTTTGGGAATTATCTCTGAATACAAGACCGTTGGCTGTACTGCCTTGGAAGTTGCATAATTCGAATGTACAACAGCTATTATCGAGCGTTAGTACGTTTGGCGCTGACTTGCTGATGAAACGACATCCGTTAACATTTGCAACTGAATCTTTGGAAACGCAAATGGAAGGACATGTATCCGATTTGATTGAACAATCGAGAAGTAATACAGATCCTGATTTAATAAGCATTGCGGCCTCTGCGTCTTCTTCTGTTTTTCTTTGTGTGATTTCAAAACCACGGAAGGATACACCATCAGCGGCAACTGTAATTGCGGGTTTATCAGAAGTACCAATAAGCTTAACATTTCCGTTTGCTAAGATTTTAAGTGGCTTATTAATATATAAAACATCCGAATAAGTTCCTGAGGGGATATTAATCGTTGTACCTGGTTTAGCATCTTCAATCAATTTAGAAATTACGAATTTTTGTCCTTCACGAGGAGAAATTATAACGTCGTTTAATTTTGGATATTTAAATTGAGGTAAATCGAACTGAATAATATCTGATGGTGGTAAAGTTTGTCTTTGTGATGGATCATATCGCTTATTTTCTGTTTTTTCTTGGGATTTAGTTTCTTTATCTTTTGCGTTTTGTTTTTTAGTTGGTTTTTCTATTGATGGAGGAGGAGTTGAATCAGATGATTCTTCCTCATAAGCATACGACTCGGAATCTTCACTTTTACTCCTTCTCCTTTGTTTTGCGCTCATTTCTAATTTTTTTTTACATAACGAAAGGAGTTATTTTGGATATTTCGCCTTTAGCAAATACTACATATGTAAATCATTTTTCACCCAATAAATATGCCAAGATTTTCTGGATATTGAGTTGATTTTGATTTCATTTGTTAAAAATTCATTAATAATATAGAAAATTACCGAAATTTCTGAGAATTTCAATATTTCTAGGTATGAAATGAATAGATACTACTCAAATGTTTTGTGAAATCTCGAAAAGAGCAAATATTGATATTTAAACATTCAATTTACAACCTAATCAATACACAAATTATTATAAATCGTCTGACTTGATAATATTTTTCACTTTTATTAATGAAGAATTCTGTTCAACGTAAGATTAATGAATTAAAGACTTTAACAAATGATCCAAGTAATGAACTAATCGAAGCACTTTCATCTATCGACGATACTACGTTTAATAGCAATACTTCAGTTCGAACTTTATTAGAAGAAAAGGAACTAAGCGAACTAAATAGATTTATCGAACAATTTTCACAACTAACAACTACTATTGATCGTGTTTTTACAACAATTGATCTCCTTGATAAATCATGTGATCAAATGCTTACAAAATTGTCAATCGGCCAAAAAGGAGTCGATGAAGTTTTAGACATGACAACATCATTATACATTCAACAAGAAAAACAAAGAAATCAACTTACAAAAATACATAGTTTTATTGAAGAGTATTATCTATCAGAAGAAGACTTTGCATGTCTCGAAAAAGGTGATATTGATGATAAATTCTTTGATGCTTTCTCTCATCTCGAAGCATCTCAAGAGCGAACATCAAATGCATTATTAACTCAAAAATCTCGTAGTCTTACAGACGCATTAACCGCTCTAAATGCCGCAAAAGAGCGTGCTTATGGTCGTATACATGGCTGGTTCCATGCAAATAGTCATATTTTTAACAGATTACAGCCAACTATTCCTTCTTCATTCAATAAATGCTTGACAATCATCAAATCCAAACCAATACTTTACGGATTCGTCTGCAGCGAGATCGGACAAGTCAGAAGTAGCGTAATTGGACCAGCTTTCTTAAATGCTTTGACATCACCAACAGCCGACAGCCGCCCACTCGAAGAAACAGCCAGTGCTGATCCATTAGCATTCTCCAGTAACGTATTTGCCTGGATCCATCAAACAGCAGCAACAGAAGCCACTTTTTTGGCAACAGTTTTGAAAGAAGACCAAAATTCGCCAAATATACAGAAAACACTCGACGACGCCTTCGAATCAGTCTGCAGACCTCTTGATAGTCGTGTCTCACAAGCTATAAGAGGTCTTGTTAGACCGGCAGACTGTTTCCAAATGGCAAACATTTGTTCATACTTTTTCTCAAAAATTTCTGACATTTGTGGTATCACTTCACCTGTAGCCAAAACCACAAAGAATCTTGTTGACATGTCCTCAAAAACGTTTAGACAAGCCATTTCTGAGAGCACAGATGTCATAAAGAGCTCAGTTCGACCTTCACAATCCGCATTTCATGAAGCTCTAAAAATCATGAAATTTGTCACTTCACAACACGAACAAAGCTCTTTATCTATATCATTTGATGTCTCTTCTCTCATTGATAACTATGCAGCACAACTCCACACAACTGTTGTTTCAATGAAAGAGAATTTACCTTTCCAAGCAACATATTTGTACGAACTTTCGAATTTGGCGAAAGATGCGAACTTAAAGTGCTCGAATGATATAGAAAAAGACAAAGACAAGGTTGTGGCACAGATTATAGATATAGAAGTATCAGAATTCTTGAGAAGATGCAGAAGTACAGAGCTCATTAATCTCTTTACTTCTCCACAACAAAAACCTTTGTCAACTGTTGCCGGTGGTGAAGAAAACCTCGTCAGAAACACTGTGAAGAGACTGGAGAATGCGTTGATTGGAACAGGCAAACTTCAGACACCTCTCTGCGATGAACTGAGTAATAATGAGCTGAAGAAACTCGCAAAAGAAGAAGTTTCGAAGAAATTAGTTAATGCGTATAAAATTTTGTTTGATTCTGTGATGGATGCAAGGAATGGATATTTGAATGGTGGAACTATATTCAAATATACACCTGAGCATATCAAAGAATCAATTTCTGTTTAAAAAAAAATTATAAATTTTCAATTACATTTTTTTACCTTCAAATGAAATAATTTAGGGATTTTTAGTAACTTTTTAAAGGCATATTTGCTTAGCTTGCAAGGTTTGAGTTAATTTCATTTTATCTTTTTGATCAGAGTTATTCTTTTTGAAGGAAATCTTGAAAATACAACATGTATTCTATGCATATTGACAATTTTATTAGAAGGCATCATTTTTTGATTTTTTATCACTTTTTCAATTGATAAAAATAGTTCATCTAATATTTCCTTAGGAATTATAATTTTAAATGATATGTCAGTTTATTCTGCTATAATAGAGGTTCCTACACATGTAATCCTTATTATAAAATATCAAACAAATATCGTAATAATTGCGATTTAAATTACTTCACTTCATCTCATCCAAATGAGTGATAACATTTGACAAGATCGTTAGTGGAATTTTAAAGAGAAAATGGGGGCGAGCATCATAAGAAAAATTTTTCGAAAAATAGGGGGGGTTAGTATACTCATGAACTTTTACCTCTTTTCGAAGTTTATTCCCAAAGTGACGATGAAAACGATAGAGAAACGGTTGCTATTTCAATGCTGAACATCGTTTCTCATTGCAAATCAATTGATTTCGAAGTTGTGCTTAGAATTGCTGCTTCTTTGATAGATAGCTATGAAAAACTATGTGAAAACACTGCAAAGTGCGAAGCGGCTGCATATCAGTGTTGTGTCCTTTTATCAAACCAACTTCAGAAAAATGATGAAAATTTAACGAGAATTATACGTTCTGTAGAAGAATACTTTGGCTAATTTATGCATATTATTGTTTGTAATACTAAATATTGTGTTTATTCATGTTAAATCTAATTTTTGAATGGTAAAAAAAAATAGAATATAATGATGCTTGCATCGATTGCGCATCATACAGTAAATGTATTTGCTAATTGAAAACAAGACAAAATACTGAAAGAAAAGAATACAATTCGTATGAAAGTTTAATGAAAAAAATCTACATTTAATTCTAATAAGGAATCTATTAAGCCAATTATCCTCAAACCAGCTCCAAGTGCTCAAAATTTAGTTCAAACTCAAGATGATGATAACATAAATAAATTAATGGGAGAAAATCGATATCTTAAAGATCAAGTAAGGACGATTGAAAATATGATTGCAGAAAATAGAGTGTTCATGACAAATTATACCTTAAAATCCGCTAAAAAGATCCCCACTCAAAACGAAAGAAAGACGAAGAACTTAATAATCAATTTATAGAAGTGATTAAACCAACCCATTCATGAATAGAAAAAAGAATTCAGCAAGAGGTGTATCAACTAAAAATTAAAAACTGAAAAGCCACTTTTTCTCACTTTTTCCCTCATTTTCGCCTGACATTTTATCGTATTTTTAATCCATTATATAATCTTTAATTAGTTGATAGCCTCCCGCCTGACATTTGACGCGGCAAATTAGAAAAGTGCAAAATTCTTATTACAAATGGGAATGTGAACTTTCATGCAGAAACATTCTTGAAAGAACTTTTTATTGGCTAAGAATGATTTTAGAATCAGAAAGTGTTTACAAGTCTTTAATAATAGTCCTTGAAATTGAATTTTTGAATTTCAATTTAGTGGCTGAATAGTATTTTCCTTTTATTAGTTCATACTCAGAAATAATTTACAATAATATTCACTTTACACCACATAAGATCCATCACAATTCCCAATATCTATCATCATAATATAAAAAAACATCGAGGCTATAATTTTGGCATACACCCTTCACGACATGGATTGTGTAAGTTGGATTTTTCCAAAAAAATAATTACTGAACAAATTGTATATTTGCCATAAATTATCTTGGTAATTTGATTAAGTCTTTGACAAAATAATGCCAAACATTTCTAATATAGTATTTTTAACTTGCTGGAAATGTTTTTATGCATAAACAAATTTTTATAATTCCAAATTCTAAATAATAAACAATATTTATCTACATAGGATGCTATCTTTAGAAAATATATTATTATAATCAGACTTTGTAGAATTGTTATTCCTTAATAGAGGGATATTATTTTCACTAAATATCAATGATCAAAGTTAATACTTATTCATTTCTATCTATTTATATGCATTATCCAATATATAAGCAGGTAGGTATTGAAGTATTAATGGAAATTTGATCTAAAGATCCAGAAAATTATGAGGTAATATATATGTACAACTGCATTATTAAGATGCTCTATGGATGAACATTAATCGTTGAAACAAGTTTAGCTTAGATATGATGGTTAGAGTTGATACACTTCTATTCAGCAAAATTTCATAGTATCCGTGGAGTAACCGTTGATGAAAGAAACCATTATTAGAATATAGCTCTTCTTTTGAAAACGAAATTTATGTAAAAGTACGACATTTAAAATTTTTGGTTGATAAAAGTGTAATTATTATACTAATGATTATTTTTAATTCTAATACCGAACAGCATTTGAATCAAACCTACCCCCTAAAAAATTTTTTGGTGGAAAATTATCAATTTAGGAGTATTGGAAAATTTTTGGTTGAAAAGTCTTTAACATCTCATTTTTTGGTTGATGTCCAAGGGAGAAACTAACCAAACTCATTATGACAAATTGATGGAGATTTTTGCAGGATATAATGATGTCTACAATGCTTTGTACAGGCTGAAAACAAATGACGAAGAAAAATTAAACGCAATTTACAAAAAAATCAAACAAAACCTGATTGACTCTTATCAAATTTCTCCTGGTGAAATTATCAATGATATATCCGAACTTTCAATTTATAACAACCGCTACATGAAGTCATATTTAGCGATTGCCAAACAAATTGTTGACGAATACCATCTAAATCAGGTCAACGAAATCAACAAAGTTTTTAATTACCTTTTCTACAAAGAATACAGTATTGTTTTAGATGAAAACGGGGAAAATTTTTTTAACGATTTTGAAAATTCTCATTATTCATCTGATATTCACGAACAAAAGACACTTCACAGATCTATTATGGATGATGACAAAATATCATTGATAACCTTTACAGAAAGAGAAGAATTTGATAAAAGACAAAAATTAGATAGTGATTTATATCCAATTCCAGTAATTAATACGTTACTTGAATTATGTTGTTATCATGGATCCGTTGATTGTTTTAAGATCTTAAGAACGAAATTTCAATCAATAATCACTTCAGATTGTCTTAGATATTCATTTTTGGGTGGAAATCCAGACATTATGAATGAATGCTTGAAAGTACAAAAACCAGATTATGAATGCATGAAATATGCAATTATATCACACAATATTGATTTTGTCACGTTTTTGATGAATGAACACAACATAAAAATTAATTTAGAATTGTGCTCTCAATACAATAATCTCCAATCATTTTTAGTTTATTTGGACCAAACAAATGATATCAACACATGTTTTGTTTATTCTCCGAATTTCCATCTTTCATCACTTTTAGAATATCTTATTTCTAAAGGCGCAGATATCAATGCTAAAAACGAAGAAGGATGTACCCCTCTTCATTATGCAGCCAAGAATAATAACAAAGAAACAGCAGAAATCCTTATTTCAAATGGCGCAGATATCAATGCTAAAAACGAAGATGGATGTATCCCTCTTCATTATGCAGCCAGAAATAATAGCAAAGAAACAGCAGAAATCCTTATTTCAAATGGAGCAGATATCAATGCTAAAGACAAAGAAGGATTTACCCCTCTTCATTATGCAGCCACGTTTAATAACAAAGAAACTGCAGAATTTCTTATTTCAAATGGAGCAGATATCAATGCTAAAAACGAAGAAGGACGTATCCCTCTTCATTATGCAGCCAGAAATAATAGCAAAGAAACAGCAGAAATCCTTATTTCAAATGGAGCAGATATCAATGCTAAAGACATAGATGGATCTACCCCTCTTCATTGGGCAGCCACGTTTAATAACAAAGAAACTGCAGAATTTCTTATTTCAAATGGAGCAGATATCAATGCTAAAGACAAAGATGGATTTACCCTTCTTCATGATGCAGCCACGTTTAATAACAAAGAAACAGCAGAATTTCTTATTTCAAATGGAGCAGATATCAATGCTAAAGACAAAGATGGATTTACCCCTCTTCATTATGCAGCTAGGTATAATAACAAAGAAATGGTAGAAATTCTTATTTCAAATGGCGCAGATATCAATACTAAAACTAAAGATGGATTTACCCCTCTTCATTATGCAGCCAGAAATAATAGCAAAGAAATGGTAGAAATTCTTATTTCAAATGGCGCAGATATCAATGCTAAAGACAAAGATGGATGTACCCCTCATCAAATAACAACCAGGAATAATAGCAATATTTACTTTGATTTTTGAGAAGTTTACGGTGTCATGAAAAAAAATTCAAAGGCCTGGCGTTACGAAAAGCGTGACACCGTAAATTTCTCAAAAATATATGTAAACTTCTCAAAAATAAACAGTTTCATATTAAAAATGAATAGTTTACGTCATAATGCCTCGTGAATCCAACTTTGAACTTTGCATCTGCAATGCAAAGAAATATGATTTTTGATATTTTATTCGATAACTCTAAAGAATAATTTTGCAAATTATCTCAGACTTTTCAGAGGATTGAGTGACAAAATAATAGGTTTATAACAAATAATACGTTTATAACAAATAAGTATATTAGGATGTATTCATTTAGAAAATTTTGTGTTTTCTTGAAGGATCTTTCGTGAAATTTTCACATTCTTCTCTAACTTCTCAATTTCTTTATCTAAATCACTTACATTAGAGTTACTCTCGAATTCAAATGAATTGGATGAATAACATGATGATGAGTCAAGAATATGAACATTTTTATGTTTTTTGTATGAAATATGTTCTTTATAATCTTGGTTTTCTTTGGTACTTTTAGATGATTTGTGATGATAAGTTGTGCTTTCTTCATGACAGTCACGATGTTTCTTTCGGAAATCTTCAATTTGTTTTTGGAGTTTGCAAATAAACTTTTTAGATTGACAAAGTTCGTATTTAAGTTTGGATACTTTGTTTGTCAAGTTTTCAATTGTTTCTTTCGAATTAGATTGAGAATCACGACGCATCTGCTTTAACAAGATAGTGTTTTCTTCCATCTGTTCTTGAACACTTTGTTTGGATTGCTCAAGTAAAGATCTGAGTTCTTTGTTTTCTTGAATAACATTATCAAATTCTTTTTGCAAGCGTTCAACTTGATTTGTTAAAAATCGTGATTTTTCTTGCTCTTTAAAGAGTGAAGATGATGTACTGTTGTATAACCGTTGAAGATCGGAAATTTCATATCGCGTTTGCTTTTCAGAACTGATTGCATCTTCTGATTTGACTGAAAATTGTTCGATCTTGGATTTGAGGATAGAAATTTTAGATTCTTTCTTACTCAGTTTTTGAAGAAGATCGTCTTCTTAGCACGAAGAGATGAATTTTCGGATTCTAACGACTTAAGATTGATATTGTTTTCTCGTTCATTCTTTTGGAACTTATTCCTTAAACGTTGGAGTTCAACGCTCTCTGTATCTTTATTGCCAAATTGTTGATGAAAATCATTAAGTTGACGTTGCAGATCTGAAACTTTCTGGACAAGAGCTTCATGAGTTTCTTCGAAATCATTGCTTGAGATCTTTGTGCGTTTAGTTTTTGTTTGTAACTCTGTTTCAAGATTGTTAATCTTTTCATACATTTTGGATTGTTCAATGTTGAATGTTTTAATGTTTTTAATTGATGAATCACGTTCTTCAATGAGTTGCTTGATCCATTTAATGAACTCATTCGTATCTTGTGGTGAATCTGGAAATGCATTATGAATCATTCTCAGTGAGTCTGATGACATACTTGACTGGTTTCGAAGAACAACATCATTGAATATCATGCATACTGCTAAAAGAGAATAGACTTCTTTGAATGCATTCTTTAATGAATTGACATTTTTACTCTTGAATGCATCTTTTGCAATGATATCAAGTTCCGACAATCTTTCATCTATGCTATCGATTTGAATACTATAGTATTTGTAGTCGTTTAAATGGTTTGAATTAGATACGTTATCGAATCCGTTTTCTTGCAAAAAAACGCGAGTTCGTGATGCTTGTTCTTTAAGAAATGCTTTGTGTACGGATGTGAATGTTTGTTTGCCGTTTTCGCTGATTAAAAATAGACTGGCAAGTTCAACGTTGTGTGTAATTGCTTCAAGTAATGTTACATGGCTAATTAAGTATGATGCAAGACGTTCTGTTATTCCGCTTGAAGATTTGGTTCTTAGTAGAGCAAGAATAAATGATTTCAAGTGTGAAATTGAGTTTGGATGTTTTTGTAATTGTGAAAAAATTGTAACTAAATCTGGATTCGATGTATCAATCTCTCTTGATAATAAATCCATGAAATCGGTTTCTTCATTTGATTCACTACTAGATTCTTTGATATTTGGATACAAAGACATGCTTGAAATCCCTAAACGTCTTTTTTACCATAAATGAATCTTATGATTATTAGAATATATGTCAATAGTCCATCAAATTTTGTCCATAGATATACTCGTTATTCTCATGTTTTGATGTAAAATATTGTGAAATCAAAAATAAATCATGAATTTCGACGAATAAATAGTTATCCGAACAATTAAGGGTGGCTTCCGACCAAATTGTCACTTTTTAGCCCAAGTGAGAAAATTTCGTAATTTATAACCAAGTTTTTTAAAATCTATATTTAATAAAGATTCTATTTTTCTTATTAAATTTCAAAAATGAGGGGGTTCGGAATCGTCCACAAATTGCCGAAAGGGTTTTTGCCAGTTTTGAATCCGCTTATTTTTATCGACCAAAATTATAATAAATATAATTTTCGATAAGTATTCTACCCAAATGATTCTTCAAAAAATTATTTTTCGGATTTTATTCTGTAAAAAAACGTTACAGAAAACGCCTAGAAAATTTCGAATTTTCCCTAAAAAATTCAGTGCAGGTCGATTTAAGAGATTTTTCAAAAATAATCATATCAGTAGATAGGGTATAATATAGAGAAGCTTTATGAATAACTTAAAATCCGGGAAACTCAATATTCAACGAGAAAAACGCTTAACGAATCTCACTTTTGGTGTAAACATCACAAAAAATTGAGAGGGCTTTCTGGTCGGAAGCCTCCCTTAATTCAATTCCTATCGATAGGATTTTTTTTTCAAATTCATCTGATGACTGAAGAAGTCGATACTAACTTATACAGTCGCCAGATTTATGCATTAGGTCTCGAAGCGATTAAAAAGATGTCTCATGCATCTGTTCTTATCGCTGGAATGGGTGGTTTAGGTGTTGAAATCGCAAAAAATATCATTCTTATGGGTGTTAAAAATGTAACAATTCAAGATACAAAGAACACAACACTTGAAGATATCGCATCTCAATTCTACTTAACAGAAAGTGACATCGGAAAGAATAGAGCTGAATCTTCATTCAAAAAGCTTGCAGAACTTAACCAGCATGTTTCTGTATCATTAGCAACATGCGAACTAACAAACGACTTCATTTCTAAGTTCGACACCATTGTTTTAACAGATTTATATCCATTTTCAAAATTACTTGAAATTTCCGACTTTTGCCACCAGAAAAACATCAAACTTATCATTACACAAGTTTCAGGACTTTTCGGCTACGTTTTCAACGACTTTGGCGAAAAATTCTATGTTTCAGAGCCAAAGGATGAAATTCCAGAGAGATTTTTGATTGAAAACATCACACAAGACAAAGATGGTATCGTTACAACATCAGATTATACACGCCATGGCTTATACGAAGGAGATACAGTCAAATTCGAAGAAGTCGAAGGCATGGAAGAAGTAAATGACAAACTCTTTACAGTTAAGCCCATTAACCCCTACAAATTCTCTATTGGCGATACTTCTGGCTTCCATCCTTACAAAAACACCGGAAGTGGCGGATACTGCTGCCAAGTTAACCTCCCGATTACCATGGACTTCCCATCACTCAGAGACAGCCTCAAAGCGCCAGAAGTCAACTTGACAGATTTGGTATTTTTCGGTCGTGAGAATGAAGTCATCTCCTGCTTCATTGCCTTATCAAAATACATCGACGAGAGCAAGGAAGGACCAATTGACACAGCGAAATTTACAGAACTTGCCAAGAAAGTTGCAAATGAATATCATTTCTGCGAAGAAATCAGCAACGACGTTCTTTCCACATTCACTTACCAAGCAAAGACAGTTATCACTCCAATGTGTGCTGTTTTTGGTGGTATTGTCGGTCAAGAAGTTTTCAAATCAATATCTTCGAAATTTACACCGATCAAATCATACTATGCGATTTCTTACATCGAATCTACAGTCAAAGACGTCAAATACGAACCTCTTAACGACAGATTCGACACTTATCGCAAGATATTCGGCAATTCTCTCCAAGACAAGATGATGAACCTCAAATACTTCATGATTGGCGCCGGCGCCCTCGGCTGCGAGATTCTCAAGAACTGGGCGATGATGGGAGTCTTTTCCGGACAAAATGGTCACCTCACAATTACCGATATGGACACAATTGAGCTTTCCAACCTTTCCAGGCAGTTACTATTCAGGGACAGAGACATTGGCCACCTCAAATCTCTCACTGCCGCCGAAGCCGTCAAACAGATGTCTCCAAAGATGAAAATCACCGCACAATCGAACAAACTCACTGAAGAAACACGTAACATTTACAACGACGAGTTCTATGAGAGTTTGGACGGTGTTTGCAATGCTTTGGACAATGTCAAGACAAGACAATACTCCGATGATCTCTGTGTGTACTACAACAAGCCATTACTTGAGTCAGGAACACTCGGATCGAAGGCAAATGCGCAGATCATCATTCCAGGAATGACACAGAGTTACACAGATACAGCAGATGCAGAAGAAAAATCAATTCCTCAATGCACGTTGCATAACTTCCCATCGGAAATCAACCATTGCTGCGAATGGGCAAGAGACATCTTCGGTGGATGGATGGAACATAATCCAGAGACAATAAACAAGTTCATCAAAGATCCAAAGAAATTCATCGAAGAACAAAAATTGATCGGTTTGGAAGAATTGGAAAATAACCTTCAAAAAGTGACAAAACTGATTAAAAACCGCCCGAAGAATTTCAAGCAATGTCTTGAGAAAGGACTTAAGAAGTACCAAGAACTGTTTGTCTGGAGAATCAACAAGATCCTCAAGGATTTCCCTGTAGATTCCCTCGATGAAAACGGCCAGCCATTCTGGAGAGGTTCTAAAAGAGCTCCCTCACCTTTGTCTTTCAATATTGAGAGTGAGAACGATTATTTGTTCGTTACTTCATTTGCTAAGATCTTTGCACGCATCAATTCTGTTGAAATACCAAAGACAGAAGCAGAAATCAAGGAGATATTGAAGACAATTCCTGTTCCTGAGAAAAGAGTTAAATGCTGTTTCGAAGGATCGATTCCATTGGATGATTTGATCAATCTCAGTGAGAGATACGCAAAAGAACAGAACATGGTGAAACCAGAGTCATTCGAGAAGGATGATGACTCTAATTCACACATTGATTTCATTTCTGCTGCTGCAAACTTGAGAGCAACAAACTACAGAATTAAAAATGAATCTAAACTCGAAATCAAGAGAATTGCAGGAAAAATCATTCCAGCAATTGCTACAACAACAGCAATGATTTGTGGTTTCGTCTGTCTAGAGATGTACAAAGTTCATTCTCGTGAAAATAGAAAGATCGAAGATTTCAGATCGATGTTCATCAATTTGTCAACAAATCATTACGCTGGAGCTTTCCCTGCTGATGCAACGAAATCGAAACTTCCAAATGGAATGGAGATAACGAAATGGAATAAGTTCAAGATTGAAAACATGACAATCGAAAACTTCATCAATTACTGCCAAGAAAAGTTTGGATTGCATGTTACAATGATCAATGTACACAATAAGACATTGTATTTCGAACCAATACAGAAGAAATACAACAAGATTATTTTGCAGAAGTTGAAGAAACAAGGAAAGGATCCAGAATTAGAGTACCAAACACAACTGAAAGAACAAAATGCAATAAAGGCTATGACTTTGATCGACGCAATTAAATCAATTGCTATCAATGGAGAGTTCGAGGAACACATGAAGTACGTTCTTGTTTCTATCGCAAGTAAGGATGTTGATATCTCTCCTGATTTCATCCTTAAGGTTAAATAAAACATATTTTTTATTTTTTTTAAATTTTTTAATTAAATCAACATGATCATCTCATGGTATTTGATGACCATTACAACAGTAAATCAGATATTTTAGTAACTAGTTTCTATATATCCAGATACTATTCACCAGATTGCATGAGCAGTGTGATTTTATACAATCAACGAATTTTTTATGCCACAGTATTTTGAAAAAGCTTATTCCTCTGAATGACTCAGCCTTTCTATTGGGAAACTCATTATTCTTGCATGGTGCATATCCTATACGTATATTTATAGCACACATTTATCTTCCAATAAATTATGATTTTCAAAACGCGAGAAGTTTAGAAATGGAACAACTGCCCTTCTTTATGCATCAAACAAATTGATTCAAGTGAACATCTAAGGCTTTCATTAACGTCCAAGATAAACAAATTCCATAGATAAAAGAATTAATAAGTTTGTAAAGAGAAAAATTTCAAATCAGATTCAAGAATTTATTATCAAAATTACATCTAAAATGGTTAAAAAGGAATAAGATAAGGATAAAACAAACCTAGCAACTTTATTTTTTATTCTTCAGGAGCATTTCCTGTATCCGGAGCTCCATCCCTAGCTTTAATGAATTTATGATATTGCATAGAGAACTTTCTAAATGTAGTTAATGAATACTCGTTAACCTTGAAGCATTTTTCAAAAACGTAAGTAATAGCTTCTTTTTGCCATTGTTCTATCTTACGCTTAGTTGGATTCTTAGCAGTAGCAGATTCAATATTAACTTTCTCTTTAACGCAGTCATCAACGACTTGAAGCATTTCATCTGTAATTTTGATCGGAGTACTCTTCTTGTTCGAAGAGATTTTGTGTAGGAAGTCTTCCTGGAGTGGTGACATGATTTTATTAAGTTTTTCGATATAAGGTTCTAAAGCTTCGATCGAAGATCCGGCAATTGCGTCAACATTCGAGTCATTTGACTTAGAACGAGCCTGTTCAGATCTCTGCGCTGCTGTATTTGCTTTTTGAGCTAATGAAATTCGAAAAGCTTCCATCTCTAGATTTTTAGTTTCTGTAGCTGCATTTACTGCATCAGTATCATCGATAAAACCATCACCATTATCGTATCCTTCAATTACTTTACCTATTTTTGTTTGCACTCTTTCGATTAATAACGAATGATTTTCAATTCCGCCAATTCCTTGCAATTCGTCTTTATCAGCTAATTCATTTCGTATATTAATACAATTTCCCTTCTTAAAATTAACCACAAAATCGACTGTTTGACTCATTCTTTGATATCAATATCGATTTTACCCCTTCGACCAAACAACACCTATCGTCAACAAGGATTTTTAAACGTCCGCAATTTGAAATAAATTGATCTTTTCTAATTACATTTCATGGCCAAGCTCTATTCCAATAAAAGAGTTTTTTGCCATGGATTCTGATGCGAAAATGTTAGCTTTATATAGAATACATTGAATTTCATCTGATAATAATATTTCAATTTGTCTGATTTCAAATTGCATGAAAAAGGTTTGATTCGCCAATGAAGACAAATACTTCAGAAGAGGAACAAAATCTTCAATATCTTTATTTTTTCCCAAAGATTTATAAATAAGATAAATTTCAATCATATATCCTTTTAACTATATCACAAATAATACTTAATTACTCATTAAATCAGAATATTTACAAACTATATGATTATTTATCCAATTCGAGGTATACATATTGATTATTTTGTTTGAAATCTTTTGAAAATGATTTAGTATTTTTTCTCAACCATATGTTCTGATATGGTGGGTATCATTTAAAATTTTTTATAGATTTTTTGGGATGCGAATCATGTTTCGATTCGACGGCGGTCCAGTCAAAGTGAGAATGTAGGGTGGTTTATTATTTTTGGAAGCAACTCTATTGATTAAGAAGTTCTACAATTTCTTTATTATTAAACTTTACTGCAATATGAAGAGCAGTTTTTCCATGTTCATTTTTTTCATTGATCTTTGCACCATGTGAAATAAGAAATTCGGCAATTTCTTTCCTATTATTATATGCTGCATAATGAAGAGCAGTATTTCCATGTTTATCTTTTTCGCTGATGTTTGCACCATGTGAAATAAGAAGCTCGGCTATCCATTTACTATTATTAATTGCTGTATTATGTAAAGCGGTATTTCCATAATTATCTTTTTCATTGGTATTTGCACCATATAAAATAAGAAGTTGGGCAATTTCTTGAATATTATAATACGTGGCGTTGATAAGAGCGGTTTGTCCATGTACATTTTTTTCATCGATGTTCGCCCCATGTGAAATAAGAAGTTCGACTGTTTCTTTAGAATTATAAAATACTGCCTGATGAAGAGGAGTATTTCCATCATTATTTTTTTCATCAATATTTGCACCATGTGAAATAAGAAATTCGGAATTTTCTTTACAATTATTACGTGCTGCATTATGAAGAGCTGTTTCGCCGTATACATCTTTTTCATTGATATTTGCACCATGTGAAATAAGAAGTTCGATTATACCTTTACTAGTATTAATTGCTGCATTATGAAGAGCTGTTTCGCCGTATATATCTTTTTCATTGATATTTGCACCATGTGAAATAAGAAGTTCAATTATACCTTTACTAGTATTAGTTGCTGCTTTATGAAGAGCGGTTTGCCCATTTTTATCTTTCTCATTGATACTTGCACCATGTGAAAGAAAATATTCACAAAGTGATGGGATTTCAAAACTCGCAGAATTAATAAAACATTTGTTAACATCATTAGTTTGATCGAAATAAACTAAAAATGATTCAAGGTTGTTATATTTTCCGCAATAATATAAATCGATCTCTATATTGAACTCATTCATCAAGAATGTAACAAAATCAATGTTGTGTGAAATAATTGCATATTTCATGCATGCTTCATCTGGTGTTTGATATTTCAGACATTCACTCATTATCTCTTTGTTTCCTCCTAAAAATGAAAAATTTAGGCATGTTTTAGTTATTTCTGAGTTAAACTTCGTTCTTAAGAGTTTGAAACAATCAACTGCTCCGTAAAAACAACATAATTCAAGTAATGAATATTCGATGTAAGAATATTCTCGTTCATCTCTTTCCGTGAATGTAATGATTTGAAGGCTTTCATTTTTATCAAATTCATCTCTTTCCGTGAATGTAATGAACATCTCTAGGTCATTATTCATAATTGCTCTGTATATTGTATTTTCTGTAAAAATATCGAGATCTTTTGGTTTAATATTTTGGATATCATCAGGTTTTTCTAATTTAATTACACATTCTTTATAAAACAGGATTTTTGAAATGGTTCCAACATTTTTAACCTCTTTGACATGATAGTCATCAGATATGAGTTTGGCAAGAGCTAAATATGACTTTGCATAACGATTATTATACGGAATGATATTTAAAATATCTTTTATGATTTTCATGGGGCAATATTTCTGTAAACCAATCAATTCTGTTTTGATCATTTTGTAAATCAAGTTTAATTCTCCTTCATTTTCCGTTTTCAGCTGATACAATGCAATAGACAAATCTATGCAGTATTTGTAGGTATTTCTCAATTCACTGTATCCATTTGGATTAATGTCATTATCAGACATTACAAAATTCAAAAGTCAAAAATTTGCATTTTACCATATTTAATATCTTTAAAGTTAATCAGGAGATAAACCCTATGTTATTCATGCGGAAAATAATGACAACAAAGATTTCATTTTAATTTTATGAACATTTAAGGATGCGTTATATGTACAGAGTTCATGTGCAAATAGTGAAACTATTTTAGTATGGAAATAATAGCGAAGTTCCCCACTTAAACTCTCCATTTAACAAAATCATTGATAAGAAAGGATTAATTTAAAAAAACTATTAACGATTGACAAAATATTGAGCGTTTATCCGATCATATGATAATTCTCTGAAAGATTCAATAAAAATAATAATAATTTAGTGCTGCTCCCATTCTGTGTGGAACTTGCCTTCCTTGTCAACACGCTCGTATGTATGAGCACCGAAGAAGTCTCTCAAGCCCTGGATAAGGTTAGCTGGGAGAACATCTGATCCGTATGAGTCGAAATAAGCGAGGCAAGATGAGTATAATGGGATTGGATAGCCCTGGATTGTGCTGAGAGCGCAGACCTTACGCCATGACTGGACGCGCTCTTCAACAGCTGTTCTGAAGAAATCGATTGTTAACAAGTTCTTTGTTTCGTTTGTGTAGTAAGCGGAAACATCGTTAAGGAAGTTAGCGCGGATGATGCAGCCACCACGCCAGACCTTAGCGCACTTGGAGATATCGACGCCGTAATCCATCTTAGCGGAAGCCTTCTGGATCATGGACAAGCCCTGAGCGTAGCAGATGATCTTAACAGCGTAAAGAGCCTTCTCAAGGTCGTCAATTGTGACCTTGATGTCGAATCCCTCAAGTGGGTGATGCTTGATGATCTTTGAAGCTTCAACACGTTCTGGTTTGAGGCAGGAGATGACTCTGGCGTAAACAGCTTCAGCGAAGGCTGGTGTGGCAGATGGGATATCGAAGGAGTCCTGGGATGTCCACTTGCCTGTGCCCTTCTGTTCAGCTGTATCGAGGATGAGGTCGACAATGTGCTTGTCGCCTTCCTTCTTGCGGAGAACCTTCTCTGTGATTTCGATCAAATATGACTTAAGGACGCCCTGGTTCCACTTTCCGAAGACATCAGCGATAGCGACGTTGTCCATCTTGAGGGCATTCTTCATGATGTAGTATGTTTCAGCAATAAGTTGCATATCAGCATACTCAATGGCGTTGTGGACCATCTTAACGAAGTGGCCAGCACCACCGCGACCCATGTAGTCGACACATGGAGCGCCATCCTGAGACTTGGCGGCAATTGGGAGTAAAACTCTCTTGCAGTTCTCCCAATCCTGGAGGTGGCCACCAAACATCATAGCTGGGCCGTTGAGAGCACCCTCTTCACCGCCGGAGATACCCATGCCAACGAAGTGGATTCCTGTTGGCTCGATTGCCTTTTGGCGGCGTTCTGTTTCTGGCCAGTGAGAGTTGCCACCATCGATGATGACATCGTCCTTCTCAAGGAGTGGCTTAAGTTGATCAACAACGTTATCAACGAATTCAGCTGTAACCATGAGTAAGAAAATACGTGGCTTCTTAAGGACGGCAACAACTTCTGGGAGTGTCTTGTAGCCGTCGATATTTGGTTCCTTCATGGCGAGTAAAGCTTCTGTTCTAGCCCAAGTTCTGTTGAAAACAGCGACCTTGAAGCCGTGGTGGGCGAAGTTACGAGCGATATTGCTGCCCATTGTACCGAGACCGAGAACGCATAAATCGTGAGACATGTTTCTCTAAAAATGAAGAGATTCATTCAAAAGATAAAAACCTCACAAATTCGATAAAAAAGTATCGCGGCGAAAAATCAATTAGAATTAATTAATGGCAAATGCATGCAATGTTCAAAATTTTATACTAAAAATTTTAAAAATTGATAGGATAAGTGATCACTCGAGTATTCAAATTTTTTTATTTTCAAAGTTAATGATTCAATCATGATTGGTAGGAAGAATTTTATGATAAATGTGACGGATTTAGCGATTCCAGAAAATCCGTAAGAAAGTGACATATTTTTTTTATCAAACAGACAATATTTCTCAATTTGTCTCATTGATATAGATAATGTATATGAATTGGCATATGAATTAAATCTTTTATTTCGATTCCATAAAAAATTAGGCTCGAAAATTAAGATTGTTGTTGAGTTACAGAAAATTAATGCTGAATTTAGCCTTGTATACAGCAGTAGAGCGAATGTCATCCACCGATTACTCCTGAATTTATTTTTTCACAAGTTGCTTGTTCGGGATAATTCATGAGGGGTGCCTAAATCACGTAATCTATATCATACATCGGCTCTTCATAACATTTTATTTCATTTTATCAGAAGCTTTCTTAATGATTCTTTACCATACCTCCAAAATTGTTTAGATCAATAAAAAGTACAGTTATTTATTCGTTTGTTCTATATGAATGAATTGTCCATACATATTATTTTAGCATTTTTCAAATTTACGCTTTGATATTTCCAATCAAAATTGATCTTGAAATGTTGATATGATGAATAATGTAAAAACTTTGTTTTAGCATTGAATAAAATTTATAAGATTTATTAATAAAACAAAAAGGAGGCAAAAAATATAAAAAAATAAAATAAATTATTTGGTTAACTTAGAATACCAAGGAATTGAAGCTATTTTCTTCATGAATGCCTTTTGTTCTGTGCAATTTGTCTGTTTCAATCTTTCAAATGCCTCTTTAACAACGCGATGAGAAGCAAATAACGGAGAATTAATAATTAAATCGAAAATTGATATCATGTATACTGCCAATTGTTTCTTCTTCTTTTCATTATTCGTGAAGAAGTCCCAGAGGCTTGTAGCCAAAGATAATTGTTCAAATCCGTTTCCATTATCCGGAATTTCAAATTCGCAAGAACCATACTTAGTTACAAAGTCAGCTAACAACAAGCAGTAGTCATTACTCTCTTCTGATAGATAATACTCTATGTTGGCCCTCAATAAATTCGAATTGACACTTTTTTCTCCACAAATCATCAAAAACAAAACCATTGAAGAATTTGTGATTTCCAGAGAAAGAATTTTATCAATTGTTGAAGGATCAACTTTATTGATGAAATCTCTAATGACTGCTGTTGTTCTTACCATGCACGTGACAATCTGAACAATTACATTTTCGTTGTCAATTTCATTCAAAACAGCGGCTAATGGCAAAAGTGAAGTGGACAAAGCAAAAGGTGCCAAACAACTAACTGTTGTAAGCAAATCCAAGTATTCTGTTACTACTTCAGGAGATTTGCTTAAATAGTCAATGCAAACAGGTATTTCTGCGATGATTTCCTGACACATTATTGATTCTTCACAAATTTTTTCATCCCAAATTTTTCCTCTTGCGAATTCCAAATTTAGGAATTTCATTGTTTCATCTGTTGGCTTTCCAACTGTTTGCTTGAGGAATGCTGCAACACTCTTGCGTTCTTTTTCTTCTGGAGAGAACAATGTCTTCATGATTGTGATTGTCAAAATTCTTGTGTCAACTTCTGGTTTCTGGAAAAATGTTTCTGTATCATCTGTTGTCGGAATAGTGATTTGCTGGAGAATCTGCTTTGTCTGGGGACTTGCATGCGTCTGGTCTTTGTATAAACTTGGTCTAATCTTAGCAATCTTTTGTAAAAGATCCATAAAAGTGTCACTTTTTCTTGCAGAATTTGTCAATCTGTTAATTCCGTCGATTGAAAAGATTGCGAAGATAGGAGCAGTTATTCCTTTCGTCATTAGCAAATCGTGGACAGGATCCATAAGTTTTGCAAATGCCGTGGAATGCTGCTTGGCCAATCCCTTGAAAATGTCCTTCAAACCGTCACTTTCCAAATAAGAAATAATCGTCAACAACAATTCTTCTTCGTTCGGCCAATCGAAATTGAAATCAGTGCATCTCGCGATCAAGTCCAATGTGAATGATGCAGATCTCTTGTGAGCGAACTCATCAGTGCATTTGATCAATGTGATGATGGATTGCGGGTTATCCATGAGTTTATCCAATGCTTTCATGACCAAACTCGAAATGTTGTTATAAGAAGAATCAGAAATGGAAATCAAGTTCGCAAATGTCTTTCCAAGTTTACTTCCTATGAGTTTGATGATGAAATTGGCTCTGTCTTTATTAGTTAAGATGGAGTTCTCAAAGAAAGAGCACCATTTAGATAAAATCTCGTCTTTTATGACACTGATTCTGAACAAACAAATGAAAGCCAATTCAATTGATTCCTGTGAGAAATTGGAGTTTTTAACGTGTTTCATCACAAAATCTAAAAATTGATGGGAATAGAAAACGACATTTGGCCAGAACTGAGCATTTTGTGTATCTATCATTTGTTGCAATGTTTTCTCTAAATGTGGTTTCTCAGGAACAATATCAGATCTCTTATAAAACAACAAATAACCTGTCCAAACTTTTTCTCTAACAGCAGAAGCATTTTCACCAACACCGAATGACCATTGTTTCATTTTCGTGACATCGAAGTACTCCAAGTTATGGTCATTGCAGTAATACCACTCTTTGTCATCACCTTGAACAATTGCGAAGTAATGGCCGTTGTCGACATCTCCTTCGTGAACAATTACTCCTGCAAGAGAATATCCGAAATCGCAATGAACAGATTGACTTCCCTGGGAAATTCTATTCGGATCCAAAGCGATTGGAAATGCGAATTCATGGATCAATTTGATTCTTTCGCCAACAGTATATTCGTATCTTTCTAATTGCAAAACTAAATAGTTCGGCCATTTGTTGATTCTTGGTTTACAAATGGCTTTTACTGTTGTTCCATCACCAACATTGTAATCAACAATATAACCGCTAAAATGCTTCTTAAATCCTTCATCTATATTTGTGAGATCATTAATAGGAACAGTCAAATGATAGAAGTTATTTGTTTGTGAACTCAATTCCTTTCCATCGGAAATACTCACGTAAGCCAATGTTGATTCGCCTTCGAGTTCTTTTATGATGTCATTGTCTTGGCCAATTGACTTTGAAAGGTTTTCTATCATGTTGGAATTATAAAAAATAAGTGCATCGTCTTGTATATCAGGATTAAATGAATCTAATGTTTCTACAAACGATCTGACACTTAATGCACCTTCAACAGTGTATCTCATGCGTGCAAGGAGTTCTCTCAGCTGCATAACAAATGGTGGATAGTCATTACCTTGTAAAGAAAGTATTTTATTCGATACATTTGGTAATGCATTCACACATTGTAAGACAGCGTTGATATAACAGGTGGAACCAAGGTTGTATAGACCAGATCTAGCTCTGTATGTGAAATCATCACTGAATTTGAGGTAAACGGATGGAATTGATGGAATCTGATTCACATGAGTTAAAAGAATCGATGTTGACAGGTCATTTTGAAGGAAATTAAAGGCAGCTTCACGGGATTCGCTGGATAAAATGAATGGACTGATTGGTTTTTCTACTGTTGGCATCATAAATAGTCTTTTTATGACTAATTCTGTTGTTTCTTTGGTTTTCGGGATCAAAGAGAGCAATTGGATGAGAGTTTCATCGGGATCAATGTAGTAGGAGTCTTCATATTGTGGTAAATCTTCAAAGAAAGGTGTGAAAATGTCGGAATTAAGTTTAAATAACTTCAGAGCTTCAAAGAACTGCTCCGTATTAGCTCTATAATTAACTTTGATCGCATCTGGAAGACATGCAACAAAAGGATCTGGATCTGTGGTCTTTTTGGCTAATTCAAGGAACATTTGCCTCAAAGGAACGGACTTACTCATAATCATGCCTCTTCTAATCATGTCCGCTGTAAAGACAAATTCGTTAACTATCTTCGGGAAGAATTTTACGGCAATTGACATTGAGATATGATCTAATGGAGAAGCAACTAAGACTTCTACGATTCCCTGTGCAACATCGTTAGGAATTGCATCGTTTGTGAGGGCGATCGCGTAAGGAAGGACCTTTGAAGAGCCAACAAATTCCATTGGGTTGCATCCTTCGCCGACAACGACTTTTTGAAGGGGTGTTGTGACACTAGAGGTCTTGATTGGGGCCAAAAGCATCAAAATCTGGAAAATTCTTTCAGATGTTGGTGAAACAAAATCTAAAACTTTCATCATTGCATCGATACCTGTTTTGGCAAGGTATCTGATAAACGTAGGTTCAGTATTCATCCTTTCTTTGTTCTCAACTTGCTTCATTACTAATTTTATATTCTTATTTCCAATGAAACTCAATTCTGTAAGCGGCATTCCATATAATATCGGTGTCTCTACGCCATCGTTAATGAAATACAAGTCAAAATTGTTGATAGGAGTGCCGGAATCTCTAGAAACTCTCCAATAGATGTAGCGAGAGGAATGGAAGGGATGGAATATCATGGTCATCTTCTTATTTATGTCTTTGACCGTAAATTGTTGACTTAATGACTGTGGAGACTTGCATTCGAAGAAATCTGTTTCATAAAGCACGGATTCGTAGATCATCCTTGAAGCGTTATCACATTTGTCTGGATCAGAAAGGTGCTGAACAAGAGGGTCTACAAATTTGTGAACATTGTCCGCTTTTTGGTGAATTTTACTAAATATGATATTAACAGCCCATTTTGCGAGCTTTGGCTTAACAGTATCTGTTGCTATCTTGAAAACAAATTTTTCTATGAGGTCTTTATCAACAGCTCTTTCAGTAATAATATCAACCAAAATTGGAAGAGTTGTTGGGCAGTTTGAGTAGTCAATATTACCTAAGAGTTCGATAATCTCCTTTTCTGGAAGCTCTTCGGCTTGGGCGAGCCAATGAGACAAAATTCTGATCAATCCAGGAGGAATAGAACGTTTTGCATCGAACATGCTCTGCAGAATCATCTTGAACATGGTAAGTAGTAAGTTTTTGCTATCAATATTGAAGATAATACTTGAAAACATGTCTAATGAAGGTAAAAGTTCGGGATTTGTAATGGAAACATTGGCCAATTTGAGCAAAAAGTTACTTGTGTCCTTAAGATAAGACGCGTTCTTGTAGAAATAAGCAATTTTCTGGATTAATTGGATATTATTTGTATCATCCAAAGCATTTTGAATGAGTTTGCGAACAGAATCATTCATTATCAATCCTTTCATTGATAGAGGAGATAGTTTGTCTTGATCTCTCATCAATCTCTCGAATAAAATTTTTGAAAAAGAATTTGTTAGCGGAATAACCTGAATTAATGTCATAATAAGGCGCGCATTGAAATGATCCGATGAAATAATAAAGTCTGCAATCGGTTCCGGCGATTCTTTCATATCTAATATTAATCCATTTACTAAATTGCAATGATACTCGTCAAACAACGATTTCTGGGACAGAATACTAAGAATCTCAGTTGCTGTGAACGGCATGTTCGCTGAAAGCTTTGGTAACATCGATGCAACTGTTTGCATCAATTTCGGATGTTTTGAAGTAACTGGTTGGCTCAAAATCTCAATAACCGCTTTTTTAACGGCTTCTGATTCTAATGCTTGAGGTAATTCGAGAACATTTATAGCGACATTGTTTGATGACGTTTGTTTTAGCATAATTTCGCAAAGAAATGCCATAATGGTATTAGATATCGTAGGTATTAATCGAATTAAGTCAAGAAGATACTGTGGTCCAACTTGAATATCAGGATATTTGACAAGATGAGGAATAAAGCATTTAATGATTTGTTCTAAGATAGCAGTAGCTGATGTAGGTTGTAATAAGTTGAATAGACATTTGGAAAATTGTATGAAACCTGAGATTGTCGTGTTTGTCAATTGATCAGATGAACAAACTTCGAAGAAATGACGAAATATGTTTAGTTTGAACACTTCTTCGATTAGTTTTTGTTGGTATTTGGATAATTTCTTGACATTTGGCTGCAGAAATTCATCAGGGTTGGAAAATTCGTAGATTTTATTAATATATTCTTCGTCTTCTGGCGGATTGAATGAAAAAGATTGAAGATCACGAAATTCTTTTGGTAAAACATTGCAAATGCCGCTAAGGAGTTTGCCAATTAGATCAATTACGGTTATTAACTGTACATAATTATGAATAAAAGTTAAACCTTGTTCTTCTAATGAAGAAGGAAGCTTTCCGTCAACAACGATTGCTGATAATATAAGTGGTGTGAGTTTTTCGATAAAAGTGTTCGATTTTTGAGGAGGTTGTCTCGAATTTAGCCCAATTATTTTCGAGATAACGTCATTGATCGTGTTTATGAATTCAGCTGATATTGTTGACTCTTTTAGCTTGCTAACGACTTCAGTTTCTGTAGGAAATTGAATGTTGTTCTCAAGCATTTTTTATAAATTTATTAGAAGAAAAAAAAAACTGACCAAAAAGGCGCCATCACTAATGGTATATGTCTTTTACAAAAATAGATACATATGCATGCAATGATGCACAAAAGTTATCTTTCGGAGGTAATGGTCTTTCAGATATGAATATTCGTCAACTAAAAATCGAATCATAGCAAATAAAAACATATTGCATGAGCTGAACTCTTCTAGTATAGCAATGTTTTGGAATGAAAATTGCTATTTTTGATGAAATAACGCTGAAATTATTATCAATTTCGCTTTATTTAGTGATTTCTTGCTTAATTTTTGATGCTTTACTAATTATTAATCCATAATAAGATGATACAATAGCTACAAATAGCTGATATTCGATTTTTTATGGTTGAAATTTATTAAAATTAGAAATTCATTTTTATTAAAATAATAAATATGTATGCCAAGTAGATTCATATTTAATTCATTTTATTGAATAATTTTATTGGTGGATAAAAAAGTGACATACAAAATAGGCAAGGCAAAAAGTGCCAAATGGAATCTCAAGAACAATTTTCTCAAGAGAGTTCTAGGCATAGACATCGTCATCGCCATTATCACAAGCACCGCAAACATATAATTTCTGAAGAACCAGACCCAATTTTATTAGAAGTTACTGAAAATGAACGAAATGAAATTAATCAAGAAAATTCTAATGAATCAATTGATAAAGAAGCAGAAGAAAGTCAAATAAATGAACATCAAGAGCAAGAAAATGACAATCAACCAGAAGAACAAGCTCAAAAAAGGCAAGAATCAGTTTTAAATGAGCCAGCTAGACCAATAAGAGTCTTCAGACCGGATCCTATCCATAAAGAAAGAGAAAGCAAAGTACCATTTTATAGTAAATTGCACTTTACAAGAGAAGAAGACCAAATAATTTTAGATAACTATGTTGGACGTAATACTGACTGGAGTCATATCGCTTCCTTGTTATCTAAGCGATCAGCCAAAAACTGTAAAGATAGGTATTTTCAATACCTTGATCCTTCAATTAACAATGATCCATGGACTGAACAAGAAAAGATTAAATTACATGAATTAGTCAAGAGATTCGGAACAGACTGGAGAGTTATACAAAAGTTTTTTGTAGGAAAAACAATTACTAACTTGAAAAACACTTTTACTTCATACTGCAAGAGAAAAGATATTGATAAAACAGAATATCTACAAAAAGCCGAGCGTAGGAGAATACAAAGGCGAAATAAAGAATTACCAAGATTAACTGATGAAGAAATTGTTGCTCTTTCAAGAGAACTAGCTCCTATTGTTGAACAGGAGTTCCAAAATTTGTTTAAAGATTTGTAATGTTTATTTTGTAAACTTTTATTTCTTTTATTTTATGTTTTTAAAACAAAATTAGTCATTTTATCTGTATGAGTTTAGGGCTTATTAAACATAACCATATTAATGTATAGAGTCTTTGAGATTTTTTTTGAAGAATTAATCTGAGTGATTTTCGGAATTTGGAGCAGTAGAAATGAATTGTCCTTATATGTAGAGGATAAATATGATATATAAATGAACGACCATTTTAAAAATTAAATTTTGAATTTTTTTGTATTGGAATGATAAAAGAAGTTTAACTAAAGAGTAGTTTGATCAAATTCTTTATTGAGAAACACCATTCTTGCGCTCACGGACACGGCGGCTACGAGCACGGCGAGCATCGATCTGAGACTGGAGGGTCTTTTCACGAAGGTTCTCAGCCTTGAGTGTCTGGATGTGCTCAACAAGGTTGCGGCGGTTACGGAACTCGTTACCCTTGGCCTTGAGGTAGAGCTTGCGGTAAAGGTGGCAATCGATTTCATTACGCTTTCTGTAGTCGACCAAAACCTTCCTAAGGACGCGAATGCGGCGGATCCACTGGAACTTGCCTGTAAGGCGGGCATTTCTGCCACCACGGCGCTTACCGTAGCCTGTGTGGCGGCCAAGGCGCTTAGCAAGGATGCGCTTTGTGTGGCGAGCACCGGAGTGGACCTTAACTGGGCGCTTGACGATGATGCCATCATTGATGAGCTTACGGATCTGCTGGCGAGAGTTTGCCATGGCGATTGTTGAGACTTCGGAGTCATCCATCCAAACACGGCGAACACCACAGTCAAGAACGGAGGCAGCAAGGCGCTTCTGAAGCTTGAGGCTGGACATGAAAAAGGAACGACCGTGTCCTAACCGTAACGATAGACCTTGGTCGATTATAAGATTTCTTTTTAAAATAATATCATTTATCTTAAATAAACCATGTTCACTCAGATTCTTTCATTAAAACTTGTATCTTCAAATATTTCAAATTTTGAAATTCTTTATTTACAAAATCGAGTGTCACAAACATTACCAATTAGTTAACCTCAGCGTTACATTAATTGCCAGAAGCCTTGCTATGCAGGTTTTTGCTACTTTGAATTCAATATAATTAAATTAACAGTATATCTTGTTATTTCAATAAACTCATGCATAATAAATGCATTGACAATACATGGAGAAGATTTTCTCAAATTTCTATAGCTATCACATAACGAATATGATAAAGCTTCATCCACTCTCTGAATAAATTATTTGGTCGGGTCCCCAAAGCGACATCCTTAAGATGAAAAATGAAATTAAAATTAAAGATGTTTTTATCCTATATCAAAGAGAATGTGTTTGTAGACCCCCTCAAATGATTTTCTTGCAGGATTTGAAGAATTTTTGACTAGTCATTAAAAAAAAATTGCATGAATTTGTGAAATTCAACTTATGGTTTAAATGAATTACTAAATGGATTCAAATTATAAGGACATGCATTATAATGCTAAATATGTATTCCGGGTATCAGATAGGAGTTACTTATATTTACATGAAATCATTGAATATTATTTTAATTAAAGACACAAGAACTAACATCGCAGACAATGGAATAATCCGCACAATATCTTCTGTTCACCTAATCTGTTTTTCATATCTAGACAATATTCATTCAGGAATCTTGAATGCACAAAGTCTTTCTGTCAGCAAAACAAGTTCATTAAATATAGACTTTGATGGTACTCTATGGTTTGATTTCTAAACAAACAATTTTCTTTGTTTTATTAGAATTGAATTTTCAAACAAATAAACAAACAATAATAACTATGAAAGAATATAATATAAAAGATGATTATAAAGCAGTTTGTATTGGCTTTGGTCTCTCATATTTCTTCCTTGATACGCGGGTTGGCCTTTCTGTTTGAGCAGAAACAACTGATGGAGCAACACGAGATTCTGTAAGAGGTGCGTTGACAACACCTCTTGGGAAAATTTGAGCATAAGATTTTCCGTTTGGAGAGCGTGGACCACCTTTTGGTGTGCGAGAGCCTTCGGGAAGCATTGATTGTGTTTCACGGCGTACAAATCTGAATCCTGTATGCGGCATTTCAGACTGAGCTTCTGGTGCAAATCGAATTCTGCCAAATCCATCACCTGTAGGTGAAAGTGGAATATCACGAGTAGAAACAGCAAATTCGCGTTCTGCAAATGCTGATTCTGGTAAAATCGCAGCCTTTCTCCCAGATCCTTGTGATGAACGCGCTTGTTCAGCAAGAAGCGCTTCTTCTCTGGCTTTGATTTGTGCTTCCTCTTCCTCCTGTTTCTTTTTCTTTTCTTCCACGTGTTCTGCATTCCAAACAAGCAATTCACTAACTATATCTGTGTTGCTCTGTAAATTTAGATCTTCAATATTACCCATAGATCCAAATTTTATATTTGATTGTTCTTTTTCAATGTTGAATGATTCTTTTGTCAATTCTAAAAATTGATATTTTTGTAGGAATTTTAATACAATTTGAAATGCAATAGAATTAGATTTACTGTCTTTTGATGTGATTTTTGATTTGAGTCGCTCATTATTATTTGATTTAAATACTGCTTTACAGATTTCATTCATATATAAGACATTTAATCGATTTGTATTTCCAGATTGGTTCATTTCATCCATAATATACCGTTGCATTCTTTTTGTGGTCTCTGAAACATTGCTTCTTGTGTTACTCATAATTTTCTATGCTAACGTATACAGTTTTTATTTGACATGTAAATTTTTTGTCATTTTTATGCTTAGCACAATTTATACAGAAACAAAGCAATTTTCAGAAAAATGTGGTATTCAGCAAGAAGTAAAAGATGCATCAATTAGCTATGCAGAACAAATTGTTAAAAATTTGTTAGATCCAGAACATAATCAACCCGTGAAAGACTTTGAAGGAATTAAATTTACCAATCAATCACCTGATCAAGATGAATTCATTTTCGTTCATGATTTCTTTAAGACATCACATTTAGATTTTCCATCTCAAATTCTTGCATTCGAATCACAGCATCCTGGATTTAAATATAGTCGCAGGGAAGTATGTCAGCGATTTGGCCTGAATACAAATGATGACGCTCCGTTATTAGTTCAGCTTATCAAGATGAGGCAACAATACCAAAACTTATGCTGATTTATATCTTTACATAACTTTTCATGTATTGAAATCAGTCAAATCCACTTTCTTACAGATTTCAAATTAATTTTTGAGTCTATTTAGAAATTAGATCAAACATTACTATTTGGATTTATCCTATCTTATCTTATGTTAATTAAATATTATATTTTGTATCATAATGAACATCCCTTTGCTTTTAGCAAAAATATATTTATTATATAACATCAATTTTCGTTATAAACATTTGTCATTTATAAACGATTTTTATATCAATTTTTATGATATTCTATTTATTTCAAATCAATTTTATCACTGTTGCCCCGAGAATTCTGAAAAATGACCTAATTTGACTACTTACTTATTTGACCAAATGTCTTAGCTAATAGAAATATCCATCTATAAATAAAGGTAGTTCAGCAAAATTTTCTCGCTCAATTTTCAATTTTGTAAATGGATATATATACTTTCCACCTCCTAAGGCCCTGTAAGGTCTCAATTTTTTTATTGAGGTGCTGCTACGAGATCACTTTACTAAGGAAAGGATAGTAACATTCAAAAGATTCAATTTGAAATTCATAATATGAAATAATGATTCTATTTGAAATCATAACATAAATATTAATAGAATAAAGTTATGGAAATTCACAAATCTTTAAAAAGATATCTATTATTTGGCTCCAATAGATATTAGATATTGTTTTACATTACTATCGCAATCAACAGCTTCCTTGTCAGCTCCAATTGAAATAAGATATTTAGCCACTCCCAATTTAGAATTATATAAAGCGACGTAGAGGGTAGTACACCCACGGGAATCTCTTGCTTCTTTGTTGCATCCGCTTTCAATGAGAGATTTGACAGCTTCGAGTTCTCCCATAATATAGTACTTAAATGAAGTTTATGTTCTGTTTCATTTTGATTGGGGTTTGAATACAAAGAAGATTGGGGAGAAAATGGTTGTTGGCTTGCGTACTGTAAATATTTGGGAGTATATGGTTGTTGGCTTTGAGCTTTTAATAGAATCAAGCTCTGCTTGAAGTTTTTGGATTTTTCCCCTTTGATTCCGAAATATCTTTCTTTATTTGTTTAAAAATATCAATAACACTATCCAATATTTTCATCTTCACATATTTTTGAATTAATTTAAGAATTGAAATTGCTTCTTCGAAGCTATGAGCTGATATCTTAGCATTTCGAGCACAATTATATCTTTATTTTAACAGCAGAAAAGTATAACAACCATATTAGGCACAATATAAAGATTTACGGTTACTTTTTCCCGACCGAAAAATAAAAGAGTTGCGAAAAAATTGCTTTATGTATAGAATAAGTGGAAAAGCTTAACTATTTTTTATTCCTAATAAAATTCATCTTCGAAAATACCAGAAAAAGAATTGTATCTTATGTAAGAACATTATTTGCACCATGTGAAATGAGAACTTCAGCAATTTCTGTATTGTTTTTATTAGCTGCAATATGAAGTGCGGTTTTTCCATTTTTGGTTTTTTCATTGATATTCGCACCATGTGAAATGAGAACTTCAGCAATTTCTGTATTGTTTTTATTAGCTGCAATATGAAGTGCGGTTTCTCCATTTTTGGTTTTTTCATTGATATTCGCACCATGTGAAATGAGAACTTCAGCAATTTCTGTATTGTTTTTATTAGCTGCAATATGAAGTGCGGTTTCTCCATTTTTGGTTTTTTCATTGATATTCGCACCATGTGAAATGAGAACTTCAGCAATTTCTGTATTGTTTTTATTAGCTGCAATATGAAGTGCGGTTTCTCCATTTTTGGTTTTTTCATTGATATTCGCACCATGTGAAATGAGAACTTCAGCAATTTCTGTATTGTTTTTATTAGCTGCAATATGAAGTGCGGTTTCTCCATTTTTGGTTTTTTCATTGATATTCGCACCATGTGAAATGAGAACTTCAGCAATTTCTGTATTGTTTTTATTAGCTGCAATATGAAGTGCGGTTTCTCCATTTTTGGTTTTTTCATTGATATTCGCACCATGTGAAATGAGAACTTCAGCAATTTCTGTATTGTTTTTATTAGCTGCAATATGAAGTGCGGTTTCTCCATTTTTGGTTTTTTCATTGATATTCGCACCATGTGAAATGAGAACTTCGGCAGCTTCTTTACTATTACTCCGAGCTGCATTATGAAGGGCTGTTTCTCCATTTTTGGTTTTTTCATTGATATTCGCACCATGTGAAATGAGAACTTCGGCAGCTTCTTTACTATTATACCATGCTGCATTATGAAGGGCTGTTTCTCCATATTTATTTTTTTCATTGATATTCGCACCATGTGAAATGAGAACTTCGGCAGCTTCTTTACTATTATACCATGCTGCATTATGAAGGGCTGTTTCTCCATTTTTGGTTTTTTCATTGATATTCGCACCATGTGAAATGAGAACTTCGGCAGCTTCTTTACTATTATACCATGCTGCATTATGAAGGGCTGTTTCTCCATATTTATTTTTTTCATTGATATTCGCACCATGTGAAATGAGAACTTCGGCAGCTTCTTTACTATTACTCCGAGCTGCATTATGAAGGGCTGTTTCTCCATATTTATTTTTTTCATTGATATTCGCACCATGTGAAATGAGAACTTCGGCAGCTTCTTTACTATTACTCCGAGCTGCATTATGAAGGGCTGTTTCTCCATATTTATTTTTTTCATTGATATTCGCACCATGTGAAATGAGAACTTCGGCAGCTTCTTTACTATTACTCCGAGCTGCATTATGGAGGGCTGTTTCTCCATTTTTGTTTTTTTCATTGATGTTTACGCCGTGTGAAAGGAAGTATTCGAAAAGGGATGGTATATTAAATATAGGTGTATAAACAAAGCATTTGTTTATATCATTGGTTTGATCGAAATGAACTAAAAATGATTCAAGATTATGAAATGCTCCACAATCAAATAGATCAATTTCAATATTGTATTCATTCATCAAGAATGTAACAAAATCAATGTTATGTGAAATAATTGCATATATCATGCATGCTTCATTTGGTTTTTGGTATTTCAAACATTCACTCATGATCTCTGGATTTCTTCCTAAAAATGAAAGTTCTAAACATGTTTCAGTTATTTCGGATTTAAATTTCGTTCTTAATAACTTGAAACAATTAACAGCTCCATGGTAACAACATAATTCAAGTAATGAATATCCTTTATTAGAATATGGATATAATCTGCTTTCAAGCTTTTGATTTTCATCAAATTCATCTCTTTCCGTGAATATGATGAATCTTTCTTTGTCATTATTCATAATTACTCTGTATATTGTATTCTCTGTATAAATATCGAGATTTTTAAAATCATATTTTCCGAAATCCGAAGATTTGTCTAATATAATTCCATATTCTTTATAAAATAGGAAGTTTGAAATAGTTATGACGTTGTTGACCTCTTTGACATGATATTCATCTGATAAGAGTTTAGCAAGAAATAAATATGACTTCGCATAGTGATTATTATAAGGAACAAGATTTAAAATGGTTTGTATCATATTTTGGGGAGGATATTTATTTGAATCGATCAATTCTGTTTTGATCATTTTGTAAATCGTGTTTAATTCTTCTTCTTTTTCTGTTTTCAACTGATATAACGTATTGAATATATCGATATAGTATTTGTAGTTACTTCGCAATTCGCTGTATTTGTTTGGATGAGCGTCTTGGTTGGACATTAATAATTTTTATAAAGGACACATTTGCATTTTACCATATAAATACCACTTAAATTAGAAGAAAATAAATCCTATGTTATATACGTGGAAAACAGTGACTGCAAAGATTTCTGATATAATTTATGAATTTTGATTAAATCTATCAATTAGAAACGGCATGATAACAATATGAAAGTCTAGAGCAATAGGATTGTCATTCGGATGCTTATATTATCCAAGATTTTTATTCCAATCACTCTAAATCAATTGATTCTTTGAAATTAGATAATATGTCATTAATAGAAATATTATTTATTTTCTAAAAGGTACTTTTTATAAACAAAACAATACTGTCATGATTATTTTCAAAATAAGACGAACAAAACGAAATTTGATTTCTTCGGATATAATTATAAGAGTTATTGGATGTAATATGTAATAAAAATTGTGTTAGTTTATAATAAAAGACAAAAATTTTATTTATTGAGGAACACAAACTTCTTCATATGGTTTGAAAATCTTAATATCCAATCTATGGTATCCATTAATATTCCTGAAATAGTAAACAGCATCTCTTACGATCGAATTCTCTTCATCTTTCTCATTTTGGAAGTCAATCACCGTTTTCGCCATCAAATCATTGAGAATTGGTGTCTGGTACTTCACTTCTTCGCCATCGTATTGTGGTAAACCGAATTCTTTGACAGCCTGCAAGATTATATCTTCAAATATTGCGGGCCAGTCGGAACCAGCGTCGATGAGGGTTTCTACGGGTAGCATGAACTCGTTCGGGTAGAATTTCCTTAAGAACTGCTTGTAGTACTTGCAGAACCTGTTCAGAAGGAGACTTTCTGAATCCGAAATTTTTCCGAATTTTGGTTCACCGGAGGAAACTGCTTCGTAGAGTGGTTGTAGGACCTTATCGAGACGGGCAACGTTAGGAACTTCAGTTTCGCCGTATTTGGATTTCATGTAATCGAAACATTCTTTAACATGATTTGCATATGGAAATCCTCTGACAGATTCAGAGGTTAGACGTATGAAAACTGTAGAATAGTCGAGATAATAATTATGTATCATCTTAATAAGCGCGTCTTTCATCCTTCCGCCGATGATTTCGTGAGCTTGTTTGATATGAAGCAAAGATTCGTAAATTTCTTCCGATTGGAAGTCGTAAATATTACGTAGAGCTTCAACAATGCCAGGATTTATGTCGTGCGTTAGAATTGATGTAGTTGCTTTGTATTGATTCGTAATATCAACGTCTTGGTCATGTAATATCTCAGCAGCTGCCATGAGGAAGCCGAGAGCAATGGCCTTGTCGTGGTCAATGTGCTTTTCGGCACCTGGATCGAAGCATAAGCAAGTAAATTCTCTGTTTTCGACAAATTCTTGGTGAATGTTAGCTCCTGTAACAGGGAGACTCTTAATCTGCATAGGAGTAGATCTGTATGACATTTTATAGTAAGTTTCTAACTCATAGTCTGGTTTTTGGTAGCCGTTCTTTAAGGATTGGGAAACATAATCGTGAGGACCAATGGAAACAGGATCCCAGTTAATATCTGAATGAAGAAACTCAGGATATAGTAATAATAAATCTTCTCGATGAATTGTACCGCAAGAAGCCAAATAAAGGGCCATGAGCTCTTTATCATCATGAGCTTTAGCGATAACATCAGGTATTGGCTCGTGATTTCTGATTCTCGGGTTAACATCTTGTTCTGTATCGGATAATTCTTCTGAAAAATCATCATCGGCGTCGTCATCAGCCTGCATGCACGGGCATGATGCGTGTAATACTTTTTTGTCTAAAAACTTAATGGCGAGGCGAGCTAATGCGTTATCATGAATATTTGCAAGAATAAAATCGAAAACTTTCATGTAATTTGTTTCTTTCTTGTGAAATGCTACTATTGCATTAACAACAGCGTAAAATTCTAACTCTGATGGAAAGCTACTGGCAATTTGTTGAAAATTACTGAAAAAACTACTAATTTCCATTGTCCTATCCATAACTTTTGGATCAGGATTATAATGGAATTGAGGGTCTATCAAATTATTAAGCAAATAAACGATCGGCCCTGCATCAGATAAAATTTCTTTGATTCGATTTGGAAGAGGAGCGTTATTCTGGATCTTTTTCGGCTTTGGAAGTAGCTCTTCAAGAGTACCTTCGTTTAAGGCGAAATATATCCTGAAAAATGATGACAATAGCTGTAGATTGCTAATTGGCATCTCTTTTCAAAAAAATACTAAAAAAAAATCTTTTTTTTTACTTCAAAATTCCAATAATTTTGAAGATCAAAAGAATCAATTTTTTCGTGCTGACTTTTTCAAAAATTGAAGGAAAAAGTCACGCGAAAAATTGTAATTTCTGTGATGATATATTAAGCATGTCCCAAGTATTGCCCAAAGCCGACATGCTTAGATATATTCCATTAAGAACTTTTGCATTACCAAGGAATAATAATCGAATAAATTCATCATCTTTAAATTGCATTTTTAAAGTTGTGATTGAATAGCACTTCTGAAATATAGCAGTTATGTTAAATTAAATGCAATATAATTAATACATCTGAATATAAAATCCAGATAAACATTATCTAAAAAAAATTGATCAATATTTGAAAGCAATGCATTGAATATTTTTATTAATTGCTGCATAATGAAGAGCTGATCATTTGGTTTATTCTTTTTCATTGATTATTGCACCATGTGAAATAAGAAGTTTGATTGTTTCTTTATTATTATTTTTTACTGCATAATAAAGAGCAGTATTCCCATCTTTATCTTTTTCATTGATATTTGCATCATGTGAAATAAGTATTTTGATTGTTTTGTGGTAATCATATTCTGCTGCAAAATGAAGAGCAGTTCTTCCATATTTATCTTTTTCATTGACATTTGCGCCATGTGAAATAAGAGGTTCGACTATTTTTTTATTATTATTTTCTGCTGCAACATGGAGAGCTGTTTTTTCATAATAGTATTTTTCATTGATATTTGCACCATGTGAAATAAGAAGTTCGGCTATTTTTTCACTATTAATTTCTGCTGCATAATAAAGAGCACTATTCCCATCTTTATCTTTTTCATTGATATTTGCACCATGTGAAATAAGAAGTTCGGCTGTTTCTTGATTACCATATTCTACTGCGTGATGAAGAGCAGTTTTTTCATCTTTATCTTTTATATTGATATCTGCACCACGTGAAATAAGAAGTTCGACTATTTCTTTACTATATTTTGCTGCATAATGAATAGCAACTATTTTATCTTCATCTTTGTCATTCATATTTCCATAGATATCTACGCCATGTGAAATGAAATATTCGAAAAGAGGTAGAATATTATACTTTATTGAAAAAATAAAGCATGTTTTAACATCATTAGTTTGATCAAAATAAACTAAAAGTGATTCGAGATTATTATATTTTCCACAATCATATAAGTCGATCTTTATATTGTATTCATTCATTAAATATGTAACAAAATCAATGTTGTGTGAAATAATTGCATAACTCATGCATTCATTATCTGGTTCTTGATGTTTCAAACATTCACTCATAATCTCTTGATTTCCACCTAAAAATGAAAAATTTAGGCATGTTTTAGTTATTTCTGAGTTAAACTTCGTTCTTAAGAGTTTGAAACAATCAACTGCTCCGTAAAAACAACATAATTCTAATAATGAATATTCTTTGTGTAAGGGAAATAAGCTACTTGTAATTTTTTGTGATTTATCAAATCCTTCTCTTTCAGTAAAGCAGATGAATTTTTCTTTGTCATTACGCATAATTGATCCATAAATTGTATTTTCTGATTGATAATCTGAAAAATTAAAACAACTACTTTGGAAATATACACCATAAAACACGGAGTTTGAAGTAAGTCTTTCTTTGTCGACCTCTGTAACATGATATTCATCAGATAAATGTTTAGCAATTTCCAAGTATGACTTAGTATAGCGATTATTATACGGAATGATGGATAAAATATCATTTATGACCTTTTTCGGAGTATATTTCTTTGAATCAATGAGCTCTGTTTTGATCATTTTGTAAATCGAGGTTATTTCTTCTTCTTTTTCCGTTTTTAACTGATACAATGCATTATCTGAATCAATATAGTACTTAAAAATATTCCGCAATTCACTGTATTTATTTTGATAAACGTCTTGATCAGACATCAAAAAAAAAAAGTAAAGTTATCACATATACACAAACTATCAAAAATTATTTTTTAATGTACTATAATATGACTTTGGTAAAATTGGTGCATCTTTACAAAATGGATGTTAAATGAAAAGATATCTAATCTGAAGTCCCTCAATAATACGATTTTTGTCATTTTTGCACCATACGTGCCATGTATAATGTGAAAAAAATAATGGCCGCAAATTGTCATTTGCATTAATTTTTCATAATCTCACCGTTGCAACTATTATCTATAAATTATCTTTTGACTTGAAAGCCAGATATCCAGAATTAAACTTACTTACTTATTGAGGAATTTTTAGAGCTTCTCAAGTTAGAAAAAGCTTTCATAATTTTTCACATCAAAGTTTGTTTAAAAAATTACCAGCGATCGAAATCCACGGCAATTACCGTGGTTAACCGTATGGAAAGCCATAGGAAATTTAGAGTTCAAAGTCAATGTAATTTATAAAATGATGTCACTTTTTCAAATTCATGGGAGATCGGCAAATAAGTGAATTCGAGATAAATCATAGAAACGAATATGTTTTAGAATTTCTAAAATACCCAAATCAAGTCTCGACGCTTATTTGGAACATCAGTTCTGACAATCTCACGGAAATTTCAGAAAAAATAATTAAACTTGTTAACCAAAGGAAAATCAGTGCAGAATTGGTTCTACGTCTAATTGATGCCTTTTCTTTGCGACGATTTAAGCATATTGGCATATTTACAGAAATTTATCAAAAGATACTAAATGAATTTTCAATTTTGACCAAACCTGCAAATAAAGATTTGGAATCAATGTTATTCTATAAAGGATTCAAATTCAAACTATATAGAGAAGAAGAAGATATTCTCAATATTTATCAAAAAGAAACCCCTTATTATTTTATTGCATGGGATAAAGTTGATGAACTTAAAAATAGGTTTCCAAACATTAATGTAAAGAAGCAATATGATGATTATATGACACCCCTTGATTGTGCCTGCAAATATGGATCAGATCTATGTTTTAATTACTTGAAAAACATTGGAGCTAGATATACAAGCGATTCAATCAAGCTTGCTATTCTAAGCGGAAATAAAGATATTGTTATGCTAATAATAGATGATGGTCAATCTTGTTATAATATGACTGACATTGCATTGGAAACTCATAATTTTGAACTTGCAGAGTATTTTCAAACGAATTTTAATCAAGTTCCTAATTCGCTCGCAAGAAGTTTGTATTTTGGAAATTATGATATTGCTTCTTTTTTACTATCTAATGGTGCTAATTTGAACGATTCGTTTATTAATTCTCTTTTCATATCTATCATAGTATTTCATCCTCTTTCTTTTCATATCTAATGTTTTATTATGTGATTCTTTTTTTATATATGTACCTTATTATTTTAACATATTCTAATTTTTTTTCATATATAACATTGTTTCATTGGATTTTATTTCTTTTCATATCTCTCATTGCTTTATTACATTATACTTCACTTCATAAATTTCATTGTTTTTTTATATTCATCATAATTATATGAAATTCATTCTCGATTTATCTCTATCCTCTTTCTATTGCAATACAGCAAAATTTTCCAGAACTTATCAAATACATAGTTGAGCATGGTGCAGATGTCAACATGCAATTTTTTCTCTTTTGTTCGATATCTTTCAAATATTAACAGGATTCAATTGCTTCCCATATTTTTCATTTTATTGTAATGTTTTCTTTATTATTATATTCATTGCTTAGTCATTTCATTCTCTTTGAATTAATGTTAATCATTGTTTGAAGAAATTTTTATTCCAGTCATATACATCTTTATTTAATGGCTTTTCATTATTTCACAGAATTATAATTACTCAACTCATGTTTATCATAGTTGTACATCATTTTCTTTATTTCCATAACGTTCATGCTTTTTTAATGATTGTCCTCTCACAATTGCAATCAGACATAATTTTCTAGATGTTGTAAGTTATTTGATTGAACATGGTGCAGATATCAACGCCAAACTTCTTCTCTTTATTTTGATATCCATTAATTTTTTATAGAATTCTTTGTATATATATGACGTTCTCATTGCTTTCGTAGCTATAATATTATTATTGTATTCTCTATCTTCTAATGTTATTCTTTGTTTAATGAAATTATCTATATATTCAGATTTATCATTATTGCATGATATTGTTTTTCCATTTATGTCTATCATTGCTATATGGAATTCTCTCCCTTGTCATATTTATCAATACTTAATTATATCATCTATATGTTTTTATCTATTAATGTTGCATTTTATTATCTTTCTTTTTATATCCTTCATCGATTTTTGAAATTATCTTATTAATGATTTCTTTCATTGTCTTTATATGATTCTCTCTCTTTTCATATTCATCGTTTATAAATGATGTTCAAATAATATTAATACTTGCCCTCTAGCTATTGCTATCCAACAAAATCTAATGCCTATTGTTGAATTTTTAGTCGAGCATGGCGCGGATGTCAACCTAATACTTATTCCATTTATTTTAATATCGATCTTTGCTTTATGAAATTATCTTTTTTGCTCATATCATTCTTTGCATTATAGATTGATATATCTTCTAATATATTTCTCTTTTCTTAAATATTTGCTTTTTTACCATAACATTCATTATCCATTAGTTTCTATCATTGCCTTATAACATTCATTTGTGATTACTATCAATCATTATTTAATAACATTTTAATTTTTTGAATGTAAATCATTGTTATATACATTTCTTATTCTATTGATATCTATAGTTGTATTATGAAATTTACTATTCTTTAACTTTATTCGATTTCGATTCATATTGATCAAAGCTTTATGAAATTATATTTATTCCAATATTTATCATTATATCACATAGTCTTTTATTCATGAATGAAACACCATTTTCAATTGCTTGCAAACTAAATTTAACATATGTTGTTAAATTCTTTGTCGATCATGGTGCGGATGTCAACAAGATGGTTATTAATCAAAATTTTATTGCATTATTCATCTTCTCATTTTTCCCATTGTATCATCAAAATCTCTTTCTATTTATGTTTCTCATTGTTTGTTTACATGCTAGTTCTTTTCATATTTATCATTGCTTTTTGAAATTCTCTTTCAATACATATCTTTCGTTGCCTTGTTATATTTTCTATAAATTATTATTCACCAACATTTTATTGCGTTCGATTTATATAGGGTGTCCAAAGGTGTGTTTAGCACAAACCTGAATACTGCGAATAGAAATAAACAAGTTACATATATATAAAGTTTATTTAAATATAATCACCATTGGATTCAATCACGCGTTCGCAGCGATCGATCCAGGCTTGAAAGACACGCTTTAAATCATCATGAGAAAATTGCTCAAATTGCTCTCTTACAAAATTTTCAAGATCATCTGGACTCGCGAATTCGCGTCCTTCAGCTCTCTTTTTTAGCGTGCCGAATAAATAAAAGTCAGAGGGTGCAATATCAGGTGAATAAATTGGGTTTGGAACAACTTTGACATTGTTTTCCAACAAGTAATTCATTACCTTATGACTTTTGTGAACTCTTGAATTATCAAAATGAATTGCAAACTTTTGTTTTTGTTGTTTGGATTTCTCAAACTCATCAGAATTGATAATTTGAGTAAGAACATTGTCAATTAGATACTGAGCATTCATCGTATTAGGTTTTTGAAGAATATCAATTGCGATGATGCCATTCACGCCCCAAAAAACCGACAACATCATCATTGGTGTGTCAATTTTTTTCTTCGGGAATGTTTGCGGATTTTCATCCTTCGGGATCCACATGATTTTGGCTTCTGTTGCATATTGAAACCAAGACTCGTCCCCTGTTACTAAAAAGCGAAACTTCTTGGATTGATACGCACGCAATATAGAGAGGAGCTCTTTCGAAGATTGGACTCTAGATTTTTTTTGAACTGAATTAAGGTTGTGCGGAACCCAACGTGTATACGCTAGTTTGTAGTTCAAATAATTGTGCAGATAATAACTGACTGTTGTACGTGGTATCTTTGTCATCTCCTCTATCCTTCTGAGTGATGCTCTTGGGTCTTCATCTAGCGCTTGAAGAATTGCTTTGATTTTTCTTTGATCCGGCGATTTTTGTCAATTTTTTATGATGGGCGCCTTTTTGTTCATGAAAGTGATACATCCTAACATGATACGTTACAGTGGAATAGCTAGGAGCATCCATACCGAAGCATTTTACCAATGTCTCGTAGATTTTTTACAGTCTTTGCATTTTTTTGCAAGAGCGAGGATGTTTTCTTTATGATTCATTAAAAAATGAAAAAAAATCCCGCCAAAATTTCCCGCGAAACCGCCTCTTGTCTCAAAATTCATTTTATATCCCTGCATGGCGCCAAAATACAACTTACTTATCATATACATATATTCATATTTTTTATTATATATTTATAATCAGCATATATCTCCTTTAATAGTCTCATATAGAGCGCTGTGCTAAACGCACCTTTGGACACCCTATATATGTATTAAGGTTTGCCCTCTTCATACTGCAGTTATGTATAACTCAACTGATGTTGTTAGATTCTTGGTTGAGCATGGTGCAAATGTCAACATGATTTGTAACGAAATTTTCTTCCATTTATTATTACTCTTCTTTAAATGGAGTCAATTTTTGTTTAATGAATTCCCCTTATCAATAGCTATATGCCAGAAATTGCCAGATCTTGTCAAATACTTAGTTGAACATGGTGCAGATGTCAACTTGAGACTTTTACTGCTTATTTTCATATCAATCAATAATTTTTGATTTTTTCTTTCTCTTCACATCAAACATTTCTTTATGATATTCTTTCTCTCCTTATATTTATCATTATTACGTGAAATTCACAAACGGTTAATATTGATCCTCTTACAATTGCAATTCAGCAAAATGAAACAGACATCATCGAATTCTTAAAAAATCATGGCACGAACCATGTCAATAACAAATAGAATAATCATATGCTATTGTTAATTATAGTCAGAATCAGATATAAATATTTATATCTTCATTTCATAATTATTTTTATTTACTATTTGATTTTATCTTATCACTTGAATGAGAGCATCTCTATATCAAAATCTCGAAATAAATGACTTGGTGATGTGAATATGAAATTGATGAGAATTAATTTAGTTTAATGAATAAACAATCAATAACCATATCTAAATGCATTGAATAAATGCATAATTCATGAGTGATTTAGAATAACTTTGAGACATTCAGAATTTCTCCATTGGAATCATAGAGTTTAGAGCTGATTGACTTTGAATATGCTGTAACGAAATCATTATATTACATACTTGAAGTCTTGATCATGACTTAGGAGATTGAAGATAAAAAAAGTGTTCAATTCGGGAAAAAAAATTCAAAACGTCCATGAGGATTCCAGTTCTTGTGAACTCGGATGGAGTACAGGAATGGGCGATGATAGAACTTCAGGGAAAGATATCACCTTATGATAATGATTTTGGTGATAAAACTTTTGGTCCCTTGAATATTGATGGTGAATCAGCAACTCTTACAATCGGAAACCATTACTTAAAAGGAAAAGTTCACAGACTGAAAAAGCCTTTATGCGTTATGCGTAGAGGTTCAGAAAGCGGAATACAAATAGTTAGTGTTATCAGAAAGAAAGTTATTTTCTCAGATCGTCCAATTATTCTTTTCCCAGATATTCCAATTTAAATTCATTCCTTAGACACATCCAAACGTTAGTGAATTTCTTGTATTCAGGAGATATATATATTACAAAATTGTGTTTTTTATATTATGAAATTTGTTAGGTATTACTCGCTATCTTTACTCATCTTTATTAACACCATTTTGGTATAGAATGTATAAAGATTTTTTTATTTGATATATATCTTTTTGCTTTGACCTATTTCCCTTTAAATATCATATTAGAACAAATAAGCAAATAGAAAGAAAAGCAAAAATTATGCTCTAACGGAAGAAATTATAATTAATATCGTTTTCTCAGTTTATTTTAGATTTGTAATTTCGTTGTGACAAAAATGTAAGTGAATTAAATAAGATGTTCAGCTTTAGTTACTTTAGAAGAACATGCCAAGGATCTTGCCACCAGCGTTGTGCTTACGAGCCTCTTCGTGATCCATGATGCCCTTATCTGTGGAAAGAACGACATAGCCGAACTGACGGGATGGGAGAAGCTTAGCCTGCCACATCTCGAGGTCACCAAGGCCAACATCGAAACGTGGGCAGATAGCGACGCACTTGTTGAGGCGGCCAAGAAGGTTGATGACGATCTTGCCAGAGCGGTGGTCATCGATAACTTCGAAATCGCCGATGTAGTTACGAGAAGCCATAACCTTTAAGAAGGCGATGATAACCTTGGAGGATGGGCGGATGAGGACCTGGCGCATACCACGGCGTTCAGCGTTGGTGATGGCCTTAAGGGCATCGGCAAGGACGGATGTGCGAACCATAAAAAGGAAAGGCCAAACCCCTCTTATCGTATTACTCTCAATTTTTTGGGCCTGAAGCAAAAGCATTTCCAAAGCTAGGTGTGGAACATGCTATTTCTATGGCATTGTTTTATAACGGCAAAATCGCATTATTCGAATTTTTTATTTTATTTTATCCTTTCATTACAATATTTCTTTTTGTTTTTTAGATAATTAGAATATACTGTTGGTGTATTATGTATGTTCATAGTGAATTATCATAATTCGTAAATATTTGTTCAAAAATTTGTGAAAATTCCTCAAAGATTCCATATTTTATGCGAACAAAGCATGTCATTAATTGTTCCAAGTATTTTTGATGATATAAAAAATTGAATTGAAAATTGGAATATTTGCCGTCAAAATGGCAAAACTCGGAATTCATTTCGGAAAAAAATTTTCGAACAATATGTAGGCTCAGATTAACGTAATAGATTTGCATATCAAATTCAAAGCGAACCCCATGATATTTTCATCGGAACTTCATGTTTTTGGTTCCACAATAAATTTAATTTTTGATATTTCTTCATTTAGTTATAATATTTAGAAACCGTATCATATACATATTTTATTTTTGCTAAACAAAATAAATTTTAAGCTCAGATGTTTTTTAGCAATTTAATTCGGGGTGATATTCTACCCTTAGTATAAGTTTCATTTTCATTAGGAAATCTACAATAACTTTCAAGTAACAATTTGAGAGGAAAAGGCGGTTTGACATTTCTTTCAATGTCTCACGAATCAGAGCAAATGCCCAACGTCAAGCTTGTACTTTTGGGCGAAAGTACAGTCGGCAAAACATCAATCGTTAACGTCGCTCACCGTGGTGAATTTATTGAAGATCAAACATCTACAATTGGTGCATGTTTTCAGATTAAAAAGATGAAGGTCGGCGATGCTACTGTTAAATTGCATCTTTGGGATACAGCTGGCCAGGAGCGTTTTAGATCTCTTGCACCAATGTATTACCGTGATGCTCAATATGCACTTCTTATTTATGCAATTGATAATCATGACAGTTTCGATTCTATTGAAACATGGCATAGTGGATTAGTTGAAGACTGCTCCACTGTCCCACACATCGTTCTTATTGGCAACAAGACAGATCTTGTTGATAGCAGAACAGTAACATACGAACAGGGCCAGGAACTTGCTCACAGACTTAACGCTCGCTTCTACGAAGTCTCAGCTAAAGCTGATCATGAGAGTATCGTTAAAATGTTCCAAGATATTGCGGAAGAAGCCTTTAGGGAAATGAAGAATGATGATAATGATAATCCCAAACCAAATCTTGTTGAAACCAAGCAAGGCAATCAAAAGAAATGTTGCTAAAATTTTACATTTTTTCTTTTTAAATCTACGTTCTATTTTCGCTTAATTTCGATATATTTGACTCTGTTTATTTGTTTCTCGTGAAGCGATTGATGATTTTTTTTAGTTTTCGGTACTCAAAATCTGACATGTAAAGCAGAAATCCGAGGGTTTATTACAAAAATGTCAAAAAAATAATCCTCTTCTTGAAAAATGAATTAAATGATCAAATTTTAATTGCTATAAGAAAACAAAGATTTCGTATGTCTAACTTTTTTATTGTGAAATAAAAAATTTGAGAGATGAGTTTGACAGAAGAACTTCGTACATGTTGCATTCAGATTATGGAAGATCTAATGGAACACCCCTGCTCAATCGTATTTTCTAAAACTATTACTCCTGAAGAAAATCCGGATCAAGATTCTCAGCAAAATAATATACCAGCTATTAAACATCCTGTTGATTTATCTATGATAAAAGAGAATTTGATAGAATACAAATACAAGTACCTAATTCAATGGGAAAGTGATATGAAATGCGTTTGGGTTAACCCATTGAAAGCAAATAAGAAAGATTTTTTCACGTTTGCCCTTGCAAAAGAACTTAAGACACAATTTAGAAAGTTACACAAACGAGTCAAACTTCGAACACTGAGTAAATGGACCCGAGAAGCCTCCAAATTAAAAGATAAGATTGATGCTCTATTAGATTCACCCCCAGAACAGTGCTCTCAGTATGTGATACTATCTCAAAAGGAAGATTTCGTTGATTGCACAAAAGAATTTAATGAAAGAGAAAAAACATGTTTTGGCAAAGCAACATTCCTTGTTCCAGGCATGCAAGATCAGAAGAAGATTCTATCAATGCTAAATAAGTATAAGACCCCATTAATTAAAGAAAATGGCATCATTAATGTCGATTTAAATGATCTTTCGAATCAAGAAATGTATGAGATTAGAGCATACATTGAAAAACGTTTAGTTGAATTACATATTCCATATCCGCGATGATTTCATTTATTTGTTTGTAAATTATTTTTATTGCGCTTACTAACTTTTTAATCAATGTTGCACAAGATGAATTTGCACAAACATGGAGACCTCATTCAAATTGGATCATCGTAAAGAGATATAATGATATGATTCCTCAATCCATTTTGGATTTGAGTGGGGAGTATCAAATGAATGTATTTTATTTATTAATATATGAACACATATGTTTTTACTACTCGGTATATTGTTTGTGTTAAAATTACTTTCGAACCTATAAAAAAAATTTGCTAAATGATATTGATTTAAGATATTGAATTGGAATATGTGTTTTGTCCAATATATATGACTATATACTCTACATCCGGAACATCATTTTTGAAGATTTTCATCCGAGTTCGATTTCGAATGAGAATTTCGATGGATAATAAACTTTACCGGCTCTTTAGAATCAAAAAGTAGTAAAAATATATTTAAATTTCTATCATATTTAAAAAAATACCAGTTGCTGCAACCAGCAATTGTATAAAAGTAAAATTTTAGAGAAAACCTGATGAATACATCATTAGATATATTTATCTATAGTAGAGATCACAGTAAAACATATTTTTAGCAGCAAGTATTCCTCTTCTTATTCTTTGTCTTTGGATCTGGAATAATAACACTATGGCCGCCATCTGTAGCAGATTTCTGGCCACTAATTGTTCCTGCAGCCACCTTCTTTAAGAGGTCTCTGCCAGCTTCCAAGAAAGTTTCTTGAATATTATCATTGTTAGCTGCAGAAGTCTCAATATAAGTGAGCTCATTCTTTGCAGCAAATTCTTTAGCTTCTTGTTCTGATACAACTCTTTGATCTTTAAGATCGCATTTATTGCCAACTAAAATAACTGTACAATGAGGATCTGCTTCAACACGGGCATCTCTCAGCCAGCGAGGAAGCTGATCAAAACTCTTTCTATCTGTTATATCGTAGACGAGAATTACGCCTAAAGCATTCCTGAAGTAAGCTCTTGCAATTGTATAGAATCTTTCTTGTCCTGCTGTATCCCAAATCATCATTTTTACCATTTTATTTTCGATATTTGTGACGTATGTAAAATATTCAATGCCGACCGTAGATTGTGTGCCTCTGTTGAATTTGTCTTCGCAGAGTCTTCTAAGAATTGAGGTCTTGCCTGCACCGGAGCAGCCTATAACTATAAATTTAAATTGAAGAGGTGATTCCGCCATCTGGAGATTTTATATCCAACCGCCGGAATTTCTATCATTCCAAAGTGGGCGAACACTTACCCCGATAAGAAAATAATTTGTTGTAGAATATCTGGAACGTTCATAACTACCGAAGTATGACCGTAAAATAACTAAAATTTTCGAAAGGGTGGAAATTGATCGATCTTATTTATACCAAGAAATGTGATAAATATACAATATTCCGTAAAATGGCAAAAATCTACTAAAAATATTATGAATTTGCCAGTAATTCAAGAGAAACAATTTTTGATCGATCGTATAATATGATTTTAACTGTACAAATTTATTATTTTGAGATAGTTATTAAATGGGTAAGGACTAATTTTAAAATAGACGGATTTTGAATAACAATAAAATTTAATTCTATATAAATATATTATTCATCATCATCACCTTCGTCATCATCATCTTCATCATCAACATCGCCCGTTTCTTGGTCACCATACTGAGCGGCGTAGTCAGCAGCCATATCTTCATCATCTTCAGAGTTAGACTTTTCTTCGTCATCATCAGAACTATCAAGTTTAGCCTGATCTATGACATCTTCACTTGTAATTGATGTTGTATTCTTGAATTCGAGTCTAACTGTATCTTCATCGAGAACTTCGGCCTGTTGTCCTTTAAGTTCTTCGAGAGATTTAATTTTATCTTTCGGATTTAATAAGCATGCTGGGAAAGCAAACGTTGGAGCATCTGTTGTTATGTGTTTAAGTAATTCATGGCGTGTTGGATTTAATACTCTTTCTTGCTGTTGAGATAATGATGTTTCGAAGTAAAATGGAGATTTTCTAAACGCGGATATGAATTGATGATCTGCTGCACCTGCAGTTCTTGCTAAGTTAGGCAATCTCATGAGCTCTATTGGCCTATCTGGATATAATACTTCTTCAGATGGCTTCGGTGTTTGCTCTGTAGTTTTCTGTTCTCCTGTTTTTTCTTCACTCATAATTTTTTTGAAGAAACGAAAGACATAATATGAAAAAATATAATTGGAAAAGCATGCTATATCTCTAAAAAGTATAATTCTTTTTGTTTCATAAACTCTGCCGCCAAGATTGCTTTTATGAAATTTAACTTTCTCAAATTTGTGCATTTCAATTACATAATATATAATAACACTTTTTATGAGTTGTGATTATTGCAAATACTTCTTTATAACTTATTCTTTGAAATCCAAATTCGGTCAAAATTCCGAATTTGCCATAAATTTATATAAAATAATGTTTATTATTAAAATATAGTAAGATTGAGCTAATATTCATTTTTCCTTTACGTTTATTTTGGAATCGTTACAAAAAAATTTTTTTGTTTGCAAATTCTAATGAAGGGAACACCGGAAGAAGCGAGAGTAACTGCCGATAAAGCCCTTCATGATGAAATGGTTTATGTTGTGCGTGAGCTAACAGAAGAATTTCAAGATAATCCTAAAATTCAACCTCATTTGAAATCTTTTGCCAGAATGTTAACAGAGCTTGATGATTCCTGCAATAAAAACTCTCAACTTATCACAAAATGCGAAGATTTTAGCCAGAATCTCGTTGAAAAAGCCAAAACTGTTAAAGATATTTTGTATCAAATTCATGAAGACAAAGAAATCATTGCAAAACTAAATTCCGAGTTTGATCGAGCAACAAAGCGAATGGAAAGATTTGAAGCGAAAGATAAATACAATGCATCGATTGTTTCGGATTTGAAATCAGATTTTGATGTAACATACAACATTTCAAATGAAAAACTACGACAAGAGCAAGAAACTGAAAGTCAGCGCAAGGAAAACAAATTAATACAAGAAGAAATTCAAGAAAACAAAAATAAAATTCTTGATATTAAAAATCAAATCAAAAACGCAAATACTTTATTTGAAAACATGAAACAAGAAGTTAATAACGTTAAAGAGACTGTAGAATCGTTAACAAAGCAAATTGATGAATCTTCACTCTTACAACAAGAAATGAATCAAGAAAATCGCGAAGCATTCCCAAGGATGAAGAGCTTAAGTGTTGAAAATGAAGAATCTGAGGCTAAACTGGCCGAATTAGGTGATTTAGTTTCGAAATCTGTTGTTGATCCTGAATTAGGAAAGCAAATAACAATTTTAAACATACAAAAGCAATCAGCAGTTGCTGAAGGCCAAAACCATCTAACAGCAATTGCAATTCGCAAAAATAAACTTGAAATAATAAGAAAGAAAAATGAAGAAACAGAAGCATACATAACAAGGATCAAAAACAAAATAGCTAAGAACGAAAAGAATCTTGTTACTCTTAACGAGCAATTGAATGCTCAACTTGAAGTCAGAAAACAAATTGAACCAAAATTTAAAGAAGTTGAGGATAGACACAACGAATTGAAGAAATTAAGGAATGAAGCTAAAAAGGAGTCTAAAGATCTTCTCGAAAAGGTCGTAGATCTTGGATTTAAAGGTGTGAAATTAAATAACGAGAAAAGTGTCGAAGAACGCAGAATTCTTGCACAGCAATTGATTATGCAGGCCCTTAATAAAGAATCTGTTAACGAAACGCATAAACTTAAAGAGATTAATAATCAATCAAGTATTTTACAGTCAGAATCCATTGGATGTCGATCGGATGCCCAGAAAATGAAAGAAAATGCCTCAAAGATACTCACCGAGATCGAAATGATCCAAACTGAAGGTCAAAGAATCAAAATGCAGTTGCATTCAGTAAAAGAAGAGATAGATTCCATCAATAACCAAAATCAGGAAGCTTCTGATAACCTCCAGGAAATAAAGGATAAGACAGTAAAGCAATCCCAGATGGTGGAAAGGCTAAAAACAGAAAAAAACATGTACGAAAAGCTTGTTGAAGCAGCAAATGCTGAAACCGACGTTTTACAGCGTAATTTCAACGAGTTAATTGTAAATATTAAAGCTATGACCGATAGAATTGATCATTTAATTGATATGACAAGAAAATATCACGAAGCGTCGAACGTATTGAAGGAAGCAAACATAGTTATACAAGATATGAATAAGCAAACTGAAGAAGGCTGCAGAAACAGTGATAAAATTAATCAACAATTAGTAAATGACGCTGTCAAGCTCCAAGGGCTACTTGAAAAGTCTGCATGGGACTACAGACAACAGAAGAAAGAGTTTGCAATGCTAAATAACTCTTACCAAATTGTTGTTCAGCAATGTCTTGAAAAAGGCAAGAAAATTCAAGAATTAAGAGACGAAATCAAAGCCCAAATGACTGTTTTAGCCAAATCCAAGCAACAATATCTGTCGAAGATCGATCAATTAATGAAATTAGATGCTGATTACAATTATTACATGGATATCAATGATAAACTGACTGCTTTAGATGCCCATACTAAAGAGCTTAAACAAAAGGATAAAGAACTTACGTTTGCTTTGACTGGGCAGCAACTTCGGAAGACAAATATAATGGAAGAGCTAAAAATCCCAAGAAATGTTCATAGATACACTATTATGGCATCCACAAACCCAGAACTCGCCAAGCAGTACAAGTATCTTTGGTATTTAAGGCAAAGATACGCTGAAACATTAGTTGTTTTAGAAAAAACAAAAGAAAAACGTGACAAAATGAAAGAAAATCTTTCACGCATTGAAACAATCACAGATAACAATCCTTTAGAGGTTGATGAAGTTCAGAAGCGTATCAAAGTATACGAGGAAGCCGTTAAAGAGAAAGGCAGGCAACTAGAAGCCATGAATCGCGAGATACAAGGTAACCAAGTTGATATCAATGAAGAAAACATTTCATGTCAATCTGCTAGAGAAGAAATAACAAAGAGGAAGGAATTGACTGCATCTATGCGAGGAAAAACACTTAAACCGCAAAGTTCGGTTGCTAATGAAGAAGATCTTTATTTCATTACTGAGCCAAGTTCTGCATGTGTTACGACATTTGGAGGTGGATTCACTCCAAGGTTACCTGAAACTGCACGCGATTCAAAGAGATTCACTGCAAGAAATTTCAATCCGAAAGAGGTTGAAAATGTCGATTTCACAAATCCGATGTTGAGAAATCAGAGAGCTTATTTATATTTACCTAACATGAGGAGATCTGCAAGAACTACTAATGCCGCAGGTAATAGAACTAAGTCTCCTCCACATTCTGCTAGAGTTGTTAGACAATCAATAATTGTCTAATTTAATAATTTTTTTTTATATGTTTGTTTGTATTTTTTTGATAAAAAGTTTCTGAATATTCAATTTATTGATTATGTTTTAAGATTTTGTTTTCTCGGAATAACACAATGTTGTACAATCACAATTTGTTTTATTTTATCTTTGAAATTGTTAGATAATGTTAGAATAACTGAAAATTTTTCATATGTATATCCAACAATTCAGATTTATTTGGGTCCGTTTTTTCAATAAAATCATTATTCCAAAATAATTTGAAGGGTGTGATATCACGAATATATCTCTAATTTTTCTGATCTTTGCATCCGTAAATGATTTGTGGTATATCGATTATATATTTGTGTGTTTAAAAAAAATGCGGCAAAAAAGTAAATTTAAGAATTTATAAAAAAAGTTAATTCAAAGATCTAGAATAATTCCAATAATTTTTTTTACCTTCTTCTTCTTTACTTATATAATCTAGATTTGCACCATGTGAAAGAAGAAACTCAACTGCTTCTTTATTCTTATTGCGTGTTACAATATTAAGAACTGTTTCTCCATTTGCATCTTTTTCATTAATATTTGCACCATGTGATAAAAGAAGTTCAATTAGTTCTATATAATTTCTATTGCAAATTGCATAATGAAGAGTGGTTCTTCCATTAGCATCTTTTTCATTAATATTTGCACCATGTGAAAGAAGAAGTTCAACTAAGTCTTTTCTATTAAAACGTACTGCTTCATGAAGAGAAGTTCTTCCGTCATTATCTTTTTCATTGATATCTGCACCATGTGAAATAAGAAGTTCAGCTGTTTCTTTACTAATTGTATATGCTGCATAATGAAGAGTGGTTTTTCCATTATTTTCTTTTTCATTGATATTTGCACCGTATGAAATAAGAAGTTCGACTAAATCTCTACTATTTGTTTCTGCTGCATAATGAAGAGCGGTTCTTCCAAATTCATCTCTTTGGTTGACATTCGCACCATATGAAAGAAGCAAATCAATCATTACATTATTATGATTGTTTAATGCAAGAAAGAGAAATGTTTGTCCGTATGCATCTTTTTCATTTAAATTTGCACCATTTGAAAGAAGAAGTTCAGCTGTATCTTTTTCATTTTCTTTTATTGCAAAATGAAGAGGAGTTCTTCCGTAATTATCTTTTTCATTGATATTTGCACCATGTGAAAGAAGAAGTTCAGCTGTATCTTTTTTATTTTCTTCTATTGCATAATGAAGAGGGGTTCTTCCGTAATTATCTTTTTCATTGACATTTGTACCATGTGAAATAAGAACTTTGATTATTTTGTTATCATCATAATGTGCTGCTGTATGAAGAGCGGTTTCTCCATATTTATCTTTTGCATTGACATTTGCACCATGTGAAAGAAGAAGTTCAACTGTTGCTTTTTCATGACAAGATACTAAAGAATGAAGAGCAAATTTTCCATATTTATCTCTTTCATTAACAGAAGCGCCGTGTGAAAGAAGTAGTTGAACAATATCTGTATAATCATTGTGTGCTGCAACATTAAGAGCTGTATTTCCATCTATATTTTTTTCATTGACTTTGGCACCATGTGAAACAAGAAGTTCGACTGTTTCTTTAGTTCCGTAATCTGACGCCCGATAAAGAGCAGTTTCATTATTTTTAGTTGTTTCATTGATATTTGCACCGTAGGAAATAAGAAGTTCAGCTATTTCTTTCAAATTATCATTTGCAGCATAATGAAGCGCAGTATATCCATTTATATTCTTTTCATTGGCATTAGCGCCATGTGAAAGGAGAAATTCAACCATTGTATCGTCAAATTTATCTGTTGCAATATGAAGAGGGGTTTCTTGATTTTGATCTTTTTCATTGATATTTGCACCATGAGAAATAAGAAATTCGGCAGTTTTTAGGGAACCACATTCTGCTGAATAATGAAGGGCGGTACGTTCCATATCATCCTTTGCATCGATATTTGCACCATGTGAAAGGAAATATTCACAAAGGGATGAAATATCAAATCTCGATGAATAAATTAAGCATCTATTAACATCATTAGTCTGATCAAAATAAACAAATAATGCATCAAGATTATAATAATATCCGCAAGCATATAAATCGATTTCTATATTGTACTCATTCATCAAGAATGTAACAAAATCAATGTTGTGTGAAATAATTGCATTATACATGCAATAATTATCTGGCGTTTGATATTTCAAACATTCACTCATGATCTCTGGATTTCCACAATAAAATGAATTTCTTAGGCATTCTCGAGTTATTTCCGAGTTATATTTCGTTCTTAAGAACTTAAAACAATCAGCTGCTCCATGGTAACAACATAATTCAAGTAATGAATATTCTTTGAAATCACCTGGATATAGATAGCTTTTAAGCTTTTGATTTTCATCAAATCCATCTCTTTGGGTGAAATAGATGAATTGCTTTAGGTCATTATGCATGATGGCTCTGTAAATTGTATCTTCATAACAAACATCCATATTTTTTAAAAATTCAAATCTGATACCTTTTGGGTTGCTTAAATAAGTTCCATATTCTTTATGAAAAAGGTATATATACTCTTTTGATAGATATGGTATCTCTTTTATTTGATAATCGTCAGATATGAGTTTCACAAGTTTCAAATATGACTTTGTATAGCGGTTGTTAAAGATAATGATATGAAAAATATCTCTTATAATTTTTTTCAGGAAGATATTTCTCTGAATCAATCAAGTTTGTTTTGATCATTTTGTAAATTGAGCTTAATTCTTCATCGTTTTCAACTTTCAACCGATACAATGCAGTATACGAATCGATGTAATATTTGTAGATGTTTCTCAATTCACTAAACTTATTTGGACTAGTGTCTTGATCAGACATCAAAAAAATATAAAAATCACATACTTGCACTCGGTGAGATTAAATGCCTTTTTAACTCATTAACAGAAGAAAACGTAAAGCCATTCGTGATGAAAACAATATTATAAATAATTTCGGATAAGAATTAATAATTACAATGAAATTCATACACATGAAATGACTCTTTAAAAGTTTTAAAGTCGAAAGCAAATAGATATCAAAAATATTGATGGCTCCAGGTGAAAGAAATCGTGAAATCACTGATAATCATATAACATTTTTCAATTTTGGATCAAAAATATTTACCCATTTAAGTCGTATTAAGTATATCCTACTGACAATTTTCAAAAAAATAAAAATAATAATCAAATTCTTTGAATGTATTGCCGATGGGACAAGTTTAGTCCAAAACGTATGTTATCTTTTGTAATTGATTTAATAATTTATAAAAGATGGATTTCATAAAATCGATATCCTTTTCATTTGTCTGATTCATTGTTGTTATAAAAATAGTATTTATCAGTTAAATAATAAACAATAGAAAATATTTATTTTGTATATTCTTGTTGTTGTTCAGGTGATTGTTCTTTCTGAGATGAAAGAGGTACAAAAGTATTTCCTGATCTGAATCTGCTTGTTGTACTGAGAATTTGAGCGTACAGCCAGCTGAAATGGAAAAGTTTTCCATAAACAATGACTCCGATGGCCATTAGTCCAAAACCAATGAATCTGAGTATAGAATATCCCTTCAGTGGCTCGCCTATTTGTGGATGGCTCATGCCGTATTGTGTTTTTCGCAATGAATAATGCAAAATAATTTCTACAAGCCAAACAATGATAGCAGCAGTGCCTTCAAGCATAGGAAGTCTCTCTGGATTATTTTGGGATGTAACATATTGGCTTCCAATGACATTTAACACTGAAAATCCTAATACGAAAAATTCTGGGATCAACCATAAGCCATTATTCTTGAGCATGACTAGAGTATCCCATAGGTTCTCGTGAATGCCATTTCCTTCGGGATCTACCGTTGAAGAATGTAATATTGGGATAATTACGGCAAAAACGAAGAAGAAACCCCAGAAACCTTCAAGTCCGACGATCAAAGCCGCTTTTGTACGAATCTTTCTGAAGATTGATGATTCAAGAACGAAAACTGCGGCTTTCATCACCAAAGTAAGGCAAACGAGTATTAAAGCTGTAATTGTTTCTTTGGAGCTGTGCGATTCGATAAGAGATGCTGCGTAAAGGAAACAAGCTGCAACAATTACGAAGAAAATTGAGACAAGGTGATGGAGAACTATCTTCTTTCTCTTGAAAATCGCCTTGATAAGGATGGAAAATAGAAGAATACCACATTGTAAAGCTTGGAATGTTGATGCATCTAAAAATAATAAACTTATATTGGCTAAACCGAGTGCCATAACGCGTGCCATGCCTGGTATAGCACATTTAACGTAAAATTTCCATCTGTTTTGCTTCTCTTCGGGTGAATCTTTAACATAATTTGTGTCAACCGCTTCTTCTTCAATTTTAATGTGTTTAACACACCTTAATATATCGTACCAGATCATTACTAAAGCCATGCCACCAAGTCCAATAATGGTTTGGAACCAGGGCTTAGAAAATTGATGAATCGGATAAATTGTATCACCTTTGCCGTATTGTCCAAACATAAACTTGTTTAGAATTGTTAGGATAGCTGCTGAAACAATAACGACTGGAAGAGAGGCAATCTTTGCAAACTTTGAAGCCTCTAAAACCATCCGAAAATTTTGATAATAAATCTAAAGTGATCGGAAATTTGATGACGAAATTGTGCATCATCAATTCTAATTAACACATGATTTCTCTAGAAAAGAGAGAGTACACATCATAACTATGTTATATATCCAGTAAAAGACTCTATTTCCATATAATATAAACACACGAAATGAAATTGTTCAAGTCTTGAGATGTTTCCTAAGAAAGAGGCCTTATTTCTATCTTGGACAATATGCTACTTGAATATTCGACAATTTGGAGAAAATTAAATTTGCATCAAATGATCTTACCTTTTTAACCTATTTACTATGTACACATCGATTATTTCCATACCGTTGAGTTTACTATATGAATTTCATAATGACATTGGTGTTTATTTCAATTCTTCAAAATTAACAATTCTATTTAGAAAAACAGATTATGTTATGTCAGTTTATTTTGGTTGTGGAACTAAATCAGCTTAAAACCAAAATAATTCAATTTCGTATGAGGCTAAATTGGATTTCCATTAATTCCCAGAATGTTACATATAGATTTATCTTTGTAAATTCATATTCTAATCCTAAAACTATCAAATTGAAATAGAATTCTTGGATGTCATTTGCTGTTCCATACAAAGCAGGTCCAGTATTTGACTTTCCTGGAGTTTTCAAGATGAAATCATATAAAAAGAATACATATATTGCTATGATATCATCAGATACTGTTTATATTGTAGATTGTTCAGATCGAAATTTGAAAAAGCATTTCACAGTAGTTAGAGATAAACAATCATTAGAACTTTATGGAAATAACGAATTTATTGAATGGATAGATCCAAAAACTTTAGCAGTCGGAAGTTCAACAAATATATTTTTCATTATCAAGAAAGAATCCGGTTTTCAATTTGATATGACAAATATCCCCATTAAAACAGCCATTTTAGATACTTTTGCTTGCTACGGATACCTTGGAATCGTTCATCCGAGTGGAAATGTAGAATTTTATGATAAAAATGCGGCTAAAATCAATGATTTCAAGATGCCACGTACAAATGGAAGACTTTCATGCATTAATTTCCAAAGACCATCAACTTTATCCGGAATTTTCAATGGAGCTCCATTTTTCATTTTCCTTGAGAAAAAGATCATTGAAGAAAACGACGAATACATTTACTACTATTTAAACGAAACAGATGCTCTTCTTTCTTCTTATAATCCTTATTATTCTTCTGTCGCTTATTCTACACCAGATAATACTGTATATTGTTGTGGAATCAACTCAAACTTCCAAAAGAGGTTTCTTGTCGCAGATAAAGGCTTTGATAACGTAATTCACTTAGAATGGATCAAATGTGGCAAAGTTCTTTTAGTTTTCTACGAGTCAGGAATAGTTATTTCATATTCCATCGATATCGGAAGATTCCATAAAATTGAAACCGAAATTATGAGAAATTCTGTTTCAATTTCAGTAGATTCACTAGATAACATCATTTTCTACTCAGATTACTCAAAGGTACAGACTGTTTACATAGCAGAACACCAAAATTCGATTCTTATGTCTTCATATGGATTTGCAGATTATTTCAACGAAGAAAAGCGGCTTACTTTAGAAAATCTTGAAGCCCCAGAATGGCTATACCCTCTCAAGTTAGTAATCAAGAAAGATATATTAAATACATACTTAATTGCGAATGAAAACGGAATTGCCATTGTAGAAAACGACAAAGTAGTTGCCTCTAAGCAGCTAACAGTTATAAATGCCGCATTCGTATTAGATTTCGTATTTGTTTTCTCATCCAACAACGAAGTTCGAATTATAGATCTGAAATGTAAGGATAGATCGATGTTACACCTTGACTATAAGCCAAAATGTCTTTCTGTATGTGAGGACAAACTATGCGCAAGCTGCGAGAGCCAATTTACTGTATTTTCCATCGGAAAAAAGGATAATAGTTTCGAATTCTATAAACAGAAGACAGTTAAGTGCAAAGACTTGTTGAAAGGTGTATACATATGCAAAGATACGATAGTTGTTCATTCAGCTGATGATGTTTGCTATGAATATCCTTCGAATTTGATCTTGTGTACCAACATACGAAGCTGTTTCCAGTCCCAGAACCCGTCTGGTGTATTCATGAACAATACCACTCAGATTGTTCTCGCCTACAAGCACACAATCCTCAGATTTGGAGCACATTCCTGTTTCAGTGACATTGGAACACTTTACACCCCTAACGTCAAAAAATTCGGAGAAATCAGTTATGGAAAATTAAACTATCTTCCATTCTGTTTGTCGTATTTCTCAGCAAATATCCCTGTTCTGAAGGAATTAAAGGATCTTGTTGAGAAATATCTCCAATACGAATCAATTATTGAAGTCTTCGCTACTGCAACACTGGTATCTATCGACAAGAATAGATTGGATCAGTACGTGAAGGCTGTAAACAATTATCCAAACGAATTCCTCGCCAGAATGTATATTCGAGCATTTGAATTAATCGAACCAGAAGGAAGACCAAAGCTTCATGCTTGTAACTACATTCCATGGTTAATTTTCTCTCAATACGCAACAGATGAGGAATTAAACAAGATTTTGGATGGAGCTCCAGAAGATCTTATCGAGATTGTTAAAGGAAAATAAAATATTATTCATTTTTTGTGTAATTCTTTCTCTTTTCTAAGTTTAAACCTGAAATTCAAAATCATTATTAAATCAACAAAACTTCTTTACTTTCTCATATTTCATGTAACATCACACAGAACTTCAATTTGTTTATTCAAATATAGTCTATTACTAAAACAATCCAATATTTCAATAACTTGCAAAAAAGTAAATGTATTGTTTATTTCATTAATAACAACACATCTAATGTTGTTACTACTGAAAAATCAAGTGCAGAGATTTGAATTCTATATATACAAATTATTATAACCTATTGATGTTTTCATGATGAATAAATTTGGAGTTCTTTACAAGAAAAGTCTTTTAACGCAGCTAGAAATCTTCATGCTGTTAAATTGAACTTCTTTAAGGAATAACAACGCCCAATCTAGGTTAAATAACTCTAATGATGTAAGACTAATATTTGTTCAGGAGATAGTAAGTAAGTATTTTCTTAAAATACAATAAATAAATATACTTTTTTTATTGAAAAAAAAATTCAAAATTAAGAGAGAATACTAACAATAAGTTTCGCAATTAATTTAGCGATTTCGCCATTGATACATAATGTTTCAACCATGCAAGAACCATTTGGTTGTAGCGTAATTCTAACAATAATCTTATCCTGTGACACAGCCATTGCCGTGAAGAAAGTGCACTCTCCTTGTTTTCCTAAGAAACACAAATTCTTTCCGTTTAAAAATTCCCTTGCGTCGTTTGCACTGTTTAAAACAGAACTTGGCACAGTTATGCAAGGCTTTGGTCTTGGGTCCAATGTCTCTATCTGTTCTGCGAATACTGCTTTTGTCATTCTTCCCATGGATTCAGGCATCAACACAGCAGAAAGAGTCAAAGGAATTCCGAAAAATATGTTGCTTGGTCTGTTTGCAACAATTGCAACATTTATGTCGTCTTCGCATTCTGCGTTTGGTGGCGGAGTTGTTTGTGTCAAATACACCTTCAAATCTTGGGAACTCTGTGACTCAACAGTAGGAAATGTCTGTCTGTCCTTAACAGTAAGTCCAAAGATGTTTCCTTTGATGACAATTCTGCTGATTTCGAATTTGACACTTGATTGATTTGAAATTCTGAGATTTATCCATCTCGTCATTCCATCCTCGCTATTCTCGAAGTTTCCTGATATTTCTGTCCAAAAGTTCTCTTGAACAGACTCAGCGAGAATAGGATAGACAACTGTCTGTGTCGAAGTATTCTTTCCGAAATCAATTTCGTCACTTTTTGTGTTTTGTTGATTTTTCTCTTCATCGCAAATAATTGGAGGAGGGACGAACTCTGCCGGGAACTTGAGATACACAGAAGCGCATGTTCCCACTAAAGGCAACAGTGTTTCAGCTAGGCTTGCAGGCAATCCAGGTCTAACAACGGAAAGAGATTGATCTTCTTGAGAAGCGATTATATCCAAAGCTCTTTCACCCAAATCATTTATGATGTTCAAGTAAAAGAAAGCTCTGTCTCTTATATCAGGGTTATCAGAGTTATTTATAGAGATGGAAAGAATCTGTTCGAGCATGGATTTCGTGTCAGCCATTGACGGATTCGTCAGAAAGATCTTAACAACAGCAGCCATGATTGCTAATTGTACATCAGGAGATTCGTTCTGATAATTGTGGACAAATATCGTATCAATGAGTTCATGTGATCTCTGGACAACTGCAGCGTTAGAGATCTTTGTACTGTCTTCGCCAATGATCCACGCAAGTGTTGCTTTCGCTCTGTCGTCGCTAAAAGTGCTTGGCATGCATTGGCAAATCGCTGGAATGATTTTTTGGTACTTGTCGTGGTACTTGCGGATAATGTTAGCGCTGATCGTAATGCACTCTTGGATGGCATAGGGAATGTTCGACTGAAGCAAATTCTCTATAATTTCAACACATTGGTCGGAAACCGTTGGTGACAAAACCGCAATTTTTCCGATATTTTGGATTGCTTTTCTGGAGAGTTTCTCTTCATCGGAACGCGCGTATTGTGCAAGCTCTGTGACAATTGTGAGAGCATTGGAGGATGTCATGAGGCTGAGAAGAATATCAAGTTTGATTAACTTGATATAAATCGGATCTTCTTCTTTTATCATGAAATTCTGGAGAAATGAGTCGTCAGCCATGAAAGTGGTCGGAAAGTTCTGTAAAATGGTGTAAATGGTGGTGTAGGCGACGTATTGGATTTCTTGTGGATTATTTAAAAGAGCTGTGATCTTTTTGAGGGAGGATTTCATGGATTCGCGTAGATACGACTCCGAAATGTATGTTGACATGTTGAAAATAATGCGAATTGCAGCCATTGTAACTGCATAAACTGATGAAATAAGATATGGTGGTAATGCTTGGATAATTTGTGTGGCTTCGGCTTCACTTGCTGGAGTATATGACGAAACGAAATTAAAAATGTTGATTTTTGCCCATTCATTTGCTAATTGAGGAATCATCTGAAGTAACTTCATAACATCTGAATATTCTGGACTTATGAGTGGTGTAGTCCGTAATGAATTAATTTCTGTAATTGTGGCTGCAGCATTTGAGGCTACTAATGGTGAATTATCACGAAGTAAAGTATATAACACAGGAACAAGATTGAATTTCTGAATTGAGTTAGGAGATGCATGAAATGATTTCAAAATTGATAATGCTGCAGCTTTTCTTACGAACGGATCTTGATGTGATGCGCCTTTAATAATAATTTGAATCATTTGATCGATATTGAAATCAGTAATTGATAATCCGGCTTGTTTAACAGCCAAAGCGGAAATTAGAGGATTTTGATTGGTGAAACCCATTTCTATCATAGAAGAAACGCTAGAAGCGATTTGAGAATCATCAGATGTGTATTTTGACATGATGTAATTGCGTTTTCTGATTGCATTTACATTTGTTTTGGATAAAACTTTTGAAACGACTGGAATTGCCGTTGAACAATTCTCTCCTTGTGCACAAAGTGTGACAACTTTGTTAAGACCTTCTAGATTTGACTTTGGATCTTTAGCCCTTAGCTTCTCTATCGCATCTACAATTGGTTTCGACATACTCATCTTTTTTTATTTTTCCTTATTGGAAAAGCAGAGAAAAAAAAAATTCAAAATTTCAACATTAATTATCTTATATATTAATATTAAAATCTAATATTTGAATTGGAGGTCAGCGTAAACTTCAGAAAACCATTTTTTGCATACTTTTATCTTTTTCCTTCATTTTCATGACTAATGTAATGTATATCGAGTTAATGAATTCGTATAAAGATTTCAATGATGCATGTGTTGCATTGTATAAGCTGAATACATTCAACGAAAATGATATTTACAAAATTTATCTTAATATCAAAAAAACAATGATTGAAACCAAAATATTATCTCCATATAAAATCCTAATTATGGTTCATTTAGCTCTTACTCATAATATCAAATACTTCAATTCATACAAAGAGATCTTCAAAAAAATTTATGAAGAATATCATCCGAATCTCATTTTTAAAGAAATTTAAAAAATTCCATGTGTTTTGTGGTATGATTTTTCAGATGAGAATGGTATTTTATTATTGGAGAAATACAGTCAAAAAATCAAAGAAAACATGTCTAATGATTATTCCCTGGCTTTTATTGAAGAAAATACAATATATCATGCAATTATTGATGATGACATAACATTGTTTGTAATTTTCACAGGAAAAGAAGAATTTGATAAGAATCAAACCCTAGATAATGATTTATACCCATTTTCAACTAATTCTTTACTTGAACTATGTTGTTATCATGGAGCAGTAAATTGTTTTAAGTTTTTAATGACAGAATTTAGAGAAGAGATTACACAGAAGTGTCTTTACTATTCCTTTTTGGGTAGAAATTCAGATATTATTCATGAATGTTTGAAAGTCAAGAAACCTGATGAAATATGCATGGAATATGCAATTATCTCACATAATATTGATTTTGTAAGTTTTTTGATGAATGAATACCATATTGAAATTGATTTCACGAAATGTGTGGAATATCATAATTTTCAAGCATTTTTAGTTTATTTGAACCAAATCAATGATATTGACCAATGCTTTGTTAAATCTGCATGTTTCAACATTCCTCGTCTTTGTGAATATTTCCTTCAAAACAGTGCTAATGTTAATGCAAAAGATGCAAATAATTTTACAGCTCTTCATCATGCAGCAACATTTGACAACAAAGAAATTGCAGAATTTCTCATTTTGCATGGTGTTGATATCAATGCAAAAACCAATAGAACATTTACAGCTCTTCATTTGGCAGCACAATATAATAACATTGATGTAGCAAAAATTCTTATAATGCATGATGCCGATGTTAATGCAACAGACACAAATGATTGGACAGCTCTTTATCATGCAATAAGAAGGAATAACATAGAAACTGCCGAAGTTCTCCTTTCACAATGTAAAGATTTTAATGCAAAAGCCAATTATGGACGTACGCTTCTTCATTTTGCTGCAATAAATAATAATATAAAAATAATAGATTTTCTCATTTCTCATGGTGCGGATATTAATGCAAACAGCGGTGATGGTCATACAGCTCTTCATATTGCAACATTAAATAATTACATAGAAACTGCAGAATTTCTTGTTTCTCATGGGGCAGAAGTTAATTCAAAAGACAAAGATGATTGGTCTCCTCTTCATTATGCAGCAAGATATGATAACAAGGAAATTGCAAAAATTCTCCTTTCCCATGGTGCAAACATTAATGCAAAAGATATAGATGGATGGACAGCTCTTCACTATGCAATAGAAAATAATTGCAAAGAAACAATAGAGATCCTTCTTAGGAATGGTGCAGATTTTAATATCAAAAACAATGATGGGTATACAGCTCTTAATATTGCATCAGAAAATAATCAAACAGAAATAATAGAATCTCTTATTTCGTATAGTGTAAATATAAAGGATGGAGGTAAATTGATACATGACAAATAGTTATAATGTTTTGTTACCTTTAACTCACCAGAAAGAAATACAACTAGTTCTATAAATCATTCTTTATAATATCATTCAAAGTTATAATTTTCAACAAAGATAGACAGGAATCAAAATTGATGTTTGCTAAGGCTGCTGCTCTCAATGGAGAGCCTATACTAATGAAAGATTTCCCCAGATTATGCCAACACTAAAATTTCTTGGAATATATGAAATTATATGAAATTTAAGTATATTTTTCAGTTTAATTATGATTACTATTATATCTATTCATTGGATATATGGAAATATATAACATTCATTAATAACTAGATTTAATTTCTTGCAAAGTTTGAAATTCTTTTGGACAATCATTATCATTATCAAAGAATATTGTAGTTGAATGCACTCTCAATTAATTTATCATCTAATATTTCAGACTCAGAATATCAAGTTTTGGTTTGTCAAATATTTGGATTATAGTTGGAATAACAATAGTGTTGATTATTCTAAAGATGGAATATATTCAACTGGATTCCATATAACCAAGTTTGCATACGGATCCAATTGGATTCTATTAAACCATCAAAATTCAACAAATGAGCAATTCTTTCTTTCGACCAATAATTGTAATTATACAAGCGAAAATTTATATTCTATAGTCAGCTCATATGATTATATTTCAACTCTTAAACATTTTAAATATATTACATTATTATTAGAATATAAGCAATTAAATTCCTATCAAATTTGGAAGCAAAACATATCTTTGCTTGAAATTGGTGAACATGAGTATATCAGAGTTCGTGGTGATGTTTGGGAGGATTTTGCAGGATTAATGTACTCCAAAGATAGTATTTGCCTTGACTTCAATGGTAATGCTATAGGATGGTGGTATAGTATTGGAGTATTCGATCATGGCTATAAGTCTCATTTTCCAGGTCCAATAATTAATGGAATTGCGTATAAAGTATTATATGCAGATCTATGGATAGAGCTTCACAATATTAAGCAATCCTGTTTACAACCACTAAAATCTTATCTTCCGAATATTGTTCCAATAATTTTTATTATTCTTGAGTAGAATCAGTTTATTCTTTGATAAAATGTCTTCATTTCATTTTCATTAAGTTTTATTAACTAAAATTATAAAAAATACCACATCAAAAAAAAAAAACATTCAAAGGGAGGGCAATAACTTTTTGGTTTCAATGATTATGTATGAAAAAAACTAGGTTATACTTTTCCTTTCAGGAAAAAATTTACTTCAAAATTCATTGAAGATATTAAATTTAGAAGTCAAAATCGAAGTCAATTGGTCCGATTTCGATTTGCTCTTCTTCTTCTTCTTGATGCTCTTCGATCTTCTTGTTGTTATTATTTGCATCAGTTGTCTTTGTGAGATTTGCAAGAGCCTCAGGATCAGCAAGAAGCTTCTGCAATGTTTCAATTTGTTTCATATCATGATTGATAGAAATGGCAATTGAAGCAATGTCAACAAATGCGGAGCGAATCATGTGTGGTGCAGAAGCTGCGCAAGGATAATGCATTCCCAAAGCAACGCATGTGACATTGGAAAGACCTTCTGCAAACTTCTGGGCAAGGAAATCATCACTAATTGAGAGGAAGCTTGGATCATACATTGAACCATTGTCATAAAGAGCTTCAATCTTGAGAGTGTAGTTGAATGGCATGATTCCAAGCATTCCAAGAATGTTTGCTTCAGAGGCCCCAACTTTTTGTCCTTCCCAAATGAGCTGCTTCTCACCTGTTATCTCGATTGTACCTTTGAAAACCTTGCATTGAATGTTGAGAGCATGGAGAACCTTGATATCGGTTGGGGAGATTGATGTGCGCTGTGGTTTGATAACGACATCACAAGGAGCAATTGATCCCGGCTTTGCAGCTGAACCAAGGCAATTTGCATCGATGACTTCTTTGATTGCCTTGAATGATCCATTTGTGAAGATAAGTCCAGCACCATTTGTAAGATGCTTTTCAAGTTTGGTGATGCTTGGAATTTCACTTTTGAGTTCATCAACAGCACGTCTCATCAATGAGTTCTTACCGAAAAGAACTTCGGCAAAGCTAGAAACACCAGCTCTGATCTTCATGAGTTGATTTGATGTAACATTTTGGGCTGTGACAACAGCAACTTTATGGTATTTGCGGAACAAACCATGAAGCTTCTTAATGTATTCGGCCTTCTTTTGATGTGCAGGCTTTTCGAATTGCATTTTTAATTATGATTTTGGATAAATTTTATTTCAAATTTTTTCTTGTCAAAAATTTCCGCCCGACTATATATTTTAAAATACAAAATCGCGACATGATGGGGTAAGAATTTTAAAGTTTTGTAAAAATTGGTTGATAGGATTTAATTCAAAAGTCTCATCACACTTTTCAATGCTCGATTTTTAAAAACTGTTTAAAAATGGAGCTTATATTGAAATAGTGTCGAGACTAAAAATTACCACAGACTATTTCAGAGGATTGAGTTGCCACTCAATCCTCTGAAAAGTCTGAGGTAATTTGCAAAATTTCTCAATTAATTCTATTGCAATAAGGTTATTTTTGAAAGACTTCAGAAATTATATACTAAATTTTCAGGTGAAATATTGATTGCAATAGAATCCCAATCATTCTTGCAAAATTTGAGCCAAGCTCAAATTTTGCAAGAATGATGATAAATTTATGACTATTCAAATTTGAATAATTTCAAAATTTCAATGCAGAATAAGACTCTATTCTTAAATACTCCGATTTTGAATTCAGATTCTTTTAAAATGTATGCATAAATGTAGAGAATCAAAATTTTTGGGATTTCAGTTAAATTTTAAATTTCTGATTATAATAAAAAAAAGGGAATACAGTGAAATAAAATGATGCTCTTGTATATGTTATTGAGATATTCAAGTTGATACTGATTAAATATTATTTCTAAAAAATCTTGTGATGAAACCATAATCCTATATAATTACACCTACTTATAGGGCACTTGTTCTTTAATTCCTCTTTCACAAATTTAATGGTAAATATATTTTTATCATATTTCAATAGGAAATCAAATAAAAGGCAAAACTATGATGTGGAAGCTGCAAAAATGGAAGAATGCTTAAAGGATAATTATCATATCTCACAAGCTATACAAAATATAATTCTTAATAAGGTGTTTTCTCTAGTATTTAATTCAATAAGGATAATATGAAGAAATATATGTTTTAAATTTTCTGATATGTAGATTGGGTATTCGGATATAAATCATGTCAAAGAGTTCAACATTATCATGCATATTTCAAACTTCCTATTTTATAAAGATTATGGATTTAATTAGACAACTCTGACTTCGAAAAAGATCATTTTAAAAATCTCGATATTCATACAGAAAATACAATACAGACAAAGGAAGATTCATCATATTCATGGAAATAGATGGATTTGATAAAAAGCAAACACTTGAAAGCGATTTATATCCATAATATGAAGAAGGATATTCATCACTTGAATTATATGTTGTTACCACGGAGCTGTTGATTGTTTCAAGTTATTAAGAACTAAATTTAAGCCAGAAATAACTCAAGCATGTCTAGAATTTTCATTTTTAGGAGGAAACCCAGAGATCATGAGTGAATGTTTGAAATATAAAGAACTTAATGATATATTCATGTATTATTCAATTATTTCACCCAACATTGATTTTATTACATTCCTGATGAGTCCTTTTTAGTTTGTTTCGATCAAACTAAAAAAATTTGGCAATTGCTTTATTTATTCATCATGGTTGAATATTCTATCCCTTTTCGAATCCTTCCTTTCACATGGTGTGAATATTAATGAAAAAAATAAAGATGGAAAAACAGCACTTCATATTGCAGCATGGAATGATTATAAAGAAACTGCTGAAGTTCTTGTTTTGCATGATGCGAATAATGTTCTTGCATAAGATAGTATTCTTTTTCTGATATTTTCGTAGATGAATTTTATTAGAAATAAAAAAATAGTTAAGCTTTTCCCATGATTCTATACGTAAAGCGATTTTTTCACATCTCTCAAATTTTTATTGCTTATTGGAGGGAGAAAAAATTTTTTGGCACTTTTCTGATTTATTTTTGAATTGCAGGAAAAAAATAAATTATCAAAGCAATGAGTGACCAAATATATTTAATTCCTGAGATTCATAAATCAAGTCCATTCTTTTGGGCCCAACATGCAGAACAAGTTTCTTTGATGCCAATTCCAATTTCAGGTGTAAAGCTTTATGCCGATACAAAAGAGTTAGATTCGTATGCTTCTTTGAGAACCATTATTGTTGTAGAGCAAGAAACTAAAACAAGTAAACTTTATCCCGTTCGATTTACAAAGAAAGTTCCAAACTTTGAAGCACACGGCTTTTCGATTAAGCAATGTCCTCACGGAAACATTGTTTATATGAAACTCGAAGATTTTTGGAAAATTAATAAAAATAGCTCTTTTGTCGCAATTTCAGATGGCGACTGGCTATGCAGTAAAAAACATTACAAAATAACTGCAGCACTTTACCATTTATCACTCTTACCATCATTAAATAAAGCCGTTTTCAGAACTCAAATTGATTCAAAAATCGAAGAAGATTTAAACTTAATGTATGATGTCAGTGGCGAAATACTTGAAATGCTAACGTTAATCTTCAAAAATGTTGTTTTTGGTTTAGAATTTTTCGGATTTTGCAATGATTGCAGCGAAGAACAAAAAAGACGACTATTACATATCAAAGATCGCTTACAAACTCGCAAAGTATGCGTAGCTTTTAGCCAAATTGATTTTGCAATATTAAATTACAATATGTTTTGTTACAAAACGGATTCATGCCGTATTACAAGTTATTCTTACTTACATTTAATGAAAACTCTCAATATTGTCGAAAGAATTATAATACAGCTTGGTTTTCCTGTTAGTAAAAATAAAAGATTCGAATCTTTAACTCACAACATCAAAAAGATACAAAAAGAGTTCCATATTCCTATAACAGGTATATGTGACCAGCAAACTCTTCAAAAACTATGGAGCAATACCATTGTCAAGAGTGTTCAAATGAAATCAATTTTCAAAGATCTCGGAACCACTTCAGAAGAACCTAAGAAGGAGCAGATACTGATCCAATGTTTACCTGATGATACGCCCGCTCAGAAAGTGCTTGCAGAAAACATTAACAGATTTATCGGAAAAATTCCAATTACTTCGAATGCTTCTGAAATTTTGAGAGAAAATATCAACTCTAATTTGTCCGAAATCGCTCAAAGATGCGGAACTCTTTCACAGAGAATCAATAATATTGTGAAGAGAACTGATAACGCGACAAATGTTGTTCACAGACTTGAATCGTCTAATTCGAGATGCGACGAGAGTTTGGAGAAAGCAGCAATCACATTAAACCAAGTTTTGGAAGATCACAGAAAAGTTCAGCAGCAGTTTGTTGAAATTAGAGAAAGTATCACTGCACAGAAGAAAAGAAACATGGTGCTCCAAATCTTTGGTGGTTTGATGCTTCTTTTTTATTTGTATAAATTCATTCGCTAATGTTAATAAAAAATTGTTTTGTTTTTATGTTTTTTAAGTTTAGCAATGTTTAGTTCTTATATTCATTTGAGAAGATATATCTATGAAATATTGTTTTGTTCTTATGCTTTTTTAAATGTAACAATATATCCTTAATAGAATTAAAGAACAGAAAGAGATTTGTTATGTAGTCATCCAAAGTTCTTACTATTTCATTGTAAGGAGTAAGAGAAAAAAAAAAAGTTCACCGTAATTCAAATTTTAAAAAGATTAAAAAGTGACAAATAAAAAAGAACTGATTTGAGAGTTTATCCAAATTGCTTATCAATGATAATTTTTCATTACAATTTTTTTTAATTTTTTTGGCAGAAAAATAATTACCGGTGATGAATACCATGAATATTTTGTTCAACCTCGAAATTCCCGATCACGGGAAGAAAGTAGTTCAGATACGCATCGAGAATGAAACTTATGAAATGAACAAACTTCCAAATACAGGAAGTAAAATCAAAACAGCGCATTTTCAAGCGTACGTAAAGCTAGAATGGCCAAAAACCTATCCACATACCTTAAATTACTCGTATTCATTCGATTCTTTTCGCCCAAGAACTTTAATTGTTCGTTTTCCTGCAAATACAGACCTAATTGTCAATGATACAGATGAAATCAAACAAGAATTGCAAAATTTCCATCAAGTTATATTCTACGTCAATATAAATATTGTCACAGATAGTACTGTTTTAATTTTATCTCCATTTCCTTCTTTCTTAGTAGATAATAGATTTGTTGATCATGTTCAGATGACTAAAGTCAAAACAGGATGCTATTACTGCAAAGTATTTCTTTCAGCTGATATGTTATTCCCATTACAATACAAATATCTTGTCGTAACTCCATCAAAAATTGAAGAAAAGGGAAGATCTCATGTCCTTTCCATCATATCTCCTATCGCCGGCAAGACAATATACGTCATTGACTATTTTAATCACTCAATTATACCTCTTCCTTATTTTCCTCGTCCATTATACCCTGCAAACGCTCGTCCGTTTGCAACTATCATGCAAATCGAATATATACCAGATCAGCCTGCTGCATCTTCACTGGTTCAGCTTTCAAACGCGAAACCAGAACCATTACTTCGAGATGTCGGATTTAGATTCACGAAAAACGTTGCAGGATTCTCTACATACAGTAAAATAGCTATTGGATCTCGTGCTGAGACAAATGGTCCTTCTGTTACATGGAATCCAAACGATGCCAACGAATTAGTTCAATTACCAATGAAATACGACATTGTTTCCATCAGAGCGATCAAAGGTGTTCCTAATAAACGCTCTTTCGGTATCTTTGTTCAACTTTCTACGCTTAGATCATCAATTAATTCCAAAGTTGGCGATTTCTCCAGCTTGTTTAAGATAATTGACTTCGCAAAGATGTGTGGAATTGGACATATCCATGTCGGCATCGATAGAATCAACGATAACAGGTTAATTGACCCTGTTTTGTCAAGTATTCCTGTAAATCTCTCAGAAGCTAAGGATTTATCAGAAATGAGAGCAATCAAACTCAAAGCCCTTCAAGACCAATTCGCAAAATGGGATTTGAAGAGTTCTCAAGACAAACAATTTAATGATTTCTCAAAAATCTATGGTTCATTCCTTTCTCCGTTCTGCAATGACAAATTTTCATTATTTACCCAATATATACTCCATAAAGAGCTCCAACAGATCTCTTCTCATGCTTTTGACCTCGGAATTAATTTAATTATCGACGCAATCGCAGATGGAGTCAACGGAAGCCTTGAGAAACAGATACAGTTGTTTACCCCGTATGCCCAGTACATTAAAATCGTCAATGCATCGCTTTGTTTCTCGCCTGTTACAATTCATGACATGTACATTCATTTTGGAGAGATGTCAGCCACGGCAAAGAAGTTCTTGACCATTAGAGGATCGAATGTCCAGCTAAATGAGAATTTATCCAACAAAATTATTAGCGAATGCGGATTACCGGCGGAACAGATCGGTTCATTCGTTAAAATGTTCGATGAGTTCAAGAAATTATTTACACAACCTAAAAGAGCATCAATTACTGAATCTTTCTTCCAATTCTTCAAACAGATTTCGAATGTCGCTCCTTGCACATTCATTATGGACCAAGCCGGCCTTGAACTTGTTCCTAATGATAAACTTAAGGAGATCGGAATCATTCCTTGTGACGAAAACAACTTTTTCGAGCCTTCTTTCCTTTCTCCTGAATTTTTGACTGAATTCACTGAATCAGAGCTCCAAAACGCGAACAGTCAGATTGTCCAGAGAATGCACACAGCGCCTATCGCATGTACTGTTTATTTGCTGGATTTGCTCAGAGTTGTTTGCGGAAATAAGACTCCAACTGTTTCTCCAATCCAATCTGTTGTTGGACATCAGAGATTTGTTTTGTCTAAATCTTGCGATGAATTAATTAGCGATGCAGAGATAACTGCTCAAATCAAGAGCTTATTAGTAGATACTCATATTATTTGGATTTAAATTATTAGTTGTATTATATATAAAAAATTATCTTTCGTATATTTTGATAATCTAAAATTGATTTTTTCTTCATTGTGTTCTTACAAATTAATTTGCTTCTATCAAAATAATCTTAAGGGTGCACCAACGTTATTATTGCATGACCTTTAACTGCATTGTTTAATGTTAATTGCCAATGACGCCTTAGTAAGATTGGTGTCAGGTCTTTATTATTCAAAGAAATTTCTTACTCCCATGACCAAAGTTTAATGAGACAAAATTAACATTTCCAGTATCTGTGACATCATAACAAGTTCAAATATTTTATACTTGAAACAAGTATTTTTAATTATTAATCCACCACCACATTGCGAAAATTTCATTTCATATGGAGCGAATTTCAATGAAAAAGTTATAAATGGATATACAGCTCTTCATATTGCAGCAAAAAAATAGTAGCAAACAAATGAAAAAGATGAAGATAGGAATAATTATAGAAAATAATTTTATAAAGAGAATAGTTTATAGCAAAATTTGCTACAATAGAGACTTTGAGATTATTCATAATTTTATTCAAATAATATTATCATCAGATGAAGCTGATATTAGTGAGGTTGTAATTAACAGTATAGTCCTGATGCACTAAGATTTCTTGCATTGTATAGTCGAAATGAAATTTTGTATAAACGAATGTAGAAAAAAAAATATATTCCATAAAAAAACAATTCTTTATCTAGCTCTATTGTAGTTGGTTTGTAGCAGATTCCATACTTGGCATTTCGGAGAAAGTTGTTTTCTTGATTACTTCTCTTCCAACTATATCATCAACCAATTTACTAATTTTATTAAACAGCTCTTTACCAAATTCCGTATCTTGTGTTAAGAGTTGCAAAAGAGCGTCTTTGTATGGCTTGGTTCCTCCGCCAAGTTCAACAAGCTCTGCAATTTCAAATTCGTTTGTTGAGGAAGCCATAATCTTTCTTTTAATTGGAGTAGAATTTAGAATATCTTGAATTTTAATTTTTGTTTTTTTATAATCGTTATTTATACGAAGTTCACTAGCAGTGTTGAATCTGATATTGTCCCATTCGTTGTCTTCTCCATCCTGAAGTCTTTGAATTACTTGCTCAGCGACAGTTTCAGGATCAGGAGGATTTTCCATTTTTGTCACATTTTAGGGAGAGAAAAAAAACAATAAAGTAAAGTTTCGTGATATGGTGAAAAATGTTGTTGTTTAAAATTTGTTGTATTGAAATTTTTTCACTTTTTTTGATTCTCATGTTTTTGTTTTTTTTTCTCCGAATTCCATTAACAGAAAAGGAATATTTGGACACAAATGAGCGTCAAAAAGTGTCGAAACATGAAAAGGCTTGGTATTACGTTCAATATCCCGAGCAATACGATTTTCAGCAATTAGTTGATTTAATTCGAATACCAGAAGAAACAATTCTTTCAATTACGCGAAATCTGATTTCAGCAGAACTCACTCATAGCATTGCAGAGAAGTTATCACACGTAAAAGGATTTTGGGTCCGAAAAATTCCATCAAAACATAAAATAGAGAAATCAACAACTGGATATTATTCAGCATTATGTCCTAAATCGTGTAAATTACCAGGAAAAATAATAACTCGTACAGATTTTTATGCAATAATTAAATATAACGGAGATCCAGAGAAATTAGCAAAAACAACATGTGCTCGTTTATTCATGCCATATGCTCATAGACTAGATCTCAGATCTCGATTTAATTCAGGAATTACACATAATTTTGATTTTCCATACGGAGATTCTTACAATGAGACTATGAGAACAATACCATCACTGAAGAAACACAATATCACAGGCTTCGAACAGTGTTTATCAATCATCGATACAGGAATTGACGAAAAAAATCAATGGTTGATCAGACCCAACCTCACAGTCGACTCAAAAATATACACATCATTAAATCTAGCCGATGATGAAGATGAATATGAAGGTCACGGTACATTTGTTGCAGGAATTGCAGCAGGAAAAGCTTATTGCTCTGAGTTTGCAAAATCATTCAATGGTGTTGCAGAAGATGCAAGAATATACATGGTTGATATTAAAAATAAGAAAACTGGTAAACTTTATTGGCCAGAAAACTTTTTAGATTTATTCCAACCATCTGACAACTTAAAATGCCCGACAATACTCAACGCATGGACTATTGATGATCCGCTACTTACAACTGCAATGGATATCATTGCTTACAAGAATCCAAAATTATTAATGATATTCCCATCGTTAGTTGACAAAGATGGTGGAATAGTCACCCCAGGAGCTGCAAAGAACATTCTCTCAGTAGGAGCAATCAATTCCCTTCCTATTGCCAAAGGATTTAAACAAACTGAGACAACGGTTACAGTTTTCAACGAAAGAACTAACGAATATTATTTCGGATATACAGATCCATGCGGGATACCGTTCCTTAATACCACATATACAAAGGATCCTTTAGAATTGCATTCATCAGTTGGAATCAAAGCTTCTGATGTTCATATCGTAGATGAAAATTCAAAGTCGACAACAACTGCCCCAGCAGCGTTGGTTTTTACGACAAATGAAATTAAAAATAAATTTAATTTCCCTGTTATTCGACTTTCACCATCTAAACAAGGCCAATTCAAGCCAGGAGATAATATAACAATCATTCCTTCTCCTTTGGATGAAGGAACAGCTAAATCTTTTGGAAATCCAGACGGAAAATCTGGAATTAAGAACAAACACTTCCCATTCTTTGCGAAACCAGAACTTTCAGCACCAGGAGGTCCAATGCTTGGTCCGAAAGCAGGAAGCTCCGCTTGTGGCCTCGACGGATTAACAATTAAAGAAGGACCAAGCGTTGCTTCAGCTATTATTGCTGGTTCAGCAGTCCTTGCGAGACAGATTTTGCAGATGGAGACCATGAAAGGCATTAAACATATATATTCTTCAGCAGTTCGTGCTGCTATGATTGCATCTGCAGATTATCTCAATTTCAAGAACAAAACTGGACCAATTGAAGGTCAAGGCTTTGGTGTACCCCAACTAGAGCGTATCATTCCAACGAAATTAGGTAACGAAACCAAGAAAGTATTAAATGTGTCGAATAATCTCCATATTCTTCACAATAATACCATAAAATCGGACTCAAGAAATGACTATTGCCTCACCTCTGAACAAGATGGCGTTCTTTCGATTGCTTTAGTTTGGCACGATTATCCAAGAGACCCACGCTCCAACGAATTCCTTTCCCAACCTCTCTATTTAAATGTAGCAACTGATGAGATACCATACGCCTTCCATTTGGCCAACAACGACGCAGAGGACCAGCCAACATTAGATCATTTCAACACAGCTCAACGAATCCTTCTCAAAGTCCGCAAAAATATGAAGCTCCATATTAAAGTTGTATCAGGTCATTTTTCAATCGCCGCTTTGGCCCATTATTCCATTGCAATTGTTGGAAATATTTCATGGCCCGACAACTATAAGTGCGATGGCTATTTCGTAGTTGGTAATTGTCCAAGAGAATGTCGTGGAAGAGGCTCAACATGCCGCCAGAACAAGCTTTGCCAGTGTTCTAACGATAGAGGAGGAGATTTCTGTGATTTCAGAGCAGATAAGCTTGAAAAAGACAAATTAATAACAGTTTCACTGACAAAACGCTTTGAATGGAGCATCTTCAAGTACTTGCCCGATAAATGGTCACAAGGAATGTCAATGAAAATGATTATTAACGGAATTAACTACGATAAAGCAGGATTTATGGTAAATTCTGCAAAAGCTCCGACATTTGAAAACAACGCATGCTCGGAAATATATTGTCCATGGGCAACTTTCGATGGACAGAACTATACGTTTAAATATGAAGATTGGGACTTCATTTCTAAGCATACAAACATGATGTTTGGGTTCTACCAGAAGACAAAAGAGCCTCAGACATTCACTATTGAAATGAAGCTTATTAAACCTGCAAAGAAGCAAGATCCTTCACCAACCCCTAATGTTTGATTATATTAAGAATAAAATATTTGATATTTAGTGTTATTTTTTACATCTCAATCACTATTATCATTTTTATTGAACTTTATTTGATATCTTCAATATTTTATCAATAAAGTGTTGATATACAAAGAATAATAAATGAGACATATTCTTATCGACTCTAAAGATTAAATTAGAGAATTTCATATATTCAATGAATGAGATATCTTATCATTTTGAAGAATTAAATTATTTTTATTCTTCTAATGAATTAGACTATAAGGATATTATGTTCTTGTCATCTATATAATACTGCATCAAATTATGGTTTACTTGATGCATACTCAACGAAATTTTATTATAATGTGCATAGTTTCAGCTGTGAAATCATTATCATTAAACTTTTAATGCTGAGAATAGCATAAATGCGTTATGAAATCTTTATTCTTGAGATTATTTCATATAAATGTCGATTATTTTTCTCTCAATTTTAATTTTGATGACAGAAGGTTGGTATACAAGAATCATATCAAAGCAATTTTCAAAAATCAGATGGATAACTATCGGTGACTTCTGGATCAATATATATAATTGCAAAAAGGATAAAACACCAGTTATGGCTCTTCACACAAGTAATTTAGAAATAACCGATTCAACTGACGAGATTTCAAATGCTCATTCATTCAAGGTACTCATTAACCATAATTGCGCCCAAAAATCTGTCATTATTTCAACACCAAATCAATTTGATATTGTTGAAATTAAAGAACGTCTTCAAAAAGAAATCGCAGCATGGAATGAATATGCACTCTCAACTGTCCCTAAGTTACCGCAACAATTTGTCATGGATAATACCGGAAAATTCGTTTACCGAAATATTGATAGACTTCATGTTAGCATTATAGAAGACGGAATCGAGATAAAGCAAGAAAGTAAGGATGATATCAAAATTTTAGCAAATTCTACATTTGATGTTTATCCAACACTCGAAACAGAATCAGATCCTCGTTGGGTTGCTATTACTTCAAATACAGGAAGCTACCATTTACATTGCCAAACTTTTGAAGATGCAAAACAATTTGTTAATCTCAGTCTTCACTTTTATCGTCGGCTTTCAGACAAGAAAACCTAATGTGCAAATATCAATTTTTGTAATTAATTTGTTTCGAAATGTAAATGTTTAAAATTTTAATTTTTTAATTTCTGATTTGAGAATGCACACCTTCACATGGTATTTCCCATTTACCATTCTCCAAACTTGTTATATTGGATTTCTTAAAAAAAGGAAAACTTCATATAGACAACAAAGATATTGATTAAAATTGTCCCCATTATGCTTGACATCAGAAGCACAGTAATAGTGTGTCTGGACTTATAGAATGACTTCCCTGTGATTTCGAGATATATATATATATTTTGATATTCTTAATTATTCATATTTTACTTGATAATGTATGTAATTTATTGTATTATGAAAATTAAACGAAAAATATCGCTCAATAAGAGCGAAATTCGATGTTAAGAAAGTAAATTGTTTATTTATTATGCTTCGTTCAGGTATTTTTTGAAAAAATACTTTCTTTGTTTTTCTTTCTACTTCTGCATATAAAATATGCACAAATAAGTATTTATAATTAAAATAATTTTTAGAATTTTGGTAAATAAATCGTTTGATCTTAGATTAAATAAATCGTTTCTCCTTACAATTAGACTGTGATAACAATAACTGTGTAGTACAGTTAGATTTTCGTTAAATTGCGCAAATATTTGATAAGTTTCAAAATCTATTTATAGTATGTTCTAATATATTAGAATTCAATAATATGCGATAACATTAACTGTAAACAATCGGCATCAAGTGCTTGATGAAAATCGATATCAATATTTAAAATTTTCGAGGCTTTTTTGACTGAAAGCAATTGCCTTGGACACCTGAAATGAAATCCTTCTTGGTAAATTTTTCCAAATTTTTTCTATTTTCGAAAATGCCTTAGCAATTTTCTAGGTAAATGAGAACGTTTTTTACAATTCTCGTTTTTTTTTTGGAAAAATGAGGTTAAAAATCTTAAAGATTTAAAAATTATATAGAAACAAAGCATTTAAATTGCATTATAAATCGATAGATGATTTTTATTTTTGTTATTCTATAATTTTTATCCTAAAATAAGTCAATAAAAAAGCAAAATCAAATAATTAATTTTCAAAGATATATAAAATAAGCTTATTATCCAATGTTTTAAATCAAAATAGTTTGATAACACATGTAATATATAATTCTTCATAGATCATCAGGTAATGTTAGTAGGATAAAAAAATATCTAGTTCAAAATAAGGGTTTGTTTCACATGTTTAAAAACCATACTAAAATATCTAGAAAATAATCAATAATATCATGATTTTATTCAAAGGTAAGCTTAAGATATATGTTGTTTAGTAATTCGATAATAAATCTGAATTACATGCGTATCAAACTCACATCCTTAGACTTCTCATCATAATTTTTACCAGTTAGTGATTATTACCCCAGAACAAGCAAGATTGATTTGTATTACATAATCAAACGGAAGTTTCACTAAGTAGTTGAGATTTTATCAAATGATAGTATTCATAATACTTTACTAGAATGATTAGTCAATCTGTTGTTTCAATATTGTTTTAAATTTATCATGCCAAAACGGTATTTCAATTATCATTGGTAATAAACAGGGCTTCTTCTGTTGTAATATTTCGAAAATATAAAGTCTCAACTTTAATGCTAGATATGAAGAGTTTGTCATCGAATAATTTGATTTTCGCGATATTAATATTCTTGGACACTTAGTATATCATTGTCCCATAGTAATAACATGGATCAATTCTGTTTCAATGATCAGATTAAGCTGATGATGCTCAAAGAACATAATATTGCAATATGCATTAATCTTCGCATAAACATTTAATTGTAAAGGAAATCAATAAAACCATGATTGTTTGAAAACATCAAAATTCTTTGATTGCTATATAATTTAATTACTGATTCTATAGCTGTTAATTACGAAATGTTGAATTAAGCGGCTATTGAGTATTTATCAGGTTGATGCATAGTTTGTGGAAAAAATACACATGGAGGCATGAATTACATGGTAATACTACTTTTATGCAAAGTAACGGTAGTTATGGTTCATACAACTCATTGTGAAATTTTTTGATCAATTTGATCAATAAAAGAATAATTTTTTGTTTATATTTGAAAAACTTATGTTCCCATATATGCCTTGTATGCAGTATCAACGATTAATGAAGCATAAAATCTGGTCATACGTGGTTTGTCCCTGAAATTGAATTGCATAAATATTTCATTGAAAAATTTGAATGAAAATTTCCTGTTGTGTTTATGGATTTTGCGTAAATTGAGTTTAATACTTAATTATAGTTCATTTTATTCCGTTAGAATTAATAAACGAATAATTTGTTCTCAAATCTAGAATTGAAAACTCTTATGGTAGTAAATTTATTTTGTACATATTGCGTAAAAGATACTCTGAATTAATAAGTAACAAAATTAGTCCTGAAATCGTTTCTTTTCTGAATTTGAACAAACCCATCACTTTGTAACAAACTTTTTGAATACCGAACCCGCCAATTTAAATTTTTGATTTCTATTTTAAATTGGTCTCTATCATATGATGATGTATCGCAACACACTGGTGATCGTCCTCAAAAGAACCGAGGAAAGATAATCAAAAAATTTTAATAGGCGAGTGGTAAAAATAGTATAAGACTGACAAATAAACCCGATTTTTATGTTTTGAATAAAATTTAAGAAAATTTCGAGATGAAAATTTCAACAAAAGATCATAATTTTAAAATCTGATACTTGCTGTTGACTAGAGAACTCAAAACGGCTGTATTTGTTAATTGAAGCCAATTATTTGATCGATGTTGACAATTTTGGTCTCAATTGTTGCGACCTGCCAATAATTTTGGATTTTCAAAAAATGTATAATATATTGTTCTAAGTAAAAACGCCAAATTTTATGTTTAAAACGTTCTTTCAAATTTGAGACCGGCCGCTAAGTTTGCTCATTCAAAAAATTAAATACTATCAAATTGACTAGATATTATTGTCCAATTTTATTGAATATATCTAATAATACTATTATTTAAGCCCAAAATTATTTTGAATTAATTCAAAAGCATTAATCGTTATGGTAAAATCTTTATCTAAAATATAGCGCCATACTATTATCTCTATCTGTAAAATACATTTCTCCAGGTAAGTTCACAAAATTTGAGAGAGTTTGAGAATTTGGTCTTTGTTTCAAAAAATCATAAATCATGCTTGCAGAACGTCTTGCTTTAAGTTATAGTCATGCTATGAACCTACTCATGAACCAAAATTGCATTACAGCTTATGATCCTCTTGTTGGTGCTCTCTCGCCCAACGACCAAGCTGAGTACATTCGCCTGGCACATTTTATTGCCACATCTGAGGAAAGAAACAAGAGAAATCTTGGAATGCAAACATTCATTAAGCATCTCTCTATGATACACGACTTCATTCATAAAGGAGACTCTAAAGATAACCTCAGGGGATTAGTATGTGGTATTCAGTTTGGCCATGAGTCTTTGTTAATCAATACAAGCCGCCTGAAAAAGCTTATGTGCCGTTCAAAGTCTTGCATGAATGGCTGCTTCCAAAAGATGGGGTATATGCCTTCACGACCATCTCAAGAACTTGCTTCTTTACTATGCAAAATTACTCCAGGCATCAGATCAGAAGCAATGAACCCAAGAAATTGGTGTGTCAGACGTGCTTCCGTTAAATCTCAGCTTTTTATTCAAAATGTCCAAATGGAAATTGCTGCCAAAGTAACCACACCAATGACAGATGCTCCATCAGCTTCAGAAGATGAAACGTCAACTATTCCTTCAATTCTTAACATTTCCCTCTTACTTAATCATTAAAGCAAAGTACTATCTATTCATTGGATGGGATAGTGCCTTACTTTATATGATGCGGATTATTATAAGGAATTGTTTGTTTTGACTTTTCATGTTTATATATAAAGATAGATCTTGAAATTAAGGAATTTTTCAAATTTCTTGCTTTATGCATATATATTAATATGTAATCTCAACTCAGTAATGCAAAATCTTACTGAGAACGATATCTCGATATAGTCTTTATATCCGTAGTAACTTTTCGGCAACATATGATCATCATACAGCTGAAAATAAAGAGAGTTGTTTTCAATTGTCATAAACAATTAATTGAAAAATAAAAGTAGTATATAATGCGGGTTTTGTGACTTTTTTTGTAAACGTAAGAATTCATACAATATCGAGTGATTTTGTATCATTTTTTTTAACATATGAAGTAAAAAATGTATGATTCTTACGGTTTTTATTCTTACGTTTTTGAATAAATCAAGATTTAAAAAATTTTCAAAATTGTAAGACATTTACACTAAACCCATACATAATGAAATAAAAAAAATAAAAAAAATAAAAAAATAAACTTTAAAAATTCATGTCTTACATTTTTGAATAATTTATTTTTTAATTTGTATGAAAATGAGTGGATCAAGATTCGTAACCGTCAATCAATTAATGGATGCTCTTTCACCAATTCTTGAAAATGTTAAACAAGTAGATGTTTATTTCGATGATTATGTAGAAAGTTTTATATTATAAAGGTAAGTTTAATATTAAACTTATTGCTTTTGCATTTGATAATAAATTAATTGAAAATGCAAAAATTTGGGAATTAATTCCAGATATTGAATATATAACAAATATTAATGATAAATGGTTTAAACAAATTCCAACCACAAAAGTTCTTTGTAAATTAATGATCAAAACTGAGGAAAAAGAATTTAACGGGTTTAAATATCATCCAAATAAAGTTTCAGAACTAGAAAATGAAAAACTTCAGAAAAAATTAAACGATAGACTTTCAAATGATCGTATTGAAAAAATAAACTAGCAGAAGTTGCATTTAATAATGAAATATTTGATGAATATAACCTTGAACTCAGTGATGAGCTTTAAGGACCCGGGCTCAACGAGTCATGATTTATGAAATCAATAATTTGATTTATTCGCTCTTCAATAATTTCTATTCTTTTTGTTAAATCATCAATTTTCATTAATGAGGTGATTCTTGATTGAGGAATAGATTTCAAACTAACCACTCCTTTTATTTTTGAAATTTTGAATCCATCAACTTTAAACATTTTATTCAATTTACATGTTGTCAATTCTTCAAATAATTTTTTATTATTAGCATAATAGTCATTAAATTCATCAACAGATGAAAAAAATTTTATTTCAGTAATTGGTTTAACAACGTTTATTTTTTGTTGAACATTTTCACTTTCATTTATTTCTTCCTCCTCTGTTTCATTTATTTTTAAAATTGGTTTCATTTATCATTAAATAAAAATTAGAATATAAGTGATGAAATATATTTTTTAATTAATATTAAATCAGAAATGGCGGCAGGATTCTTTAAAAAATTATGGGATGGAATTAAGAAAGCTGCAGGTTGGGTTTATAAAAAGGTTATTAAACCTGTTGCAAACTTTTTGGCACCAGTAGCGAAAACGGCAGGAACTATCATAGGTGGAGTATTAGGTACTAAAGCAGGTAATCCGGCGATGGGAGCACAAGCAGGTAACGCAATTGGTGGAATTGCTGAAGGAATACTTAATAAAATAGGGGGTAAATAGTGGAAAAATAAATAAATATTATTTTTATCTTAGTATTGGTTGTAGTCTTTGATAAACTTTTTCTCCTTTATTTAAAATTTCTCTTATTGGGGCAGCTTTTGGTGTTATTGATTCAGCAACGTCACTAATTGCTTCTTTATTCTTAAATATCCAATTCGCTCCTTTCTTCATTGTTTCCCAAACTTTATGCGCTCCTCTTTTTACTTTATCCCACAGTTTCTTAAAGAATCCTGCAGCCATAGTTGATTATTTCATTAAAATTAAAAATTCATTTTCATATTTTAATTTTGATTTTTTATTTAATAATAAATGACGACTAACTATTTGGTGCCAAACACTAAACCAATTAATGGAAATGTGTTTCATTCATTCGAAAAGATAAATGAAATATTCGCAAAGAATGATGGAAGAAGATATTATAGAGAACTTGAAAGTTCATGCTATGACTCTGATGCTCCATATTTTGATGATAAACAAACTCATTTAAGAATTACAAATCCGGCTCATGATGTGAACCAATTAGGTGACACATATATTAAACGCAAAGTTAAAGCAACTCTAGTTTCAAATAAAGCTTTCACATGTGATGCCGCTTTTAAATGTATGCGTTTATTCGTTGGTTACAAATCATCAAATCAAAGCTTTAAACAATTAGAAGTAGAAACCGAAAGAGGTGATGCTGGTTATCTTCAGATGGATTGCGCCCGTGAATCTTTCGCATTTGCAACATATAAACCAAAATCAGAAAGGAAAGTTAAAAAGTTTGTTCATTCGTTATATAATAATGTTCAAAAATATGATAACTCAGTATGTGGTAAATATATTGACCCTTCAGAAGTTTTCAAGAAAGCAAATGAAGAAGTTGATATCACTTTTGATATGATTATTCCGGTAAATGATTTGTTAGCATTTCAGGCGTTCGATGATTATCCTAAATCATTTGGTGAAATCATTCTTAAATATTATGTTTTCAGGGATACTTTAGTATTTTGTCAGGTTGACCCGTTAAGAGTTGCTGATTTACAAAATTACGTTTATGAAAAGATAACTGATGAAAATTATGAAAAGATTATGAATCATGTTTATAAATATGATCGCAAATTCCAACAAATCGGACTTCCTGCCAAATTAATTACAAGCTTAGCCGCTACATCTGCTGACGCAACAGTTGATGACGTTATTATTTCATGCACAAAGATGGAAGTTTTAGAGGATAAATGCATTACACCAGGATACGGTTTAATTGAAAAATCAGTTAAAGCAATACCACGTTTATTCAGTAAGGAAGATCCATTCATGATTCCAGCTCAACATATTGACGTTCGTTCACTAAATGGAGGTTGCATCACTCCTGAAGGTATCAGTTCAGATTTCTCATACGCTCTTCATAATGTTACAGATGTTGTGTTAGCATTTCCGAAGAATGCAATGCAAAGAACGGTTTTAGAAAATCCAATGCTTCGAGGTCTTCAGGTCACTATAGATTCCAGAAACTTCCCCGATCAAGCGATGACCACAGTGGGTGACATATTCTTTACACGTATGCTTCAAGCTTCTGATTTAGATGGAGTGAATGAATGCACGGAAGAATACGAGGACTCATTAACTAGACCACTGAATGATGATAATGGCACGCCATTAGCTAGAACATGGAAAGACCAAACTTCATTCTTATGCACTATTCCAGTTCAACGTGATGGAGCGGGTATATTCTTTGATGGATTAGAAACTTTCAACTCACAAGTTACAGTACAAGTGAAAGCTTATCCAATCATTCAGGGTGTAAATGACACTTACTGTTCAAGGTGACAAATCTCTCCTCAGGTTTGGTTTACTAGGACTACGTATTGGACATGGACCCGGATGAAGGTTTGAAATATCATCCAACAGGTACACCACCACAGTATAGAAGTTCATATGATGAAATATTGATGAATAGAAATGTTATAATTATAAAATGATTTTTGATTAAATGGATTTAAATTCTGAAGAATTAGCGGGAGTATATAATACATACGTAGATGATATGATTAATGAAGCATTGAGTGATAATAGAAATGCTCTATCTAAGGAAAAATTAATGAAAATTCCATATTCTGAATGTTACTTAAATTCAATCACTGCAGCAATTGGTAAACAAAATAAAGGTAAAACATTAACGATATTAAAACAAATTATCATTATTGCTAACACTTCCCCCATTCACATGTGTTAATTTATATCAACCGTTCAGGTTCACCTTCAGATGATACATTTGAATCTTTAAAGCATTTAATCAAAATTCCAATTATTTATTTATCACAAGAAGAAGCAGAAGATTATTTAAAAAACTTTTTAATGTATAAAGAATTATATAATACAATCAAGAAGCAAGGATTAGAGGATAAAATTATTGATAAACAACGGGATGAATTATTTGAAACACTTTCTATTTCAAATTTTGATAGAGAATTTTTGCATTCACTCATTTTTCTAGATGATGCGGTGAAATCAAAACTAATAACAAATGAGAAATCATATTTTAATCAGTTATTAACTCAATGTCGACACATTCAGTGTTCATTCTTCATGGCTGTTCAATACTTCAAAGCATTAAGCACAAACATTAAATCAAATCTATCAACACTTTTCATTTTCAGTGGTTTTAGTCGTCAACAGTTGAACGTTATGCTTTATCAAGTGAATTTACCAATGAGCATTAATGAACTTTACACACAATATCAACAATTAGGTGAACATGGAAAAATAATAGTTGATTTAAATAAAGGATGTGTTAAATTTGATTAACTTTTTATAATTAATTTTTATTTTTTATTTATAATTAAACATGACAGAAATAGCAAATCTTTTACAGGTTCCATTAAAACAGGGGACAAACAAAAAGGGGGGTGTGTATAATAGAACTATGAAAGTTCCAGACGGAATGAAAGAATTAGTTCATATTGTTGCTGGTCTTCAAAAAGATGTAAAACAAATGAGAAACGTTTTAACATTACCAGAAGCTCAAGCATATGCCAAACGTCAAGGTCCAAATTGGGAAGCACATGAAGCAGACATTACAGGTCCAAATGGAAAACCTGATGGTATAAATGAAGTTTTCGTTACTGATGGTCGAGGTAATATTAAAGTCATAAATGGTTACAAATTAACTGTATCTGATTATCCTAAACGTAAAGCATATAATGAATGTTATCCTATGCAATTTGATGAAAATGGAAAAGCTGTTAAACAATA